GATCAATTGTGTTGTAATATACAAGGCATTAGTGATTTCTGTGATACTGTCTACAAACGTAAGGTCAGTTACAGGTAGTCTTTGACACACGACCAGTTGTTTAACAATCATTCAGAGTTGCAGAGGCTTTGGAAAGAATGTTATATGGCCCATAACACATTGTAAAATATTGTACCATAGTAGTCTACCACATGTTCCCCCCCCTCCCCGGCAGGTTCAAAGGACAGTGTTTCAGGTACTTGGAAACCATTTTCATTTATGCCAATTGCAGTGTCCCATAGTCAAAAGACCTTGATTTCCAGTGTTTTTTGCCAGTTGCCGGCAAAAAGCCCCACCCATTCAGGAGAATGGATTCACTGAACAATCACATTATTCGCTTAATGATTGCATGGTTCTGTCTTACAAGTGTGTGATTCATTTAATGACTGCCATAAAAACTGGAAAAATCAGATTTAATCATGTGGGTGTCTTGACATACGACTACAAAAACTTATGACAAAATTTTATTCCCAATTGTGGTAAATTGAAGATCACCTGTATATAGTGGATTTCACTGCGGAGCCTTCAAAACCTTTCTTCATAAAAACATCAATATGAACAGAATGGTTGAGATCACACAGCCTTACCTAATGCCAGTTCAAGTCAAGAACTGAACGTTAATTCTGGATATGTACACAATTGTTGGAATTGCTGTAGAATTTGTTGGCTTGTGTTCAGTTTTCAGTTCCATAAAACTGACTAGTGTACACTGTCAAAGTTGCTTCAAAGTCAATGAACACAGTGATTGTTTAGCACAGGGCTTTTCAACCTTTTCACCCACTGTACCACTTTTAGGATATGGCAACATCCAAGTACCACCAGTCGCCTAGCAAGCTGTCAAAAACTTGATGACCACACAAAAAAAGGAAAAAAGTGATAAAGTACAGGTAGTCCTCGACTTACAACAATTCGCTTAGTGACTATTCGAAGTTTCAACATCACTGAAAAAAGTGCCCCCCAAATCACAGCTGAGCAAGACACCTGCCTGCCCGCCCAGCGGCGGCGCTCTTCCTGTCCGAGGTTTTCATAGTTGTGAGCAGTTCTGTTGAGGATTGGCAGCGGGGGTGGGGTGGGGTTGTTTGGTTTTTATTCCCCCCGTGTGCTGGGTGGTTGCAGCAGGTTTTGGTTACTTCACATGATCCTGGGCCACTGTGACTGTCATAAATATGAATCAGTTGCCAAGCATCTGAATGTATATCACAAGACCCTGGAGATGCTGCAACATTCCAGCTGATCGGTGCTTATTCAGGGCTCAGCAGAAGCGCCAGGATCAGCACCGAGCTCCAGCTGGAGCCTGGCGCTTTCACTGAGCCCTGACAGCCCTGCATCTCTAGCCATCTCTCACTCAGGCTTGTGCGGTGCTGCCACCGGTTCAGCTCATTCCCCTCCCCCGCTACTTTTCTAGGATGGTCGCATACCATTTGCCAGGTGCCAATGTACCACAGGTGGTACCCGTACACTGATTGAAAAGCCCTGGTTTAGCACACTGAATTCTCTCTTCCATTAGTTGTCTAGTGATAAGAATCTGGTCAGAGTATCCTTGATTTGGGTGGAAATCATACAGTCCTCTAATTTTTTTTTCCCTATCGTTTTTGGAAATTATATTTGCTTGATTCTTATGAAGATCTTTCTAAGGACTGATAATAAATGAGGGGTCCTTGGTGGTCTCTGAGTTTGGTTGTTTTCTTGCAGATGTTTCGTTACCCAAACTAGCTAACATCATCAGTGCTAGTTTGGATAATGAAACATCTGCAAGAAGACGACCAAGCTCAGAGACCACCAAGGACCCCTCCTTTCAACCCTGAGCTACAAATATTCTCCTTTATTAGTACTGACAATAAAGCTTATGGCCCAGTTGCTTTTGAATTGCCGTCATCTTTTTCAAAATAGGGATTATAATAATTTGTTTCCATATAGTGGAGACTTTCTGTGAAGGCCAAATTAACTATAAATGTAGTCACTCAGTGAAATGTTCACTAGCTCTGAGTGCTGCGGTTGTAACTCCATCCATCTGCTCTACCATTTTTCAGTACCTTCATGCATCTATTGGGGGCACAATATTTGACTCCTGATTTTTTTGGCATTTGGATAAGTACAGTAGCGGATCCACTGGTGACGCCTGTTGGAAAGGTTCTCTCCATCTCTGAAGCTATTCATTTGAAGATACAACAAATGTCTGATTGCTCTTGTAGGTATTAAGGTTTGTTGATTTAATCCTTCTATTTAAGTATCTGAGAGGTAAAAAAAAAAAAAGTGTGTGATACTTGTACTTTGCACAGCCTCTTCCAGTTTCAGGACCATGGTGTTCCAGTGGGTCTCATGTTCCACTTAGTAGAGGAATTGTGGCATACATACTAAGAAACCTCTCACAGAATGATGGGGGTATTAATACCTAATTATCTTTATGAGCAAATAAAATATATTATAAAACAGTGAATCAGTAATAATGATAAAAGAGTGAATTTGTTGAACATTTTTCTTTGTATTTTCATTTGCACAGTTGCTGTCTGTTTGTGTACCACCTGCATTATTTTTACAGGCAGCAAAGATATCCAATATACCTTCCTCCTCCTATTTTCCCACCACAACAACCCTGTGAGGTGTTTGGGCTGAGAGAGAGAGAGAGAGAGTGACAGGTGTACTTCTGCTTTTGTTTTATACCAGCAGAATGCCCATGTTTATGTGTGTAAATGACAACCTCTGGAAAAGGGAATAATGTGCCATTACTACAACTGTATTGCATCATAGAGTCATGAGGATCTCTTTTCAATCCTGTGTGTCTTATTCTTTTGGGAAATACGGATAGTTCTTTCAGAGTAATATTAACAGCAGGATTGGGAAGCTGTATTTTGAGACTGAAAATACCAGCTGACAGGAAGCAAGCTCTTGGTGTGGAACTTTGATAGTAGGCCCTCAAGTTTCAGGGTTAAGTCTGATTTTAGAGGAAAATGAACAAACATAGGTTGTGTATGTGTGTGTGTGTGTGTGTATGTGTGTGTGTGTGTGTGTATAAATATTGTATTTGCACAAGGCATAGGCAATATGGAGACATTTTTTCATAATTCTTCAAGCTAAAATATTCACATTCTCATAAATAATTAGAACAAATGATTATATTTGAATAAAATTACTATTCAACACAGAAGCAGTTTGGGCTTCAGTATTTAGGATTTCTACAATTCAGATTATTTTCTTTTTAAGATACATTTGGAAATAAGTTTTTAATTTTTTTTGCTGCTGAAGTAAACACGAAAAATCAGGTTTTGTATCTTTTCTTTAAAAACAAAAATTGTTTTTATTAATATTTCTAAAGAGAGATGTGGGTAGATGACTCAGTTGAAAGAAAGTACTTCTGTCTTCTATATATAATGACTTGTGTTTCTCAGATATGTAAGAACTAAATCTATTATTAAATACTTGGAATATGCTTCCAGTTATTTAATATGTTCATATACTGTTTCTTATGTTAAAGCATCTTGAAATGGTTTGCAAAACTTCAGTAGCATACATACTAAGCAATACATTAAAATAATATTTAATAAGAAATAAAGCAATGGCTATTACCCAAGTAGTTAACATTTAATCACTCGATAAAGTGATATATTTGTATTATCCTGCCTAGTTATGTTGAAAAAAGAACACTCATTTTTTTTAGGTTTCTGACTTTATGCAGAAGCGTAGTAAGATTTTATGTAGGAAGAACTATTAGTTTGGCAAGTGGATTAATGTGAAAAGGCTGCACTTAATACATGGTTGACTATATATATATATGAGGGTAACAGATATTCCCTAAATGAGATTTTAATGTAGGAAACTAATCCAGTAATTATTGTACTTAAATACATGGTACACATGTACATTTTAATTGGTGTATGGGTGTGTATTTCAAAGATTGCCTATTATTTGCTGTTCATATACATCATCACCATTGGCCATGCTGACTAAGATTTATAAATAAGCTCTAATACTCCTTCCTATAAATACTGTTGAATTCCCTTAGTGGTAATTGGCTTCTATATAACAATTTTTAGTACATAAATTTAAATTTTAAATTCCTAAAAATCCCAGTGTTGGACATATCCCAAGTAGGTTCTTAAGGTATTTTGGATATGAAAAAGGACCTTGTAAACACCAGTGAGCTGTACATAAAACTGTTACAAGTGTGCATATTTATGAATAATTTAAGTAATTGTGCTATAGCAATTTTTCTCTTTGAACAAAGTATATGAAACAGTTGTCTTAGTAATTGTATCTAAATTTACTCTATTCTTAATAATCAGCTAAGGAATAAGTTGGGTGGTAGAAAGCATTCTTGAGTTGGAACTGAAACAAAAGATGCTTCAAAAGAGCAATTTCAAACATCTACTGTATTCAAGAGCAAGTTATTTTTGTTTTATCTTTTCCAGTTTTCCCCTGGAAAATGAATATTTTATGATGTTGCAGCCGTTCTGTGAATAGCCAGTTCCAATCATTTCAACCATGTCTCTAAAATGACCTAAACATATGCATGGAATAGTTTGGTTAATATGCTATATAACAACTACAACAGATATAAAACTTAAAGTACCAAGTGCAGTTGCTGAGAAGGATGGCATTTATGTGCAATAACAATAAAATGTGTTAGTAGCTATACCTCAGAGAGATTGAAAACAAAAAATATTTGCTAATCTAATGGCTGAGGTATGAATTCATATATAAATACCTAAGCTTGATGCAATGCCCAGCATCCCACTTTATGCTTTTCTTCCACTATGTGAAAAATATATAACTTAGCAACCTGTTGTTGCTTTATATTTTGGCTATATATTTAGAATTTGAACTGAGATTCTATTGCAGATTGCATTTTATATAAGTTGCACAAATCCATAAGACCTGAGTGAGTATTCTTGCATTTTTGATGTATTTATAATATTGATTTTTATTCATTATTTTAACAGGTATTGTATGTATTTTATTTACAGGCAGGCAGAAGTCCTGAAGGCTGACATGACAGGTAATGTTTTCACTATCTAAATCTGCTAAATTTAGGTAATCAGATTTCAGTGAAAGTTGTTATTGTAATTCATAAACAGGTTTTAGTTAATTTTCTGGTCTAGTGAGTATGAGTAACTAAAACCAATAGATGTGGTTGAGGAGCCATCCTTCCTACTAGCTTTGGAGTAAGAAGATACAAAGATGTCAACCTCAAATACAGGGTGATAAGAGGAATGAGAAAAGAGGAGATTAACACTATTACCCCAAGATTTTAGATACTCCGGGGTCAACTGTGTCACAACTGGTCTTCAGAACTCTTCCAGATCAGGTGAAAATCTTGTTCTTCCCACTAACTTCCATGGTCTAACTTCACTTTGTGCCACTGTTCCAAATTTCTTATTTTGAATCCTGCAAAAACAAAAGAGAAATCAACCGTGTGCAAGCTAGTTCAGGGCTAAGACAACACTTTATTGGTCTGGAGCCGATAAAAACAAGACTGCATTTCCTGGAAACCCAGGATTCCATAAGAATTAACCTGGGAGGTCCACATGACTGTTTACTCTTATGATTATAGAGAAATTGTAAAATGTTCGTTCCTTTGTTTTGTTTAAAGGAGAGAAATTTATGGCAAGGTATTATATAAAACATTTATTAATGGGATCTATACAGTTTTTCACATTGAGAAAGGTTTCTCAGGTATCTCAAGTTTGAGGACCATTAGTCTAGAGGAAATGCACATAGAGACAGACACGTGTACAGACACACACAAACACAAACATACACATACATACACATATATACATACACATATGCAAACACACACACAGACAGACACACATGTATATCTATGTATTTTTCAGATTCGAAGCTGGGACCAGCTGAAGCCTGGACATCTCGACAGGCTTTACAGGACTTATACCAGAAAATGTTAGTAACAGATTTGGAGTATGCATTGGATAAAAAAGTGGAACAGGATCTGTAAGTATAAATAAGTGTGGATTACATTTTTTTTTTAAAGATGCCAATAGTCCTTGACTTAACAACCATTCGCTTAACTAAGTTACAATGGCCTTGGGTTTACAACCTGTACTTGTGTTTACGATTATCACACCACCCCCCCACAGTCACATGGTTGCAATTCAGGCACTTGGCAGCTGCCTTACATTTATGACCAGTTGCAGCATTCTGCAGTTACGATAGTCCCAATTTGCAATCTTTTTTGCCAGTTTCTGGCAAAAAAAAGCCCATTGAAGAACTGGGGTTCATTTAATGACTACCATAAAAATTGTCTTTAAATCCAGTCCAGCTTGCAATAATTTACAACCAAAATTCTGGTCCCAGTTGTGGTAATAAGTCAAGGACTATCTGTATGTTCTCTTTTTTTAACTGAGCAAGATGTATGCAGACTGGAAAATTATTTTGAAAACTTGGATTTTAGCTGAAACTTCTGGTTCTTTTTTCCTATATTGCAAGTAGTTTGGTGGTAATATAAGAGACATAATATAATAGCTATTTGGCTGATTTCAAGCACATATTAACTCCAAATTAAAAAAAGGATAAGCTTTGTCATTCAGCTTACAGACTTATAAAAAAAGAAAGAGGAGAAGGAAAACAGAAAGTTGGGAAACCATTCATTCAAGCCAAAGCTTTGGATGAATTTATATCCAGTTTAACCTTGGCTGATTTTCACTGTAGGTACTAAATATTAGCTGACAGTTTTTCACATCCCTGCCCAGTATCTGTCCAGAATGCATAGCCTTTCAATTCCAAGGCATTTGCTGCATCACAAGTGTAGTGTTCTACTTTGCAGAGAAGGAAGGAAGAAACTCCCTGCATTTGTAGACAGTCAGGTACATTTTCCCCATGTCACAATGTGCTTTTTGAGAGAGAAGTCATCCTTTCACTGGGCTTTTTTTTCTACTGAGCAATCTGGGTTTTTTTGATCCATACCAAAAAAAGGGTACTCTCAATTCTTATTTCTTATTGTCAAGCTTTCTGACAATCCTCATTGCCATGAATGTTTTTGGTCAGTGCTGATGTTTGACATAAGTGTCAACAAGTGAAGAGAAGGGTTGTGTAGATATCCGGTCATAACATGAAGATAATATTTGTGGTACTCTAGAACAGTGTTTCTCAACCTTGACAATTTTAAGGCATGTGGACTTCAACTCCCAGAATTCCACAGCCAGCATTGCTGGCTGTGGAATTCTGGGAGTTGAAGTCCACATGCCTTAAAATTGTCAAGGTTGAGAAACATTGCTCTAGAAGCTTCATTGAAACAGCACTCCCCTGTTCCCTTCTCCTTCAAGAGGGTATCATTCAGTGTGTCAGTTTTTATGTAACATGGAATAATGAAAGGTTCTCCTTTTTTTTTAGATGGAATCATGCCTTTAAGAATCAGATCACAACTTTACAGGGTCAAGCAAAAAACCGATCAAATCCAAATCGGAGTGAAGTTCAAGCAAACCTCTCTCTGTTCCTAGAAGCAGCTAGTGGCTTCTATACGCAGGTGAGTCAAGGTGACCACGATGTGGAAATTGTATTGTTGCTCAATGATATGAAATTTTATTTATTTAAATGTATTGGCTGCTCAATTACTGTGGCCTGGGCTGTGCACAAAACTAAAAAAAAGAGATTAAAAATAGCTAAAGATGTTAAATCAACAGGCAGCCTGAGTTAAAATATTCTAATAACAAAATCCACAAAACAAAACAGGGGCCGTTAAGCAAATAACACACATCAACTCCAGACTTGGAGGACTGTAGGAGAGAGGGCACAATGAGTACTGCAAATTTATTTTCCCGTTAGAAAAGGCAAGAGATGTCTCCACGACATTTAACCATAAGGACTTTAGGAAAGTATACAGATACTCCAAATAACTATTCTGTCCTCCCTTCCTTTCCCCTTTGTCTAATTTTAATTTATATTTTGTACCAGCCTAGCCATTACATCTGATGAAGTGAGCTGTAGTTTGCAAAAACTTTTAATAAAATTTGTTAGTTGGAAAACAACTATTGATTTACAGTACTTAAACTGTAGATTAGTATTTACAAGAGATAGACTTTTCATAATATATCTCTTATGTTTTCTTTGTTCCTGTTTGCTTGCACCTGTGTTAATATTTATGAAATTATCTTCCCAAAAAACACCAAAAATTGTAGGGATTCTGAAATAACAAAGAATTGCAAATTAATTAAAGTTATACTTAGTTTTGATTTAAAAAAAAAGGTATCAGTTATAACTGATATCTTAAGGCCACATAATAGATTCTATTGTTCTTTAGTCTGAAGGAATCTGATTTTATATATTGTGTTTTTGTAGCTTCATACCAGAGGCTTAGAATCATAAACAATGGAGTCATTAGGCTGATCAAAATAATGTAGTAAACCATGAACTGTTGTAGAACCCAGCTATGCATTTCAAGCTCATCTATAAAACTCTTTTCTCTCTCTACTTCACATTTTCAAACAGATGCAAAAATGTTAGATAGTTTTATGAAGAAGTTCTATATATAGCAGCATGTAGGAAATCTGCCATATGTGAGTCTCATGGTTACAATCTTGAGTGTCTCCCCAGATTTTGAGTTGTGCTTTTCTTGGTCTCAGGATTCTTTGCTATCTTTTTATGATAGCTTTCTCGGTATGAGAATCAGGCTGTCACCCCACCCACTCTTAAAATGTTAGGTGTAAGCCATGAATGTTATTTTTCTTGGTGTTTTATGCTAATCAAGCCTTTGTGGTTTAATTTAAGAAATTATTAAAATAAGAATGGCCTCAGATAGATAGACAGACAGACAGACAGACAGACGATAGATAGATTCATTCAGTCTCTAATTTTAAAAGTTCATAAAGAATAAAACCAACACCGATAACCAAATATGATGGCTATATGTTACCTTCAAGATAAGAGTATCAGTGAGTATATATGTCTGAAATGCTAATTTTTAGAAAATGATAAAAATGGAGATAGCAATCCTGTTTTGAGATTTTTCTCTGGTACTAATTTGACTGCTTTGGAAAATGGAATGATGAACTAGAACAGGGCTTTTCAACCAGTGATACGGGTACTACCTGTGATTCATTGGCACCTGGCAGGTGGTACACGACCATCCTAGAAAAGTGGTAGCAGGGGAGGGGAATGAGCTGAACTGGTGACAGCACCGCACAAGCCTGAGCGAGAGATGGCTGGAGATGCAGGGCTGTCAGGGCTCAGTGGAAGCACCAGGAACAGCGCCAGGCAAATAAAACAAGAATGGTAAAATGTTTTATTTTTCTTTTCTTTTTTTTTTTTATTAAATTTTTTTAAAATTTTACAATAAAAGCCCCTTCCCCAATCCCTCCCAACCCACTCCAAAACCCTCCCCCATTCTTCCCAGAGCTGAATACAGGCTTAACTAGAACTTAAAAGAAAAAAAGTTTTAAGCCCAAATAAACCTTAAGCAAATATAATTACACTCAATAAACAAATTGTAAAGTACTTTAACTCCATTATATATAAAAAACAAAAAGAGGGAAAAAAAGAGAAGATAAAAAAATAAAAAAATAAAGAATAATAACAATTACACTTCTAGATAATATCTTAAACTTTAAATATAAATTATTCAAAAGCTAGATAATATTTTCTTATATCATACTTATATTGTATAAAAAATTTTCCACACCAAAAGATACTTCTCTTGCGATTGATCTTTCAAGAAAGCCGAAATTTTTGCCATTTCCGCTAAGTAAGGAACTTTAAAAAACCATTCTTGCAAAGTAGGCAAAGATTCCTTCTTCCAATATTGCCCTACTAACAACCTAGCCGCAGTAATTAAATTTAACATTAAAATAATCTCTTTATCATCACAATCCGAAACAATACCCAACAAAAACAGTTGTGGATAAATTTTATCCTTCTTTTAAAAATTCTTTGAATATTCCACCATATCTTAATCCAAAAAGCTTTTATACTTTTACATGACCACCAAATATGATAATAAGTGGCATCCAAGCAACCGCATCTCCAACATCTAGGCTGCAAGTTTGAATACATATGAGACATTTTTTGTGGATCAAGGTGCCATCTATAAAACATTTTATAAAAATTTTCCCGTAAATTTTGGGCTTGTGTAAATTTAACATTACTCACCCAAATAATCTCCCAAGTGTCTAATAGAATCGGTTCATCAAAATTTTGTGCCCACTTAACCATACAGTCTTTAACTAACTCAGCTTCTGAATCCAATTCCACTAACACACTATAAATTCTTTTAATATGAGTTCGACTTTGATCTCTGATTTGTTTTAACAAATTCTCATCCTCTCTAAACAAGCCCACCTTATAATCTATCTTCCACCTTTCCGATAATTGTCTATACTGAAACCAAGAATAGATAATATTTTCTTGTACTAATTCATCCATAGATTTTAATTGCCAATTTTTACCATCCCACTTAAGTAGTTGTGTATAAGAAATAGTATCCATCTTAACTCCTCTCCTTATTCCTTCTATTGCATGCCATGGAATAGCCCATAATGGAATTCTTGAATCACTTCTGTAATATTTCTTCCAAACCCGAAGTAAAGAAATTCTTAGAATGTGAGATTTAAAAACCCTATCGACCTTTTTATTATAAATTAAATAGGCATGCCATCCAAACAGTAAATCCCAACCTTCCAAAAGGAGTATATCTGCATTTGTTAAATTAACCCAATCACTAATTAATGTCAAAACCACAGCATCATAGTACAATTTCAAATTCGGTACCTTGAGTCCACCTCTCTCTCGTATATCTTGTATAATTTTAAGTTTTACTCTTGGTTTTTTCCCTGCCCAGATAAATTTATTGATGCCTTTCTGCCACTCATCTAAATTTGCTTCTTTCTTTAGAATAGGTATCATTTGAAATAAAAAAAGAAATTTTGGCAAAACATTCATTTTAATCACTGCTATTCTCCCCAAGAGGGACAATTGCAGCTTTTTCCAATTATCCAAATCCTTTTGTATTTTAACCCACAGCATTTCATAATTGTTTTTATACAGTTTTGCATTAGAAGCTGATAAGATAACCCCCAAATATTTTACCTTATTAATAACCTCAAAACCTGTCGATCTAACCAAAGTCTCCTTATCCAAGTTGGTCATGTTCTTACGCAATATTTTAGTCTTATTATTATTAATTTTAAAACCTGAAACTTGTCCATATTGATTTATCAATTGTAACAACTCCATTACGGAATAAGTTGGTTGAGATAATGTAACAACTAGATCATCTGCAAAAGCCCTTAATTTATATTCTTTTTTATTAGTTTCTATTCCTTTTATCTTCGATGATTCCCGAATTTTAATCAATAAAATTTCCAAGGTTAACACAAACAGCAGTGGGGACAATGGACAACCCTGTCTGGTCCCCTTTTCAATTGGGAATACCTCTGATAAACCTCCATTAACTATAAGTTGTGCCATTTGTTTTTGATAAATAGCTCAAAGGGCCTGTAAAATTTTATCTCCAAAATTCATTTCCTCAACCAGTCTTAGCATAAATTGCCAATTTAATTGATCAAAAGCTTTTTCAGCATCTAAAAATATCAATCCTGCAGAAATTTGATTATTCTTATCCAGATATTCTATTAAATTAATAATTTGTCTGACATTATTTTTCATATACCTTCCAATTATAAAACCAGTTTGATCCATATGTTTTAATTGGTTCAGCACAACCATAAATCTATTAGCTAAAATTTTCGAAAAAATCTTATAATCTACATTCAAGAGAGATATAGGTCTATAATTCTTTGGTAACGTAAGATCTTGGTCTTCTTTTGGAATCAAAGATATAAAAGCTCTGCCCCAAGACAAAGGGGTCTCTAAACCCTGTAATATATTATTAAAAAGTTCCCTTAGAGGTTCTATCAACTCATCTATCAAAGTCTTATAATAAATTGATGTCAGTCCATCAGTACCAGGTGCTTTACCTAACTTTAATTCTTTAATTGCTGTCACAATTTCCTCCGTGGTAATTAATCCATTGATTTTTTGTTTCTGATCTTCTGTTAGTTTAGGAAAATGAGCATCTTGTAAATATTTATCTATATCTAAAGCCTGTACTTTCCTACCCATATATAATTTTTTATAATAATCTAAAAAAGATTTCTTAATCAAGTCCTTCTGAAATACCAATTTACCTTTATAATTTATTTTGTCTATAATTCTCAACTTCTGTTTCTTTTGCAATTGATAAGCCAACCATCTCCCTGGCTTATTAGCATTACAAAATGTGTTATGTTTCATGTACAATAAGTTAGTTGCGGTCTGATCTGCCATTAACATATTAAATTGCGATTTAAGCAGTTTTATAGATTCCTTAATCTTCTCATCTGTAGGATTCGAGATTAAAACTTTTTCTTTTAATTTAATCTCATCTTCCAACTCCTTACGTTTCTGCACCTGTTTCTGTCTATGAATCTTATTCATTTGCATCAAAACCCCACGCATATAAGCTTTACCTGCGTCCCATACCATTGACATTGAAGTACCCTTATGCATATTTAAAACAAAATATTCCTTTAAATGCTCTTTAAGTTTCTGAACATTCATTTCTTGCCTAAACAAATTTTCATTCAACCTCCAAGATCTTCTCTCCTCTTTTTCAGTAACCAGTTCCATCCATACTGGACTATGATCTGTCAATGTCCTTGGAAATATCTTTACATTCTTTACCCTAAAGTATAAATCCGTTGTAATAAAAAAAAAGTCAATTCTTGAAAAAGATTGATGTCTATCTGAAAAAAAAGTGAAGTCTCTCTCTTCCAGATTGTGTTCTCGCCAATAGTCTCGCAACTCCCAGTCCTCTTTCAAATCAAAAAAAGCCTTAAGTAATTTAGCCTGTTTAAAAGAAGTAGAAAGTCCTTTTTTGTCTCTACATGTATCTAAAACTCCATTCCAATCTCCCATCAATATAACAGATCTATAATCCAATAAAATCAATTTTTGATGCAACAACCTATAAAATTGTTCCTGTTGTTGATTTGGTGCATACAAACCTATTATGAGTATTTTCTTACCATACAGTCCCACTTCAATCATAACATATCTCCCTTGAGGATCAGAATCTACTAAACAAGCTGATAAATTTTGCTTAACATAAATAACTACACCCCCTTTCTTCCCAAGAGCAGAAGATACAAAATGAGATCCCAATCGAGCATTAACTAGATATTTTTGATCCTTAGAGATAATATGCGTTTCCTGCAAACAAATAATGTCATTGTTATGCTGCTTCAAATAGTGAAATATTTTCTTTCTCTTTTGAGGGGAATTAAGGCCATTAGCATTCCATGTCAGGAGCTTTACCATCTCCCTCATCCAAAAGCCTAGAGAAGACTGCTTGAAGATCTGCCATTGAAGATTGTACCGAATATCTCTTAGGTCTTGCTCCTCCCACAGGCTCAGAAGCAGATTCTTGTAAAACTTCTTTGACATCTTTCTTCTGTTGTTCCTTTTCCTTACGTCTATGCGCTGCCCGAGTCATTTATTTTTCTATTAAATTTTCTTGAGCTTAATAGAAATATAAAGTGATTACAATGGAGAATAACGAAGAGAAATGTTTAACTAAGCTTCAGTAGAGAATCTGAAATGTAGATATAATTGATAATTCCTAATTTCAGCTACTGCAGGAGCTGTGCACGGTATTTAATGTGGATTTGCCCTGCCGTGTGAAGTCCTCTCAGTTGGGAATTATCAGCAATAAACAGACGCACACCAGCGCCATAGTGAAGCCACAATCTAGCTCCTGCTCATATATATGCCAGCACTGCCTTGTCCACCTTGGAGACATCGGTAAGTATCAGAAGTAGGAAAAGTTATTTTTAAAGCTTATCTTCAGAGTATTGAAAAATATACAAATGATAGAGTCTCGAGGAGGGATGGGAAAAGTAGACACACCAATCTTGAAGGCAATACGAGATTACATATTCTAATCCAGTGGTGGCGAACCTATGGCACGGGTGCCAGAGGTGGCACTCAGAGCCCTCTCTTTGGGCACGTGTCCTGTCGCCCCAGTCCTAGGCCTTCAGCTGGGTTTTATAAAACCTTTTCGCTTTAGGCCTCCACCACCGTGTGCAAAAAAAGAGATTCAATCAACCAGTCAATTTCAACTTCTCACGGAAAAAAAAATCTTGCAAAGTTGGAATTGATTGATTGAACTTTTTAGTCCCACCCAGTCTGCCGTTACCACCACAGCCACGCCCACCCAATTGGCCATGCCCACCCAATGGGCCACACCCACCCGGCACCCGACGATGCATAAGTGGGTTTTGGGTTGCAGTTTGGGCACTCGGTCTCTAAAAGGTTCGCCATCACTGTTCTAATCTATAGTGTCTTGAAGATGCCACATTTAAGTGACACTGGCCTTGTGAAATTGCAGTACAAACAGGACATGTGGATTATAGATTGTAGAAATCTTTAAAGTGATGGTCACCTATGCAGTTTTCTAACTCTGGTTACTAATTAGTTTTTCAATTTTTCTTAGACAACAAAATATTAGCATCTAATAGAATGACATGTCAAGGGGTAATTATGTCATGAAGATAGAGGGTAAGCGCATGAACCAGAGAGTAGGAGCAGACCAAAGTCCAGCATCATGTCCCTTACCGTAGCCAGCCACATTCCTTTTGCTACGCTCAAGCAGGAGAAAATAATAACAATCCCAGTTTGTGCCTTGATCGATAGTTGTCATAGTTTAGCAATTTTGTCACAGTCGACTGTGTAAAACTCAAAACAATGTATTTGGAAGTTCGCTAATCTTACGTGAACCACTATGTATTGTGCACAAAACAAGTTATTTTAGAAATTGTATATAGCTCATTGACTAGTAAACTAGTATTCTGTTTAAAATGAAATCATCTCTTCCCAGCTCGCTACAGAAATCAGACCAGCCAGGCTGAATCCTATTATAGGCATGCAGCTCAGCTTGTCCCCTCCAATGGTGAGTTTTGAAAGTGTAATACACATGGTTGAATAACTTCTGTTAATAGCAGTCGAGGTTTCTTTTTATTTAGGATACCAGTTTTAATTACTTAAATTCCACAGTCATTGCAAAGAAAGAAGGAAAACTGAGCAATCTTTCTAAAACCAGCATAATCACTGCTGAGGACTGTATATCAGAAATAGCCCTGTTTCAACAGAACCTTACAGGATGCTTATTAATGTTTTTTTTCTATAGGTAGTCCTCAACTTAAAACGGTTCATTTAGTGGCCATTCAGTTACAACGACCAGTTTTCACTGTTACCACCTTTGCAGCATCCCTGTGATCATGTGATCAAAATTCAGATGCTTGGCAACTGGCTCATACTTATGACCATTACTGTGTCCCAAGGTCGTGTAATCCTCTTTTGCAACCTTTTGAAGGAAGTCAGATTCACTTAAAAAGCAAGTTACTAACTTACCAACTGCAGCGATTCACTTAACAACTCTGGCAAGAAAGGTTGCAAATGGGTCAAAGCTCACTTAACAAATGTCTCATTAAGAACAGATATTTTGGACTCAATTGTGGTTGTAAGTTGAGAACTACCTGTATTGCATATATGACTGGAAAAGCTTTTTCAGACCTATCTTGTATTTTTTAAATGTACATACCTTTTGTCTTATAAAGGGAATTACGTAAATGAATTATTGTGCTGTAAATTGAAGTTGTTCATATTTTTCAGCATTTAATTCAGAAAGTTCTGAATTCACGTGGAAATTGCAGATCAATAGCAATCTGTGGACTAGGAGTTGGGGACTCCTAGTTTAGAATATAACAGGGACATTGGATTGTGCCTATAAAGCAAAACTGGAACTCAAGAACAAACCTTTTGTTTATTTTATTTAGGTCAGCCTTATAATCAGCTGGCTATTTTAGCATCCTCCAAAGGAGATCACCTGACCACAATTTTCTACTACTGCAGAAGCATTGCTGTGAAATTCCCTTTCCCAGCTGCTTCTACTAACCTACAAAAAGCACTTTCTAAAGCACTGGAAAGGTAAGGCTGAATGGATATATTTCAGAAGGGAATGCATTCATGTATCATTGGACTTCGCTCTTCAAATACTATTTTAGTCCAGGAACATCTGGGGATCATAAGTTCATGTATGCAAAGTATTAGCCATGTATAAGATTTAAAGTGTGTATAGAGTCACCTTATAGATTGTTTGTCCAAAGTGCAGTGTCAGTATATTCTCAAAAACGTTGCAAGCAAATAATTTCCTGTCTTTTTATCCAGTACTAGTCTGATTGTAAATGAATTCCTAAATGTAAATACTGCATATAAATTAGATTATAATTTTATTTATGAGATGGAGCAGTCCTTGAATCAGTGGGTGGATGGATATATTGATTTTCCTAACAGCTGGCTGTGTCAAAACTGTACACCAGTGCAGTCTTGAGCTTGTATTATTAACATGGGTCTTTACTTTGTTTTGGTTAATTGCTTTTTAGTGGATGATACGGTTTCCAAAACAATTCTGTCTAGCTTCTGACTCTTTTATTAAATATTATTTCTCCAGTTCAACCCATAATTATTTTCTTAAATAAAGTCCAGTAATAAATATGTATTTTATGCAGTAAAAGTTTGATATGTGTGCTTCCAAGACTAAAGTGCAATTTTTGTCTTATAATTGTAGTCGTGATGAGGTGAAAACTCAGTGGGAAATATCTGATTTCATTAAGACATTTATAAAATTCCATGGCCATGTATATCTGAGTAAGAATTTGGAGAAATTGAATCCTCTTCGTGAGAAATTAGAAGAGCAGTTCAAGGTTAGTTTATGGAATACTTCCAGCTTTTCCTGCTGAACTAACATCCACATAAGATTGATTTAATTGATTTATTGATGCAACAATCCTTGGAAGCTCCTTCTAATCCATTTAAACATGTACAGGTAGTCCTTGACTTACAACAGTTCTTAAAAAGTGATTTATGACCATTTTTCACACTGATGACTGTTGCAGCATCCCCATGGTCATGTGATTTATATTTGGATGCTTGACAACTGGTTCATATTTATGACGGTTGCAGAGTCCCGGGGTCATGTGATCAACTTTTGCAACTTTTTGACCAGCAAAGTCAATGGGGAAACTAGATTCATTTAACAACCACATTACTAATTTCACAATTGCAGTGATTTACTTAACAAATATGGCAAGAAAAGCGATAAAATGGGGCAAAACTTACTTAACAAATTTCTCACTTAGCAACATAAATTCTGGGCTCAGTTGTGGTCGTAAGTCGAGGACTACCTGTATAGGAATGCTGCATTTCTGTTCCTTATTGGCTTAAGAAAGAGGACAACCATTACGATATCATGCATCTTACAAAAATATCCTTTTCTTGCAAGATGACCCAATGATAGTGTGCTGTAATACTTGCATACTTACACATTTGGCATTAAAATCATCATGTTTCCATCTGTGACTCCTACTTGAAATCCTGGGTCTTAAAAAGCATAGTTGCAATTCATTTTGCTGCTTGTGTTTTCTGCTCTTTACACTTCAAGCAACAGACTAAAAGCTTGCTGATTTTAATATGGAGGAAAGGATTAAATGTATATTGATAGATGTATATAAAAAGAGAGAAGACGATAGAGAGGGACAGGCAGACAGAATTGTTTTTGCAAAGAATTTTTGTTGCAAAGTTGTTTGAATTTGTAATTTGAATCTCTACCTAGACTGCTTAGATATGTGTATTCCTATCAGTGATTCTGTGTATTCCTATCCAGCAGCAATTGATAGACAAAAGGCAGTAATGCAATGGTCTCTCCAGGGATAGCATTTTCGCCTACATAAGTGAATTGTCATTCAGCAATAAAATGAAGAATTAAAAGAATTGAAGACCATCAAGGGGACTTAAGTAAATCTGAGACAAATTTTGTATATAGCTATTTGTATATGCACAGTTTCATATGGTTTTATATACATTGCCAGGCTGGAGGTAATTGAGTGTTAATTAGTCTACAGCAGTATATTAGATGGTCTTGTAATAGCTTCCAGTCAGATTGAACAATTAAGCATGTATATTTTTGAAAGGTTGGTTTATGTGGGTTTTTTTATTATTTCAGAGGTTGCTGTTCCAAAAAACCTTCAATTCTCAACAGCTTGTCCATATTACTGTCATCAACCTGTTTCAGTTGCACCATTTACGGGATTTTAGCAATGAAACTGAACAGCATAGTTACAGTCAGGATGAACAGCTCTGCTGGACACAATTACTGGCACTCTTCAGTAAGTTATACAGTTGGCAGAGTATTTTTGAACAGCTATTGGCTAGACTGCTTTTTAACCAAGTCTGTTGTATCCTGGAATGAGAATATAAGCCCCGGAGTGGGCTCAACACTGCACAGGCTGATTGTGCAGTGAGAAGAAGCAGTTACTTGGGATGCCAGTGCTATTCTTGAATTGCATTACTATGGCATGATCTTATAGCCAGGTCTCATAGTTAGTGCTTCTGGAGGAGAAATTGTGAATTAGTTGGGTTCTTATTGATTAATTATGAATAAATTGATTAAGTTTGCTAAACCTTATGATTCCTTTATTTCCATTTAATCATTGACTTAATCCCCACCTTCCTGTTGTATCCTCATATTTCCTTTGGCATGTTGGAAGAAGAATATCTGCACCTGGGGATGTGTTTTAAGGTATAGGCTATCTGTACCATATAAAATCCTGACATTAAAAGATCCTAAGCTATATAATTTCCTCCTATAATTTTTTTTAGCACATAGAAAAATTATAAGGAAGTGGTGGAGCCACACTGACCATATTCCCATATTATTACTTCATATTTTGCATATATTTAAATGCTAAAACAGAGATAATGAAGTAGTCTCTCTATTTAGAATTGGTTGCTTAATGACCATTCAAAGTTATGCTGGACTGAAAGTCACAACTTAGTCAAAGTTATAACTACTATGCTGCACTATCACATGATTATATTTTAGGCACTTGGCAACTGCCTCACATTTACAACTGGTTGCAGCATCCAGTGGTCACTTGGAAGCGTATTGTGATTTATTTGCTGTTTTCTAGCAAAAAAAACACCCTGTGGATTCAGACTTATGACCATGTGATTTGCTTAACAGAAATGGTAACTTGCTTAATGACCATCATAAAAATGGTCATGAAATTGATTCTGGTTACTTGGTGACTTGACTTACAACCCCAATGACAGAAAACCAAAATCCTGTGCTCAGTTGTGATCTTAAGTTGATCACCCCTATATCACTGTTTGCTCTGTTGGTAAGATCCTATGCTCAACTTTTGCAATCATATGGTCAACTTTAGCATTTTTTAAGACTCAGTAGAGAACATTTTTTTCTCATGTTTTACATTAATAGTTTTATAAAAATATTAGATATTATGAGTATCCATTATATATACTTTTTTCTTTTTTTCATTTTATCCAGTGTTGTTAATTTTTTCCTGTCTTGTTTGTGTTTTTATTATTTTTGTTCCTATTTTTTAATTTGCATTTTGTATTTTATCTTTTGAAATCAGTAAAAATTAAAAAAAATATATTAAAACCGATGATCAGCAAGAGATAATTATTACTGCTTGAACTGATAACCATTTTGTCAGTATAGTGCTTAAAGTAATTAACTAAAAACACACACTGTACTTTTGTTTTCCTCAGTGTCTTTTCTTGGAATTTTGTGCAAGTGTCCACTTCAGAATGATTACCAAGAAGAATCTTGGGGTTCTTATCCCCTTCCTGCACTCAAAGTGTCAATGGACTGGCTGAAACTTAGACCCAGTGTTTTTCAGGAGGCCGTGGTTGATGAAAGGCAATAGTAAGTCTTGTCTGCCTGTGTTTTTCCATTTTTCTTTAGTTTAAATGAAGTAAATTAGTAATGAATAATCTAAATTTCTCCCGATATAAATACAATGAGCTTTTTTGTGGTTCAAGTTTTTATTAGTTTATCAGAATATAAAATACAGAGGAAAATAAAAAATAATGGGAAACTAGGGAAGGAAAAAGGGATCAAGAGAAAGTGTGGGGTAGGAGGAAAAAAAGAAAAATAGCATTGTCTTCTGACTCTTTTTGGTACAGTAGAAGATAGTAACATTACAGCCTCAACTTTTTACTTTTACTCTGTAGTATATACTATCCATTTCTATAACAGTAAACTTATCTAATCAGCAACACCAAAATCAAAGTTTCATTATTTTTCCATCATAAGCACAAAATCCAGAAACGGTTGCCAAATAGGAATAAAAGTAAATACACTCTTTTTAAAAAAAAATAAAGCAATCAATTTAACTATCTCTGCTTTTTTTTCCCTACTATTTGCACACAATCTTCAGTAGCCACTTTTTTCTTCTCTAACTCTGATCACAATTTGAAAAGGAAGAAATGGCTAACTTTCTGAAAGTACTATTAGCAATTCCTTGATTTGATCCCCGATTGGAGGATGAATAGCTTCAAACCAAAGTCACATAATTCTTAGTCACAAATGCGTAATGATTTAATGAATGAAATATGTTGCCACTTTTGCACAAAAGTTTATTTTCTTTCATTTATATCCCAGTTTTTTGATATAAAAATTCAGTTACCTTCTAGAAGAGTCAGAAAATCTATTTTAAGATTCTATGCTACCTACTTAATGCAAGTTGGCAATAATTGCTGTTAACTCTGTGGGTGTCTGCCTCAGACTAGAAGCAGTGATATTTCTTTTCAATTTCAGAAAAGTAGCATTTCCCCCCCCCACACACACACACACACACTCCATAGCTGCACACAACAGCCTTTTTAGCTTTTTGACAGTTTTCCATTTCAATCTTACCTTCAAATGCATGGGGTTTTGTTTTTAGAACAGCTGAATGAAAAGGGAGACACAGAGATTTGCATAAGGCATTCCTTGTGTCCACTAACTGAATCCCTGACTTTTTCACCAGTGCACCACTGAGTTGCACTGTTTTGCCTCTGAACTCCCTGGTATTTGGATCTTATAATTTGAAAAAGCAAGGATTTAAATTAGAAGCTGGTTGCTTAATGTGAGTTCATGTTAACTTATATATTATATAATATATTATTATATTATTATGTTATGTTATATTATATTATATTATATTAATATTATAATTACATTACATTATATTATATTATATCATATCATATTATATTATATTATTTTATTAAATTTTCCACTCAATAGTTGTTCAAGCTGTTTTACAATAGAGGAATGTAAAGCAAATATAAAGACTGTAAATCAGGGAAATTGGAATCAAAGAAGGATATAAACAGTGGGTCTTAGTAGTGCATTTCTGATTGTAAAGTGTAAAATAAAGACATGAGAGCATGTTCTTTTATTTTCCTGTCATGTGACAAGTTACCTCATTATCATTTCCTCTTTCTGGGCAGACTTAAAGAGGAAAATGATATAAGGTTTGTCAGTTATAGCATAAGTCAGAAATAAACTCTATTGTGCGACTTTAAAAAATGGGCACTTTTTATTAAGCGTGGAAGAATCCTTTGCCATTAAAAATCTAGACATTATACATAGTTTTTGAATAATTTATTTTCATATATACATCAGTTTATACACTCCACCCTTCAAAGTACACCAAACATAAAACCACATACTTAAAAAAAATTGTAAACAAAATTGTAAATTGTAAATTAAAACAAATGTCTAGCCAACAGCAAAATCTGTCAAAATGGTGGCCCAGCATCACCGTTATCTATCAAATATTTGCTGGAATAAAATTGCCTTCATAGCCTTCCAGAAACTAAAGGGTTGGGGACTCTGTATACTTTGGGGTATATTGTTCTTCAGAATGGGACAGCCACCAAGAAGTTTTATCTTTTTGTTCCACTCTCTTTACTTAACATTGAGGGGGGACACTCAGCATCCACATTTCAAAAAATGCACAAGACTGGCTGAATCCAAGCAAGAGAGAAAATGGGACCTAAAGCCATGTAAGACTTTTTAGGTTAGTTAAAGCTAATGGAGAAAATTATGTGAAAGGTAAAAGTCCCTCTGGATTATAAATATACTATAGCACTCTGTTCCCACAAGGATGGACCGAATACTTGTGAGAAGGCTTCGGGTTAGACATGAAGTCAATAGCTGTGTGTCTGAGCTTTGTAGGTCTAAGAGATTGTGCCCAGTAATGAAAATGTCAGAGCTTCTGTCAGTATTCCTTAGAAACTGACTTAAAAGAGTCTACTGAAAGGAACAACTAAGGAATTTCCCAAAATGGGATAGATAGGCATCCTACAATTCTTCATCCATTTGTGTTATATAGAGGAAAAATCAAGTAGCTACTTCAGGATTGAAATAAAATACGATTACAAGGCATTGTTTTATGGTGGCATTAAGCAATACCTGTGTATTTGAACCAATAGAATAATGTGTGACTGTGTTATTTAAATGATGCTATAGAAATACCAGGGGAAAATTGTACTGAAATACAGCAAGATAGTTACTGGAATTTTCAGAAAAGGATCTTGGATAGAATTAATTTTTGTAGATTATATCAGAAGAGATCTGATAAGAAATGGGGCTTTTGATGCAGTAAGGACAAGGTATGCAATGGAAGAGGCAATAGTGAGTGTGCAGTGTGTTAAAGTGTAAGTATAAAACTCTTCTTGCTTTGCAGTGTTTGGCCTTGGCTGATTTCTCTTCTAAACAGTTTTCAGCCTCATGAAGAAGATCTTTCCTGCCCTAATGGTAAGAACACTCCCTTATGACATAGTCTGAGGAAGAGAAGAGCAGAGTGAAGTCAAGAACAGTGTAATAGAAAAACACTGATGAGCTTGTGTATAAGTTTAAGTTAAATCAAAACTATTTTAGCTCATGTTGCCTTCATTGATTCTAAGAAGTATCTTCTAAGTACTCATTAAATTATGTAGATTCTATTCTACGCCCTCAGCCAGCGACGTTTTATTTGCCCAAGCTGCTCTTCAATGTCATTGATGGTACAGTTTGTTTACAGTTTTATATTTATATATCACCACTTGTAAAAAAGCATATGGGTTGCAACAATCAATCAAATTATTGGTAGTGCAGAGAAATAAGACCCTAAGAAGGTGTCCAAATAAGACCAACCCCCCCAAAAAGTCAAAATTAGCAGATAAAAATAAATGATAATAGGAATATTCATAAATCTTCCAAATATAGAATTTTTCAGAATGGTTACTGAAGCTGGAGAACATTCTGTGCAATCTTAATTATGAATTTCCTTATTAATTTTACTTTCAGGCAGAATTACATTTGTTCTCTTGAATTAAAATTTTAGTACATTCTAACTACAGGTGGTTCTCAATTTATGACCGGCCATTTTACACTATTCAAAATTAAAATGGCTTTGGGACATGCTGTACAGGGACCATATAATGTCACAGCTACCTGTGGTCACGTGACCACAATTTGGGCTTTTGGCAACTGGCTCATCTTTACGACTCAGGCACATGATTGTAATTTGCAACATTTTTTGCCAGTTTTGGAAGAATAGTTTTGCTTGATGATTTCATGATTTGCTTCAACAACTATGGTGATTCATTTAATGACTGCTGCAAAAAATGTAAAAAGGAGGGGGCTGTCATATCGGTTCCTTGACTTACAACTGCACCAACTTAAGACTGGATTTCCGGTTCCAATTGCAGTTGCAAGTCGAGGACTACTTTACAACCACAACTGGGACAAGGACATCTAGCACTAAGCTATTCACTTATAAAGGGCAAGCTGATATGACTGCTTCACTTAGCAAGGGCACTCCCCATTGTCATCATTAAACAAATTCCACCAGCTGTGAGCCAAGGACCCACCCTAAGCCATGTCATTCCAGGCTTGGTCCCTCCCAGCCCAGAGCCTCGGTAAAGTAAGGGACTGCTTCCTCTTCAATTCCCCCTTCCCTCATCATCCCCTATCACTCCATCTTTGCCCTTCTGCCTGTGCTGCACCCTGTCAGGCGAGGTGGCAAGCAACCCTACGTGGCTCTGGAACTGCTTGCCCTGTAAGAAGCCCTTGAGCCACAGCAAAAATCCCCCGGAAGCCCCATCAGCATAGTGTGCAGCCTCAGTGTGGCACAAAGCACAACTGTTCTGGAAGCTCCAACTGCCTATAGAAGCCGTAAAAGCATGGCAGCGCTGTTGTGTAGCATGGCACAAAGCCGCAGCCCAGTTACATGGTGCAAAGCCAGCAGTGCAGGGCAAAGCCTTTGTCACCCCACGAAGCCCCAGCTGTCTCAGCTCAGCCACATTCACTGCCCTGCACTTCTAGACCTATGTTGCCCTCAACATGGTCAACCATCCCAGTTGACCTTCACTGCTATCTTGCTCCTACTGCTGTGAGGTGTGCCCTCCTTGGTCTTTGCAAGGCAGCTGCTGATCACATGAGGCCATCTTGCCCAGATCTTCTGTGTGCAATCTGGGGAAAAAAGTTTTACGCAGCCATCATCTGCCTCAGAAGGGCCATGCTAGGCATACTTGGTCAGCACCGGGAGCAAGAAAACAGCAGTCAACTAGGGCCACAGGAACCACAGAATATAGGGTGTCTAAAAGGCATATATAAGGGAGAAAATAAGTAAAAGGGGAGTTGAAACATCCCTGCAGTCGTAAGTGTAGGCAGACTACCAAGTGCCTGAATTTTGATCATGAAGGCACTGCAATGTCTAACTTTGGGAACCAATTGTAAATCCATTTGGTGCTGCTGTAACTTCAAATAGTTATATGGTTATAAATTGAGAACTACCTGTAACTTAAAAAGCACTTGATATTTATTGGATTGGATCTTTGCTTGCTAATGAAAAGAAGACTTGAATACAGATGTGCATATTTCTTTGCTTCATTCACTAGCCACTCCTCTTCCAGAAGAGTTTGAGCTGCAAGGATTCTTAGCTCTGAGACCCTCGTTCAGGTGAGTGGTTATTATAGCTAGATGATACTTATCAGTGTTACTCAGACTATGGAGTCAGGCATGAAGGACTGTCCTAGCTGGCAGTGGTGCATGATGGACAGATGGCAGTGGGCAGCAGGTAGCCAAAAGGGCAGAGATAAGAGGGAGAGATGAGGATGCTGAAATAGTTTCCTACTTTGGAAGGACCAAGGCTCATTAAGGGTAGGGACCATGCCAGGAATGGCTCAGATTGAGTTGGGTCCTTGTGTAATGACCAAGCAGGTTAATATGTACTGTTTTCTAAGCTCTTTGTAATTATTGCCACACTACAGAATTTCATATATCTTCACTATTTTCTGTAATACATTATTATAGAATCATTGGGATTAAAATTCCAATTCTGGTTTCCTTAAATTTCAGTTTAATTTCTGTGTATTTAAAGTTTAATCTCTTTGGAAATATTTAGAGAAAGTGGTGTGACGGGGAAAAATAGATAATCTATTCTTGTTTTTTTCACTGAAGTAGAATTTCTGCTTTCTAACATGATAGATCTTTTGGTCTAATACTGTACAAGATAACTGTTAACTGCTATAGATTAATTTCCCTGGATAAACCCAGGGGAAAAATACTTGGCAGATCTGAGTCTATAAACATATGCAGAGTGCTTTTCTATTCTGAAATTGATTCTGGTACTATTTGCTTTTATATTTGGGTGTTAACGGTGAAAAATTACCTGAAGAACAATTTCAGCAAGGATGATAAGGCTTGATACGAAATACATAAACATGTTGTGCGACTACTATAAAATGGGACTCTTTCTCTCCCTGCCACCTGCAAGTTCTGTGTAATTACTTTCTTGCTTAAAGGGAAACTTTAGATAACTAATCGGACCACTACGTGTTACATCTGCATGTATCCCTCTTGTTCCTGATTCATAATCCGAGCATGCCATTTTTATTTTTGTCAACAATCAGGAACTTGGACTTCTCTAAAGGCCATCAGGGGATTACAGGAGACAAAGAGGGGCAGCATCGCAGTATACGGCAACAGCGCCTGATCTTCACAGGAAAATGGATCGCTGACAATCAGCCAAGGTATCTGTATAGCTGCTAGTATTGTCCTATACCCTTCGCCCATGATGGTTCTCTTTGCCTCTCAGCATTGCTGTTTCATGATTATTATGACGGGTGTTAAAACTCGAAACGAAGGTATGATTGTGGACTACTATTTAATAATTTAACACTAACACGAGGCAGTAATATGGGAATGGTAGATAGATACCAAAATGTGCATAATGTATACTTTTTTTTCAGGGCTTAGAGAACTTTTTAGGAACTTAAATCCATATTTTAGTTTGATGTTACAGGTAGTCTGTCAGAATCCAATTATATTTCATCTCTAGTTATCAACTATAGAAAACCCCATTTCTGCCTTCTATGGATTCTGTCATACGATGAAGGGAAGGGGGTGAACAAAGGGGCTTTATGGCCCTCGCTTCCTTCGGTACACTTCAAAGGAACTGGATGTGTATATCACCAAAAGGACTAACCGTAACAGTGGGGCTATTACCTTCATGTAGTTCTCTCTGAAGTTTCCATCCAGCCGGCAGTAAGGAAAGGGGGGGGGAGTGTAATGTAATGCCTGAGTCTGTCACTGGAAGAAGGGGGTGATTGGGTGGGGCTACTGGGGAACCCCTTAAAACCTTGAATGGGAGAGCTTGGACTCCAAGTCCTGTCTAGGACGCCTGCAATCATTTTCTCTTAATAAAGGATGCCTGTTGGAAGAACTATTCCAAGAGTTCTGTCTTCTTAAGATGCAAAGTGGGGTGGGTCCTTACATAGTCCTCATTTAATTAAAGTCCCTAATCCTCATAATAACGACCAGCAACTTCATTCCTAATCAAAGCAATCATTAAGTGAAATGTCCCATAACGGCCCCACAGCAGTTTTGGCAGTCCCTTTGGCTATAAATCCTGCTTGGTCATTACACAAGGACCCAACCCAATCTGAGCCATTCCTGGCATGGTCCTTACCCTTCCTGAGCCTTGGTCCTTCCAAAGTCGGGAACTATTTCAGCATCCTCATCTCTCCCTCTTATCTCTGCTCTTTTGGCCACCTGTTGCCCACTGCCACTTCTGTCCACCATGCACCACTGCCAGCTAGGACAGTACTTCATGCTGCTCCTGACTTAATATGAAGAATTAACAAAGAAGGATCACTGCGGGACAATCTGCAGTGTAAAGGCTCATTCCCAGTGGCAAGGGCATGCAGCAAGGCACACATTGTCCTTCCTGGTCACCCTAGCTCTCACCTGCAGCACTTGCTTGCCTACCCCTGCTTCCTGGCACCTGCCTGGAGCACCTGCTGCCCCCAGCTAACCTTTACCATCATTTTGCCTCCCTCTTTTCCACTGGACACACTGTCCTGGCCACAGACAGATAGGTATTGTGGGAAGGTGGATCTGCACCACTACCCTGCTGAGTACACCAGTCTTTCATGCTCTACCTTGCCATACACCACTGCCAGCTGGGATGATCCTTAGCGCAAAAGATCAATGAGTAAAGATTGCTGCAGGACAATCTGCAACACAAAGGATTATCTTGGCCCACAGGAGAACATGGCACAAATATGGCGCATGTCACAAAAGATCATCCTGGCCAGACCAGAATTCCTTTCCAGCACGATATGAGAATGGTGGGACTTAAAATCCTGCACATCTGGATAGCTGCTTTAAGAATGACATATTGTAGTTCATTGGGGAAGAAACCCAGATTTAAAATCCTTCTTCAGGCATGAAGCTGGCTGGGGAAACTTGAGCTGATTACGTTCTTCATTATTGTAATCTAATCCTCCCAGGATTCATCGGAATAAATGTGTGTGTGTGTGTGTGTGTGTGTGTGTGTGTGTGTGTGTGTGTGTATAAACCCAGTGAATTAAGCTTTGGAGAGGAAGGCTATATAACTTTAAAAGAAACACCCAATCTGTTGCTTGGACATCCTCCGCTTTTTTTTTAAACGAGCGGAAAGTTGTAAGTTGACAATTGGTTGCAAATCTGTTTTTTCAGCGCCGTGGTATAACTTTGAACAATTGCTGAAAAAGTGGATGTTAAGTGCAGACTACCTGTATTAATATAATTTGTAAGGCTACACACCTCTTCAGATTCAGTGCTACAAAAGTGTTTCAGAGTATGTGGGGATGGGGGCAAATAAATGCTTCACCTGCAACCCTAGAAAAAGGAGCAGCTGCTTTAAGAAGTTGTAGATAGGTGCCACGTTTGCATCTCCTATATGTCAAAGCAACCTTTTGACCTTTGAATTTGAAACACTGCCTAGGCTTAATCGTAGACTGGTTAGACCAGGGGTAGGCAACCTTGGCTCTTTTATGACTCGTGGACTTCAACTCCCAGAATTCCTGAGCCAGCTGTGCTGGCTCAGGAATTCTGGGAGTTGAAGTCCACGAGTCATAAAAGAGTCAAGGTTGCCTACCCTTGGGTTAGACAGATTGAAAGAAAATAGTTGTCTTTTGGTAAATCTGATCACTGTTCTAGTTTGATTGCAGTTTTGTAATAACTCAGGCCCCCAGCCTGACTGCTTCACAGCTTTAAACAGGAGCTGCTGCAGACTGAATTGGAATCTTGTGCATTCAGAGCACAGGAATTAATGCAGTGGGGTTGATTTGCTCCAGATCTTTGTATATGAAAAATATTTTCCTGCAGCGCTGCAATTACCTCAGCATGTAAAAGTTATGTTGCATGCAGTGCATGGGGCCAGAGCTTGGAATAAGTAGGACTGGCCATTCTCTATCCCCTTTCTTCCTTTTACTTTTCTGAAACTCTCTTTCTTTCAAATAGCAGAAAGAGAGATTTTTTTAGAGATCTGAGCTGATCCCTTGCATAGGCCTTTATTAGGCAGGAGATCTAGGGTTTCAAAAGTTGCGGGTAGTCGTTCCCTATCTAGATCAATCTATTGGAGTTGGCAAGAGGGGGGAAATGAAGTCATTGCAGAGGGAGAATGAAAAAGACTTGCTTTAGTAAACACAAGGTTATTACTTGCATTTTACTACTCTCATCTCTGTAATCAAATTCTCAAACGTTAATCCAGGTGTTAGTCAAAGTAACTTAAAGCAGGGGTCTGCAACCTTGACAACTTTAAGACTTGTGGACTTTAGCTCCCAGAATTCCTCAGTCAGCTATGCTGAAGTCCACAAGTCTTAAAGTTGTCAAGGTTGCAGACCCCTGACTTAAGGATGGGGGTATTCTTCATTCTTAGTGAGGTATAATGGCAACGGAGGCTTTACTGTTAGTTGTAATGGCCTGCAATATAAACAGTAGCATTGTGCAAGTATGTTCCAGTCAACTGAGCTACGATAACGTTGTGTGATTCTCGTAGTTATACTGAGCTTCAGCTGCTGGTTTGAAAGAAGCACGGTGAGTTTTTAGTTCAGATGCTACCACCCAACCAAAGAAGTTACAGAAATATATATCTCCAAAAGCTTTTATCTATTAAAACATCAGAGGAGATCAGATGATAATCCCTGACTGCCTTAAAACTTCATCAAGCTTACCCACTCTCAATTGGCCCAAGGAAAGGTTGCTTTCTCTTTGTTTCCTTCTAGCTCTGTTCTTACTTTGCTTCAATTTTGTGGACTTAAAATAATTTAAAAAACCAGTGATTTTTTTTTCCGCTCGAGGTTTGTGACTGATTATTCTTGAAAATCTTTCAGTAACCTATAGTTAATTGCTTTTATTTATTTTATTTTTTTTGTTAAAGGTTGATCCAATGTGAAAATGAGGTTGGCAAACTCATGTTTTTGACAGAGATCCCAGAACTGTTACTGGAGGAACATAGTGAGTCCAAACAGAGTCATGTTCTGCAGGAAGCATCAGAGTCTCAGTTTGTAGATGGGAGCCCAGGACTTAAGTCAGTACTATCTACAAGTCGAAACCTGAGCAGCAGCTCTGATACGGGAGATAAGCCAATGGTGACATTCAAAGAAAACATTAAACCACGAGAAATAAACAGAGAGCAAGGCCGAAACTACCTGACCAAGGAAGTAGGTAGGGAAAGAAGAGATTACATCAAAGGAATAACAGCCAATAAAAATGATGGAAAGAAGGAAAACAACAACAAAAGGAAGAATGAGATTAAGAAATGTGGCATGGACAAGGGTCAAGAAACAGGGAAGCAGAATGTAGCTATACAGGTAAGATTCTCAATATGTTATCATTCCTCTGAATGTTTTCATGCTGTAATTTAGCTGTAATGTTATAAAATGGCCTGAAGCTACTTTTAAGCTTTTGGATGATGTGACATAGTGAGATAGCTATGAGAGGCAGATGCATCTGAAGCTTCCATACCTTCTCTTTGCTCCCTCAATATTCATTTTCCTTACTAGGGGATCTAATGGAATAGTGGCTTATGTTTCGCTCTTTCATTGCATATCTATGGTCTTATTTTCCTTTCCTTTCTTTCCTTTACTTTGTCTATCCGTTAGATCAGGGGTCGCCAACTTTTCTGGCTTGGCGGCCCAATGGGAAAGGGAGAGACAGGTACCTTTATGCGCACATGCACACACACACACAAATGTGGCTGCGTGTATGCAAATGGGGCTGCTAGCACCGGCACGTGGCTCACCAAGCACCGGTGAGAGGCTTGCGTGGCTCGCCTAGTGCCAGCACATGGCTTGTGGCTTGGCTAGCGCTGGCACGACATTCATGGCTTGGCTAGCGCCAGTGCAAGGACAGAATGAACACTTGCACATGCACGCATGCAATGGCCAGCTACTCATGCGGCCCAGTGGCCAAGAGGCCATGACCCGGTAGTGGGCTGCAGCCCATAGGTTGGGGACCTCTGCATTAGATGTTCTCTTCTCGGGTACCTCTCTTTGGGGTCTTATGACTCACCTTCTTAATTAGACTGTGTCCAGTTGAATCTTTACTTAGTAGAGTGGGACTCCATTCATTCATTCGTTTGTTCGTTCATTCGTTCATTCGATTTGTGGCTTCCTTCTTATTCAGGAATTCAGGAGGCCATACATAGCACTCCCCCTCTTAGCAATACCCCTGTGATGTAGATCAGGGCTTTTCAACCTTTTCACCCATTGTACCACTTTTAGGATATGGCAACATCCGAGTACCACCGGTCGCCTAGCAAGGTGTCAAAAACTTGATGACCAAAAAAAGTGATAAAATACAGATAGTCCTCGATTTACAACAGTTCGCTTAGTGACTGTTTGAAGTTACAATGGCACTGAAAAAGTGCCCCCCAAGCCACAGCCGAGGTTTTCATTGCTGTGAGCATTTCTGTTGAGGATTGGCAGAGGGGGTGGGGTGGGGGATGTTTGGTTTTTATTTCCCCCATTTGCTGGATGGTTGCAGCAGGTTTTGTTCACTTCACATAACCCTGGGACACTGTGACCGTCATAAATATGAATCAGTTGCCAAGCATCTGAATGTAAATCACAAGACCCTGGAAATGCTGCAACATTCCAGCTGATCAGCACTTCTTCTGGGCTCAGCAGAAGCACCAGGATCAACGCCGAGCTCCAGCTGGAGCCTGGTGCTGATCCTGGCGCTTCTACTGAGCCTTGACAGCTCCAAAGAAGAGCTGATCCTGACGCTTCCGCTGAGCCCTGACAGCCCTGCAGCTCCAGCCATCTCTTGCTCAGGCTTGTGCGGTGCTACCACTAGTTCAGTTCATTTCCCTTCCCCGCTACCACTTTTCTAGGATGGTCACGTACCACCTGCCAGGTGCCAATGTACCACAGGTGGTACCCGTACCACTGGTTGAAAAGCCCTGATGTAGATAGGTTGAGAGAGAGAGTGACTCGCCCTAAGTCACACTTTTGAGCTCCAGACTGGACTTGAGCCTCAGATTCCCCAATGCTAGTACCACCTCTTAATGGCTACATGACACTATCATTTAATCACATGATTTAAATAAGCTTAATAATACCATTATGTTTTCTGAAATTAAGCATTCTAATATTTTTTAAGCTGCAAGAGTCATTTGCTAGCATTCAATATAATATTACAGCAAATTTTTGCCAATTTCTGGTAATGGGGAGCTGCTCCAAGTGGATCTGATATGAGATACAGATTGTTCTAACATTTAATAATTGTTAGAACCTGTATCCCATATCAGATTCACTTTATAAAATGAATTCAGTACAAAGATCTTCCTGATGATATTTTTAAGTTTAGGAATGTTCCGTATTAGTACGCAGTTCAGTGGGGACAGATTGTACCTCATAAATTTTCTAAACACAAATTTTGCAATTGTGCAGATTTGCTCAGGGACTCATTTTTTTGCTGAACTACAGGTGTTTTTTTTTTTTTTTTTTTTTGAGATCTTTCCCTTATGTGCTGTTGCTTCTAAATAAAGTATAAAGTTATCTCAGAATGGGTATTGTTTATTGTGCTTTCTTTTGCTCTAAATTTCAGCTTTCATAGTTTTCATTATGTAGGTTTATTGATGTATTCATTTTTTTCTGGAATAGGTGTGCTAGTTTAGGCATATACATTTTTAAGGAGCAAATATGTCAGTATATGTGTCTTTTCTGCAAAAAAGCCCAGCTCATCTATGGTATACGAATTGCTGTAACTTTGAAGTTGCAACTGAAATTGAATAAAACGAAGCGGACATTGATGTAAAGAAATACATCAGGCTCTAATTTATAATTTCATTCAAACCTACATCTTATGCTCTTGTACCTGCAAAAGCTGTGATAATTTTAGAAACAGGGCTTCTAGATGGAGATATCTATCATCATAAGTCCAGTAGTTGGATAAGTATTAAAATATTTCTAAAAAAATCTCAAGTAATGATTTTATTAATATTTGTATTTTAATTTTCCAATTTATGTTTCAGAATCCTTGGCCCAACTGCTGGGTGTTCTTACCAGCTTCTCCATTAGGTTTCTTTTGAAAGTATGAAGCCAAAGACAGGCTTAAACTACCTCCTCTAGTCCACTGTGGAGATAAATAATGGCTCCTCCAAATTCCAAACATGATCTTCAATCTGAATTCTTTTCTGAAAAAGCTAGTAGAATTTGTTCTCACCTTGTGAGTCAGAGGAATAGTACATGATCAGTCTAAAATGTTCTGAGAACTGCAAATGTGGAACTGGCCAAGACTAAACCCACATTCTTTGTTCCTGTACACCAAGAATGAGAAAACAAATCCCTGGAAAGAATTGATATGTCTTATACTAATTTTTTAATTATTACGTTCTTAAGAAGGCATGAGCAAGTGAACAAGGGCAAAAATGTAGAATTACTGCTTTTACTGACTTATCCCTTTAGGTAAAATCCCAGACTGAGTTGAGAAAGACTCCAGTGTCTGAAGTCAGAAAAACACCAGTAAGTCAATCTCCAAACCAGGCCAGCAACTCCCAGTTCATCCCCATCCATCACCCAGGAGCTTTCCCTCCTCTTCCCAGCCGGCCAGGTAAAAATGCTGTTACTCTAAACCAGTGTTTCTCAACTTTGACAATTTTAAGGCATGTGGACTTCAACTCCCAGAATTCCACAGCCAGCATTGCTGGCTGTGGAATTCTGGGAGTTGAAGTCCACATGCCTTAAAATTGTCAAGGTTGAGAAACACTGCTCTAAACTAATCTTGGCTTGGTGTAAACTGATGGAACAGACTATTAATGTCTTCCCTATACTTACCTTTCTTAATTCAAAGGGGAAAGGGGCAAGAGGGAGAGAATGAATGTATGTGCATATATGGGATTAAGTAAATGCATTGTTAAATGGAATATTCACATTATTTCTAGAAAGTTGGCATAATCGTTAAATATGTAACCTTACATGGTATTTACCAGGCATCAGTCTTTCCAGTATCTTTTTTGCCAAGATGCAGCATGAGAAGCCATCTTTATTTCACAGTTTACATACAGACAGACAGACAGATACAGTATGTGACAACAAAGAAAACTTACAGATCTTTTCAAACATAAATGTAGATTTTGAAGTAGAAAACATAATAAATGTAAAGTATCCCTATACCGCTTTAATTAATTTATTTGTGTATAACATCTTGCAAAAATGCCTAAAATCCTCTGAAAGTCATAGTGAAGCATCCCCTCGGATGTTAAGAGCTTTCCTAGAATTTTCCTCCAGCAAAGTGAGAGTCCACTTGAGGCTTACTGGCACAAACTTCTTTTTGCAAATAACTTTTTCAGCACGGAAGAATAGACTGAATTAATCCATTCCTATAATTGAATGCTGACAGATAGGAGATCTTCGCTTTACAAAGATTCTCTTTAGCTGGCAGGATCAGAGAGGTAAAGAAAGGGCCAGTCACAATCTGTCTCAGTGGTTAATCCTGAAGAGGGGGGGGGGGCTGGAAGTATTATCCAAGGTTTCAGTTATTAAAATGTGTGCTTTCTTTCTTTCAAGGCTTCCCCCCTCCTGCCTATGTTATTCCTCCTCCCGTGGCTTTCTCTATGAGCTCGGGATATACTTTTCCAGGTGGTGTTTCTGTCCCAGGAACCTTTCTTCAGCCTGCAGCTCATTCGCCTGCAGGAAATCAGGTGCAAGCTGGGAAGCAATCCCACATTCCTTACAGCCAGCAGCGGCCCTCTGGACCAGGCCCAATGAACCAGGGACCTCAACAGACTCCACCCCCTTCTCAGCAGCCCCTTGCATCCATACCAGCTCAGGCAACAAACCCGTCTGCAAGCCAGCTGCAGGTCCAGGCTCTTGCCCAGCAGCAGCAACAACAACAGTCCCCAACAAAAGCTGTACAGGCATTAGGGAAGAGTCCTCCACACCACTCTGGATTCCAGCAGGTGAGCCTCTGCTAACTTTGAGAGAGGAGAGTGTGTTACAGCACCAAACTTTTATAAGTTTTGTACTCAAGTAACACAAAGACTCCAGCTGAGATTGCAGTACCGGCCTCTCTGTAAATTTTATAACGGCAAGTACAACCTCTAAAGGAGAGAAAAGGAATTCACAAGTTCTTTGGGAAAGAGATAGACAAAATATGGTGAGCAAGCTAGGAATGTAGTTGAAGGCCAAGAACAGAAGAATGTCAGAACGACATTTATTAATGATCAAATGCCTCTTTTCTAGGCTAGAAGAGTCTTGAGTTGTCAGAATAATTCAGATTATATTTGATAAAAGTCTTCCTCCTACTTCTTCTCAAGTATGGCATGGCCAGCCTTATAAAGGATGAATTGGTATTATTGAAAGATTGGTTAAACGTATTTGAAGGATTACAACTTAATGTGCACCATAGTGCTTGCAAAGCTGCAACATTGTGTCTTCACTGAAAGATGGAAAATGATTAATGAATGAATCTTAAGGTCAAAATGCTAGCCTTGTAGTCTGTCTCTGCTAAAAAGTTTCTTTAGTTTTTCTCTGCTTGTGAGGCCTGAAAACTTTAATCTCAAAAGGAAGCTGTAAATTTTGGAAGTTTGCTTTGTAGAATTGAATGTGCAGTTCTGCCTAATGTGCTCTGCACTGAACGTAGTTTTGTAATAAGGTAATAACATTCAGTGTACAGCACGTGCTCAGAGAAGAGAAAAAGTATATTTTTTGGATTATCCTATCATTCAACCCTGTTAGTTAATTCTGAATCAGAGCATAGTTGGCATCCATATTACATTCAGTTTGTTCTGTTGGTCTGTGTGGTTATTTGCTGGATCTTAAAATCAACCTCTTATCCAGAGGGCCTGTATTACTGATAATGCTGAATGCTGGCATATTTATTCTTAGTATCCCCATGGAGACTCCTCCAAGCAGCTCTGGAGCCCCTCTCAGGTTCAAGGCCCTTTGGGGAAGATCATGCCTATGAAGCAGCCGTACTATCTTCAGGGCCAGGATCCCGTGAAACTCTTTGAACACTCCTTGCAGCCTCCTCTTCTGCAACAACAGCAGCCTCTGGAGAAGAAAATGAAGCCTTTCCCTATGGAGCCATATAACCAGAATCCCTCAGAGGTCAAGATGCCAGAATTTTACTGGGACTCCTATGGTATGGCTGATAACCGTGTTGTGATGGCACAACAACAAGCCAACATGGACCGCAGAGGGAAACGTCAGCAAGGAGTCTTCCGCCCAGAACAGGATCCAATGTCGAGGATGGGTTTTGAGGTAAACTAAGAGTTGGCCACAGTATATAGGCAGTAGTTTCCTTTATGCCACAAATGGACAGATTCTGATGACTTACTGGTGTGGATGTGTAGGCCAGTCATGTCTTCATGTTTTGCTTGGCATTCATTGGATGAATCTGTGTTTCTGGCTCAATGGTTCTCTAGTCCTACTGTTCTTATAAAGAGTTAACTGGCAGGCTAACCCAGGTTGTTAGCTCAGAACAAAACAATCCCGCTTAGAACACTCCACTGGAATATTTCAGGCACACTGTGCTCCAGTGGAGCAAACATAATGTTTCTTGTATTCTGTTGTTCACAATTATTCCCCTTCATGGAGGTTCAATACACGACAAAAACCAAACCTATCAGGATAATTTCAGAACAATCCAATAAAATCAGCTGAGAACTCAAAACAAATATTTATATTAAACCAACACAACAGTACCCTTAAAACAATGCTTTAGGATAGGATAGTGTATATAATAGTATGTGGGAATGATCTTGGGAGACAGGGCAAAGAGACACAACCAAGGGAACAGTCAGATAGAAGGCAACTTAGCGCCCAATAGGAATGTGGGTGGGTCCAGTGGCTCAGAAGAGACCCTCCCTAGTTTCTTGGCTGTAGAAGGACAGGGGGAAGAAATGTACTTTCAGACATGCAAGATTCAGTTTATTTAACTTATGATAAAGTAGAATGAGTTTATCTGTCCCATGTTTCCTGTCTGGTCTACCTCACCAGGCTGAGAATATACTACACATCCATAATAATTTAAAATACACATAGTCCTCAATTTACGACCACAAAATTTCTGTTGCTAAGTCAGACATTTGTTAAGTTTTGCCCCATTTTATAACTTTTCTTGCCACAGCTGTTAAGTGAATCACTGCAGTTGATAAGTGAGTCACCCAGTTGTTAAGTGAATCCGGCTTCCTCATTGACTTTGCTTGTCAGAAGGTTGCAAAAGGGGATCACCTGACCGTGGGACACAGCAATGGTCATAAGTATGAACCAGTTGCCAAGCATCTCAATTCCGATCACATGAGCATGGGGATGTTACAAAGGTCCTAAGTATGAAAAACGGTCTTAGTCGCTTTTTCCAGTGCCATTGTAACTTTGAACTCACTAAATGAACTGTTGTAAGTCAAGGACTACCCGTATATATTAATCTGTCAACTAAATAAAAGTGGGATGGAACAATCAGACCCCGTAGTAATCAAATAATATATAACAATCTAAAAGGCTGGGATATCTCTACAAAGATAAAGGGAGTTGAATGGAATCCTTTAGGCCCACAACTTGGAGATTGTAATGCTGGACTGAGTATCCAAAAGAAGACTCTGCTCAAAGAATGTAAAAAGCAGTCAGGGTTGTATTAAGAAATAAGGCCAGGCAGGTATTGGGGAGTTTGTGATGAAAGGATTCTAGGTGCACTAGTAGTTTCTGCTGGACTCTGGCTCCTGTGCCCAGGGGAACTTACTAATTATCAGTCAGCAAGCAAGAAACATCAATAGGTTTACTTCTGCACAGTCTATCAACAACAGCAAAAATATACTTTTGTGCTGTTAGTTTGTGACTTTTCATGAATACACATGCATGTGTTTATGCAGTTGGCAACAGCATCTCACTGTTAACTCAGTTCCGCTTTAGTAAGCAATGTTATGCAAAGAACAGAAAGGGGGTGTAATAAAGTAACCACAAATACACAGTATTTTTTTTCATTGCCTTTTGTTCTTTAAACATCATTTAAATCCTTGGTTTTGCCCTTCCTTTTGACCTATTCACTTGTCATATGTTTTTTCTGTCATCCATCCTCATTCATTCTCATTGTCACCAGGCCAGTTCAATGTGCTTCTTTTTACTGGTCTTTTACTTTTGTACTCAACGTTCATTAATTTAACACCCATTCAGTCAACACTCACCCACACCTCTTAAGTAATCTATGCCGACTACATTCAGTGTGCAAGTTCCTGCTGACTTACCCAACTCAAAAAGGGGACAGAAGAACACTGCTTCTTTCGACAAGCATTAATTGCTTTTGACAGATACCTGTTGAGATGGGTAGCTATACAGGTCAAATAAATAAATGTCTACTTGCAGCTTATGTGCCTTGACATTTCTTCATCCATTTTCACATCTCACATGTATTCAGTAGTACACATAAATCAATTTATTTGCTCTAGGGTTTCTTTTTGCCATTTAAGTATAACTTGACATTTTTCACTCTTGTTTTTTCTGTCATATTTGAATGTTTGTTACATTAACATTCAGATCTGTACTCCTCAATTCTCAGCAAGCCATTAGTGTTCTCTTCTAACAGCATTGCATTCCCTGCATACAAAAGTACATACAATACATCCTTAGCCCATATACCGCTGATGGCACATTGCTTATACATTTATCCATAAATACATTAAATAACCAAGGGGATGCTGCACATTTTTCTTCCCACTAAGTGTTGAATCATTCTCGTGCATGCTTTACTTTAATCCTACACAGCTCTTATCACATTCAGCATCCAATCTGCAACTCTACATTTGTGCCAAACATTTCATAACTCAGACTTCTTCAGTTCACGATGTACTCTTTGCAAATCAAAATGCAGAAAAGTGTCTTTCCTATATTTTTTTCAGAGAAATGTACTGCAAAGCTAAAGAAATGAAAGAATAAACCCTGAAAATTCAATTTTGCAGGACTGTATGCGATGGACAGGCACATTAAACAGCTGTCTGTCTGTCCATCTGTCTCACAACTTGCCTGAACTAGATAAACAACAATGAAGTGATGCTATAGATGTGGAGGAAGCAAGATGATTTGCAAAGGTTGTAAGATATCAAGAGACAGGGTGGCATAAATTAGTTTCAGCTGTATTTCTGTATCTTACAGTTCTTTCCGTTTTTCCAGCTTTTGATTTTTTGCTGCCTTTTTGGGACTCTGGGTAATATTGAATATTCCACAAGGGAATTGTGTGATAGCTATGTATGTGTGGAAGAAAATGTTTAATACCATATTTTCCGGCGTATAAGACGACTGGGCGTATAAGACCCCCGACTTTTGAGAAGATTTTCATGGTTTAGAAAGTTGTCTTATACGCCGGAAAATACGGTATATTGCATTGTAGTCCATTGATCTAATTTCCCCATAGCAAAGATTTTACAAAATGATGATAAACCTTTCTGCCAAACAGCAGCAGTATGTGATAAACTGACTTTCCCCTCTCTCCCCTTCATTAGGACCAGCCAATAGCAGCAGCGACGGTACTTTGCTTGCTGTCTGAGTAGCTTAGCTTGCCTATTTGTAGGGCTACAGAGCTTCCTGCCAGCTCCAATAATTCTGGGGGAAGACAGGCAGAACAAAATCTCTGCTCATTTTATTGAGCAGAATAATAAATCTGAGAATTGGAAAACAACTTACTATAGTTATCAGAGTCAGGTTTAGTTGGTCAGTACAATGGTTTAGGGCAGGCTTTGCTTCATTTACCCCTTTCCCCAGCATTTTTTGCCAGGGTATACTATATACATATGTATACATTACAATATATAAAGAAATAATTAGCAACATCCTAAGATATTGCTTGCTTGTAGTGTAATGCTTGATATCCAACACAAGCTTTTTAAAACTTAAAATGTCACAAGAGGAGAGGAATAGATCATTATCTGGTGGCAAATTCTAAAGTCCAAGTTGGGCGTGGATTTCTTCCAGAACTTTCCGGTCAAACAATAATTTATTTATTCTCAAGCTTTATCACTATAAGATTGTATAAATCAACATTTAAATAGTTGGATAGCCCCTAAATGTAGAGAAAGCAAATACAAATCTCTTTTCTGTCCGTTGTTCTCTGACTTTGTCAGGGAAATTTTAAGTAGAAACGCCCCTATGAGTCTAAATGTGAGTTAAGGTGGCACTCCAATAGTGTAGTAGATCTAAAATTCTGAAAAATAGGTATAAACAGTTAACAGTTAATACTTATTTTGAAAACTTTGGATAAAAGTTCATACCTGCCTTGTCTGCACTTTCCCATTAGTGATTCATTGCAGGATAAAGCTGCTTAAAACCAACAAAACAAGGTGGGCTAATCCTCCTTCCTTTATATTTATTTAATTATCTGTCAATCTGTCAATCAATTAAATTTATAGAGCACCAAAATCAACTCTAGATGGTGCACAACAATCAGATAAAAATAAATAAATAAAAACAAAAGTATAAAAATCCATATTAATAACTGGCATTAAAGTGAAAAATATAAATATAGGAGAAGGAGGAGGAGGATAAAAATGGCCACCTCTACAATGGAGCCATCTGAGCAAGTCTCTGGGAGCCCCAGGCCTGGCAACATAGACTTGTCTTGGGGGCTTATCAAAAGGGATGGAGCTAATCTAATTTCAAAGGGATATCATTGAGAACAGTGTGTGCAGGGAAATAAACAAGTCATAAAATCACTTGAAAAAAGTAATTAAAAAAGTAATTAAATACAGCAGTCCATCAAAGTCATATTAAGACAACATTCCTAAGTACCTGTCTATGTTTTTTCTGACAGAGATATCCACATAAGCCTACAGGTGGTAACCCTGATAAAGCTAATACCGTTAAGTCTCCTTATTCTTATATCACCTTTTAAAAACTAAAAGCAAGGAGTCAGTTGCTTTATGTTGGTAGTTGCCAATATGTTAAAGGTTTATTTTTTTCCTGAGTTTGCTGTGAAAGTTTGCTAGAAATATTATAAAAGAATACCATAAAGCTCTATAATATTTTATGTTTCAGATTTACTTTTATATATTTAGATTTATTTCAATAACCTTAAAAATTGATTTTATCCCAGCTGTAACAGTTTTGAAGTATTTGTCCTAGTGTACTATATATTTCAGGCAGGTACATTTGTTGTCGGGAACAGATGGAAAAGATAGATATTTTTTTATAGACCAAGAAAAAGCTATGATATTCAAGATCAGAGAAGGACTTTGCTCACAACTAGCATCCTGAAAACTTTCCATCAACTTCCAGGAATTTTTTTTTAAGTCCAATTTCTATATTAAAGGAAGGGTTCTCAAAATATGAGTTGTATTCCTTAGGACAGGGTTCCCCAACCCCCAGTCCGTGGACCAATACTGGACTGTGGTATGCCAGCAACCAGGCCGTACAAACAAGCAAAGCCCCATCCGCAGGATGCAGACAGCACACAAAACCACGCCCCCTCTGATCCGCGGAAAAACCTCTCTCCACGGAACCGGTCCCTGGTGCCCAAAAGGTTGGGGACCTCTGCTTCAGGAAGTTGCAAGCAACACAGAGGGAACCACAAATATTTTAGCAGTCCATGCAAAGTAGGAATACTCTAAAACTTGTTCCAGTTTTGCCTGGACAAGCCTACAGTGGACTTGCCTAGAAAGAACAAGGAACAACTTAGCCCAGGTTTTGAGTGTGTTTCTGCTTTGCATGTGATAATCATCAGGAAATTCAAAACTTGCTCCCAACTAGAGTGACATGCAGCAAGCTAAACGAAGGCAAAATGAGGAATAAAACCAAGAACAATTTTTATTTTTGAGGGATAGCTAAATCTTCGATCTAGTCATCTGCAAAATACATCAGTTTTATATATCATTCATTTGGTTTTATTCATGACATGGGTTGCAAAAATTCATTTATCATTTTAGGAGATCATAGTATTGCATTATTTGAGAATTCTGCCATATTGTATATACATCTAGATCTTTCAGTTTTGATCAATAAGATAGTATAAACATTTGCATTATGGGCAAAATGACTGTCTATACCTTTCAGAACTGCTAAGATGTTGAACAAATAACTTTGCTCATACTTACTAAGTCAGACAGTATGGACTACATTTTCCTCAAAAGTCAATCCCGATGTTCTGTTTCTCTATACATTAAACACAAAGGGAAGGGAAGGGATCCCTAAAGCCTAAAACAATGAGAGAAGATTATATTAACACTGCTTGTCGCTTTTCTCCCTTGAATCTTGACTTCTTTTCCTCTTTACCTCTTTGACTCGCTTTTGCATGCTGGCTTATCTATCTTTGCATTCTTTCCCGTTCTCCTTGCCTTGCATTTGTTCCTATGGGCTTCTTTGGGCCTTTAAACTTTGTCCATTGCTATTCTTGCTTCCTTGTCTTTCCATGCTGCATCTCACTGTGCTCCTTTCTGTCACTAGGACCCCAAGAGCTCCCCTCTGCTTCCTCCGGACCTGTTAAAGAGTTTGGCTGCCTTGGAGGAGGAGGAAGAGCTGATTTTCTCTAATCCTCCTGATCTTTACCCAGCTCTACTGGGGCCTCTCGCCTCTCTTCCTGGACGAAGCCTCTTTGTATGTATTTGACTTAATTCTGCTGCTTCTTGCTCTAATTTTGCCGTCATCTTCCTTTTTTCCCCCCTTGCAAGTTCAGTTGGAGGTTTGAAATCTATAATTCCTTGCTGAAATTGTTTTAATGGGGAAAATGGAGATCTTATTGGACAGTGGTGGCGAACCTATGGCACGGGTGCCAGAGGCGGCACTCGGAGCCCTCTCTGAGGGCACACATGCCGTTGCTCCAGCCTTGCCTCCGCCTGTGACCCTCTCCTCACCAGCAGCCTCCCTGGAGGAGAGTCGCCCCGAGCGTGGCTCACGCGGAGCAGCGCATCCAAAGTCATGGCAGCCAGGCAGCGTAGACAAGACTCTGCCTTCATGCCGCAACGCGCACAGTTGATGCTGCAGGGCGTGGGCAGAGGGCGTGGCCACCATGGTGCTGCTGGGCTGCCTGGGCGATCTGTGGCGGGCCCTGGAGGTGGTGAGTGGCCCTGCAGGCAGGGTGAGGCGGAGTGGGGGCGGGGCAGGGGGTGGAGCAGGGGCGGGGCCAGTTTTTGGGCACTCGGTCTCTAAAAGGTTCGCCATCACTGTTATAGGAGAAAGCAGCTTTTACACAGATGTAATGTTCTATCAGGGTTGCTCCTTTCTGGCCCAATGCAAAATTTTTTGTAAATACTGGAAAAGGGTCCATTTTGAACCATAGTCCACCAAATTCTGTTTTCTACAAAAATGGCAATCTTACCTGACGTAGATTCTGGTTCCTTCTTGGCTTGCAGGAAACTTTGTAGTTAAGTTTTCCATCAGTGTTAATACAAAAGTAAATATAATTTTACATTATGTAATATGAATAAAATAAGCATTAATAAACTAGAACCATGAACTTAAGACCAAGCAAGCATTTCTCAGCCACTTAATTAATTTTAATAAAATGAGATTCTTTTTTAAAGAAGTGTAGAAAATAAACTACTGTCTTGTCTGCCTGTGGTCCATTGATCTCCTTTTTTAAAGGCTACCCAAGCTGTTTATCAACATTTATCAAGCAGAAACATATGGTCCTTCAAGTAAGATTGAGATGAAAAAAATATTCATATTTGTTAATATAATCAATAAGGATTGGTTTAGATCATATCAGGGTTTCATGAAAATTTCATTAGTCAGCCAGATGTGGAACATGAAAATAGAAGTTTTCCCTCTTATTGTTCCCAGCTTTTGCTGATAGAGAGTATTATTCTCTATTACTGGAAAAGGAGTAACCCTTGATAGATTTATCTTTCAATAATCTAATTTGAGGGTATCATAGATTAATATAAAGTTCATGTTTATTTCAAGTGTATGTGACATTTGTGTATCTATATCATTCCTGGGGTCATGAGTGCAGAAAAGTCCTTAATTAAGGAGATTCTGTGTATTTTACCATAAAATGTGGAGAGATCCTGTTCCTTAATACATGTTCAACCATCCAAATCCTTTCTGATTAAATTCTAATTTCTAATTAAAATACTACTGTTAAGAAAGAGCGGTTCTGTTGTCATAAAATCAATAGGATTTCTTTCTTCCTATTAATTATATATTTGCCTAGGATGCTTGATGGGAAGGTAAGAACAGTGAAGCTCTCTAGAGGTTGAATTTTTATATGATCATTTCACTTATGGACATATAAAATATCTTTATTCATATAAAGCTTCCGTGTGGAATTGGCTAAAAATTACTTCCCTTAAAATAATGGCCAAAACTAATTGAACTGTTTATATCAACATCAGAGATGCCTGGTTAGATGAGAAGCTGCAAAGAGAACTTAAAGTTAGTCTATTACACAAAGCATAGTTAATAAAAAGAATTATACTTCAACTTCGTTAGGGTCTTGATTATCTTGTATAAATTTACTTTCAGTGATAAGTCTTTAGAAATGTCACTTTCTCAGAAAGAGTTTCCTACTTTGTAATCACAGTAACTGGGCATATTTATTGAATGGAAGCTTATTAAGGATCTAAATATTTAGAAATATGTCTTGTATTCCTTGACAAGTGAAGGAGTTCCTTTCATTACCATGGGAAGCTTGATTCCATGGGAGCCTCCCTGCTGAACAGGAGAATAGGAATGGGAAGGAATAGATGCCATTTCTTGTTTTCCTGGGCAATTCCCAATAACATTTATGCTAGAAAATCTTCTACTATCCCAGAACAGATTCTTTTGGTATATAGGAAGCTGCCAAGGTTAAAATTTCAGGAAAGTTGCAGTACTGGCTGATTGTGTGTGTGTGTGCACGTTCACGCGTGCACACTTGTGTTAAAAAAAATGCTTGATTTGTATTAAAACGTAGTAGGATTATGCATACATAATCCTTCTGGGATTTTTATTTCAATGAAATTGTGAAAGAGACTGGCCTTCAGTTATTAGACATAAAAAAACCCCGTAATGTGGGGTTTTTTTACCTTAACAGAATATTTTTGTCCCCATATACTTTTGAGTTGATTTTAATGTATCTTCTGACAGCTACCCTTAAACTATCTTTCCAGTTCCATAAAGCAACTTACAGTAATTATCCTCCATATTACATAAAATGTTTTCTTTTTCTGAAGAAAGTGGTGGAAGAATATGAAATTTTTAGAGAAAAATCCATCAAATGTATTAGTCATTGAGTAGCAGTTCTTTAGACTGAATGCTACTCTTGCTCATCTTCCCAGTATGATTTGAAATTAATGATTTTAATTATGCAGTTGGCATTGATTGCATCCCTTCCAATCAAATCCTAATGACATGTCAGGACAGGGCCTCCATTATACAGTTGAAGGCATGCAGCTTTTTATCTGCAGATATGTGTCAAATTGACATCAGTTAATGCCAAAATATGATACTAACCCTGAGCACATGCTTTAAAATTAATTTGTCTCACCAGCCAATCAGAAATTTTCAATTTTTGTTAACCAAGATTATGCAAATTAAACAGTTTTGCATAATTGTTATACAGTGTTGTGCAATTTATTCTGATTTTCTTTTCACAGAGAAGGCCAGTAACTCTATAGGATTGCTCTCATACTTCCATGCTTTCCCCTGGCAATAAATTATATTGGACCTTGTTTCTGCTGTATGAAATTGGAGTTTCTAATGAAACTGTAATCTTCATTCAAATGATATTCCTCTTTTTTTTCTACACTTAAGGGCAGACTTGCAAAGCAGATACAGCTCTGCATATTAGTTTTAATTATTTTAATAGCTTAATACAATATCTTCATTTTGGCTAATGTTAATCTACTAACTGCATTAACAAGTTATTTGCAACACCAGTATTCTTTTTTTTACAAAATAAAACCCTAAATACTACTAGTTATGGAAATATTAATTCAGATATTAAGCCTTCATATTTGAGCAGAGCCCGATTAGTCTGAATATGTCATACATTTATACCTAATGAATATTTTGATAAACTTGTAATTTTATGGTTCCTCAACCACACGAGGTGTTAAAGCATATTGTTTTAGTATGAAATTTCCCAAATGAATTGCCATTTTTTGAGAGCTACGCATGCAACTGACCGCACTGTTTGCTATCATTTGCAATTTAATCAAATTATTCATATCTGTTTTACATAGTTTATTTTAAGTGGTGTATCATATAATAAAAAGGAGTTATACAAGGATCTTTAATGTGATTCTTGTTCTCATGCATGCTATATGAACCCCCAGGATCCTTCCCACTCTGTTATATTTATATTAACTGTCTTGTAAGTCGATAACAAGCTTTATTGCTCTCTTTCCCTTATCCTGAAGAAATCACTGTTGGAGAAACCATCAGATCTGATGTCACAGTCGCCATCTTTCCTATCGCTCACAGGCTTCTCTCTTAATCAGGTAACTAACAACTTTCTCTTTTTTTTTTTTCTTCTGGACAGCTTTGTCACTTCGTTAGGAGCATGCGTTGCTTTGAAGAAATAGCATAGCACAGCTTTGAACAAAGAGCCATTTCCAAGCTGCTTTGAAAGCAATAGAGCAGGGCTTCTCAACCAGTGGTACAGGTACCACCTGTGGTACATTGGCACCTGGCAGGTGGTACGCGACCATCGTAGAAAATGGTAGCAGGGGAGGGGAATGAGCTGAACCGGTGGCAGCACTGCACAAGCCTGAGCGCAAGATGGCTGGAGTTGCAGGGCTGTCAGGGCTCAGTGGAAGCACCAGGATCAGCGCCAGGCTCCAGCTGGAGCTCGGTGCTGATCCTGGCGCTTCTGCTGAGCCCTGAAGAAGCACCAATCAGCTGGAAAGCAGCACTGATCCTGGCGCTTCTGCTGAGCCCAGAAGAAGCGTCAATCAGCTGGAATGTTGCAGCATCTCCAGAGTCTTGTGATTTACATTCAGATGCTTGGCAACTGATTCATATTTATGATGGTCACAGTGTCCCAGGGTCATGTGAAGTGACCAAAACCTGCTGCAACCACCCAGTGGACAGGAGGAATAAAGACCAAACACCCCCCACTCCACCTCTGCTGCCAATCCTCAACAGAAATGCTCACAACAATGAAAACCTCGGACAGGAGGAAGAGTATGGTCAGGCGGGCAGGCAGGTGTCTTGCTTGGCTGTGGCTTGGGGGGCACTTTTTTCAATGCCATTGAACAGTCATTAAGTGAACTGTTGTAAGTCAAGGACTACCTGTACTTTATCACTTTTTTCCTTTTTGGGGGAGGCATCAAGTTTTTGACACCTTGCTAGGTGACTGGTGGTACTCAGATGTTGCCATATCTTAAAAGTGGTACAATGGGTGAAAAGATTGAAAAGCCCTGCAATAGAGATCCTCTTACTTCTAAGATAAGGAACTGGGCTAGCCAGTGCCAGAGAGATGCGGTCAGGCAGTAGTATCAGTTGCCTTCTGCAGGATGCGCTGCCCACGATCATTACTCAAGACAGGTGGCAAGTAATACCTAGATTCTACACCCATATGCTGGAAGGCTTCTGCCTTGACTGGCTAGCTTCAGCAAGTACCATACAGTAGTCTAATAGACAATGTAGCAAGGTTAGCCAATCTGGAGTCTCTTCAATAAGTGAGCTTCCGGGCTGGCTTCCTGCTATGGACAATCCTACAATGCTTACTAAAGCTAGCCAGGTTGAAAGACCTTCAGAACAAGCACAGGTAGCTACAGGCTGGTTGAGATCAGCCACTGCTATGGGAATGGATCTGCTAGTGTGTATGTGTATTACTTAGCTATTTATTTATACATATATACATACATACATGCAACCATAAGTACTTGAACTTATATGCTGGAAGGCTTGTACCTCCTAACAGTAAACATTTTTTTTTAAAAAAGAAAAATATTACAACATGCATTCAGACTAAATCTGTATGCCGCATGAGCAATTGCCTATGATTAGGTAGCATCTTTTACCCCAAAGGTTCATTTTCTCTCCTTTATGGAATGTGAGCCATCATAACTTCATGGGGTAGGTCATTCCAGAGCAGAGGAGCTACTGCAAACAGCTTGTTCCTGGACACTCTTCATGTTAAGTTCTTGGGGTAGAAATTCTTATTCTGTCTTCTCAACCAAGCAGAGGAATCTCTGTGCATCAGATGGCCCCGCAAATAACAAGGACATGAGCCATAAATCATTGCAAATTGTTTATACTTCCATTTTTTGATGGAAGGGAGAGCTCTTATGTTGGAATAGTCCTCCATACAATATAGTAATACCATAAGGTGCAAGTAATTTTAGGCTGTAACTTCCCTTGTAGCATGCTAGTTTTCTCTGGCTGGAGTTTCATGGTGTGTTGGCTATGTATGCATAACACAGCACATTTTATCCTTGTAAGCTGTGCATCCTATGTGGTAGTCAGACTCCTAAAACAGCTTGAAGGTGCCCTGCCAATACAAACCTATGTGAATACTAGGCACAGTGCCTGTGTATTTTGAGGCATGATTGTGGTATGTTCAGTTGCCACGTCTAAACAATTCAGTACAATATGTGTTGTCAATCAAACAGAACTAAATATATACTATCCTAGCACATTTCATTTTGCTTTCTTATTGACTGACTGACTTGATTTCCTCACAGTTTTAATATATGTTATGAATAAATGTTTACAAATCAATTGTCTGGTATTTGTTTTGCAATCTGATTTTTTTAATTTTGACCCAATATAGAATAATACTTTTTTTACTTTTTTATTTTTCATTTAAGAGCCAAGAATGGTGCATAGCAGTATTCCTTATTTTAGCTAGGTTATATCTAATCCCTCATATCATGTCATTTAAAATAGATAAATATCTCGTAATATGCAAAAAGACCTTTGGTGTTTAATATTAATTACTGTCATTATTACACTAAATGGTTTTTGGTACCTTTACTGTAAACTCTGTAACAATCTGAAGTAAATCTTCTCTACTTCAGAAATATTGGATAAAAGCAACATTGACATACCCACTAATACTACTATACTGTACTAATGTATTGAATTGGTCTGGTGTGGCCCAAGTTGATTCCTTTCTTATCCCTGTGCTCTTTCTTTCAATTTTATAGGAAAGATATTCAAACAGCATGTTCAATGAAGTTTATGGGAAAAACCTCAATGCCAGCACAAAAGCCGAGGTTACACCATCAGTAGCTCACCAGGAGACTTCACTTTATTCTCTTTTTGAAGGTACTCCATGGTCTCCATCTCTTCCAGCTAGCTCAGGTGAGGCCTCCAACATTCCCTTTGTCGCCTATAACATATAACCAGAGGATAATGTGTGTACCACTTGCTCAGCAAACCAACACTCCTTTTCATTATTATTGTAGGAACATCATAGAACAGTGATGGCGAACCTTTTAGAGACCGAGTGCCCCAAAACTGACCCCGCTCCACCCCCTGCCATGCCCCTGCTCCGCCCCCACACCATCCCCCACCATCCCCCACCCCGCCTGCCCACAGGGCTACTCACCACCTCCAGGGCCCACCACAGATCGCCCAGGCAGCCCAGCAGCGCCATGGTAGTCATACCCTCTGCCTGCACCCCGCAGCATCAACTGCGCGATGGGGCGTGAGGGCAGAGTCTTGTCTACACTGCCTGGCTGCCATGTCCTTGGCTGCGCTGCTCCATGTGGGCCACGCTCAGGGGTGACTCCTCCAGGGGGGCTGCTGGTGAGAAGGGGGTCGTGGGGGGAGGCGAGGCTGGGGCAATGGCACATGTGCCCACAGAGAGGACTCCGAGTGCCGCCTCTGGCACGCGTGCCATAGGTTCGCCACCACTGTCGTAGAACATCAACTTTCTGTTGAATTGTTCAGCAAATATTACACTTCTTCTTTTCTAAGTAATTTTCTTTTCAGTGTCGGCATACACCTGCTCATTATGTTTCTACATATATATGTATATGGGTGAGCTTTCTCTCTCTCTCTCTCTCTGTGAGAGAGAGAGAGAGAACTGAAAACCTATTTGCAATCTTTGTGATATTCTTAGTGCAAAGAAAACTTGGTATCTATAATGCTCACAGAGTCCAAAATCATTTATGCGTTTGTTCGTTAATGAATAAAAGTGAGTCCAAATTTTAAATTAATAAAACTAAAATCATGCATAAAACTAAAGAGATTAAATCAGGAGATCACCAAATTGACTTTTTTCTAAATTGCTCTTCCGTAGATCATTCAACACCAGCCAGCCAGTCTCCTCACTCCTCTAACCCAAGCAGCTTGCCAAGCTCTCCTCCAACTCACAACCATAATTCAATTCCATTCTCCAACTTTGGGCCCATTGGGACTCCAGACAACAGGGATCGAAGGATAACAGATCGATGGAAGACAGATAAGCCAGGTGAGTGGAAGGTCTTAGCATCAGTTTAATTTCAGTGGTTTTCAGGAACACTTACCTGTTACTCTTGCTCTTGTTCAGCAATGGGAGGCTTTGGTCTGGACTATCTCCCAGCAACATCGTCCTCTTCAGAGAGTAGCTGGCATCCAAACAGCACCCATAGCGGTACCTGGTCAGTCCATGGCCCATCCATAGAGGATTCATCAGCTGTACTTATGGAAAGTCTGAAGGTGAGCTGCATATTGACTCTGTCCTTTTTTTTTTGGTCAGGTTAGATATTAAATATGGCAAAATCCTGAAATGCTAATGATGTATCCTTTGCAATATTTTTCTGATTCTTGCCATTTGGCAATTATATTGTGATCTCTTTGTCTGTGAAGTATGTACAATTAAGATGTAACTATAGGTACTTAAGTAGTCCTTTAGTTACGACCACAATTATGACCCCAACTTCCATCGCTAAGCAGCATGCTTGTTGAGTCACTACATGACCATGCTTGATTTTTTGCTGTAGTTGTTCAGCAAATCAGGCCTCCCCCATTCATTTTGCTTGTCTGAAGCCACTGGGAAGGTCACAAATGGTGATCACACTGGCCCAGCATGTTTCAACTGTCATAAATACATGTCACTTGCCATGTGCCTGAATTGGGCTCATGTGACCGTGGGGATGCTGGTATGGTCGTAAGTGCAAGCAAGTCATAAGTCGCATTTTCCAGCACATCCATAAATTCTAATGGTTGTGAAACAGATGGCCGTAAATCAAGGACTATCTTATCAGACTACCTCCAAGGACCCAACATGTTTATTGCACTTATCATTTGGATATGGATAAGCTGTGGTGGCAAAGCATTTAAACTCCTAACAAATGTATTTTATGACGCTTTAAGGGTAGGTTCAGCCACACTGTGCCAGGAAGAACAGTAAGTCAGAGATAGGAAAAGCTAGAGAAGTTAGTGAGGAAATAAGCAGTGCCTTGAGATATTTTTAGCATTCTCTTTTTATGCATCAAGATTCCAACTTCATCTTATGGGATGTTTGTTTCTTTGCTTAGTCTATCTGGTCCAGTTCTATGATGCATCCTGGACCTTCTGCTCTGGAGCAACTGTTGATGCAGCAGAAGCAGAAGCAGCAACGTGGGCAAGGTGCCATGAATCCACCACACTGAGAACAAAAGAGGTGGCAACCTTTGCAATCGAAAGCTCCATACATCATGGCATGTTGGGTTTACAGGACTGTCCCACACAGTTCTGTGCGCGTGGCAGCCTCTCTTCTGTTCCTTGATGTCAGGAGGGTGTAAGTGCTCCACCAACCCACTGAGTATGCACGAAAATGAATGCAGTGCAATGGAAAACCAACACCAGGAACTCTCCCATCCCACCAGGGCCCTCTGGAGGGAGAGAGGGACTGCTGTGTATCTCACGGTAACCTGATATCACCGCCTCTTACCTTCTCCATCGTGCATGTGCCCAGCCATGTGGGAAAATAAAAAGATGGGAAAGAAGAGCAGATGGAAGAAGCCACTGAGAACTTCTAAATCCTCTTTCCTCAGTATTGGGGAACCTAATAGGAATCTATTACCTATAGCTTTGCTGACTGAGAATGTAGTTGAAATTTATTCCTCAACGTCTAAATTTTGAATTATTACTGTCTCAGTAGTAAGATCACACTGAATTCTTCCATACACAAATGTGCTTTGTAGTCAGTGTGTAGCACCCCTCGAGTCACTGGTCCAGCCAGCCAGAGTTGGGTAGTGGTAAATTGATGGAAGGGCAGGTGTCTGGTCTCCTCGGTTAGGTAAGGAGTTTCACGAAGGAGAATTTGGTCCCTCCAGCGTCATTTCCATCTCTTCTTCAAAGGTTGAGTCTGGACAATTGTGAATGGGTTAAGGATTCCAGCAGTACTCACGTGCATTGGCCACTGCCAGCCCTCTGTTCAGGGCAGCACACTGCTGCTATGGGGTTTTTAAGTTAAATGGTTCAGATTCCTGTACATTTTATGATAGCGTAGTGACCAGTCTGATGAAATGGCAAAGCTGGCCTGTGCATTCACAGCCTGACTCCTTTATGTAGGTAGGTAGAAGCTTTCTGTGTCTTTTTTTTTTTTTCCCCTCCCGGCCCCTTTTTCTAGCCTATCCCAACCCTGCTGGTTGCTTGTAGTTCTGTTCTTCATATGCAGCATCCCACCAACTTCTAGCAGGATAATGGGAAGCAAAGGAATTAGCCTGGACAGGACAATAGAGGCAGTCTCTTCTGCCAGTAAGGATATGTCCACAGAATGGAAGCTCAAGGCAACCAGATGCCTAAGAGGGAGCCCATGCAGTCAGCTATCAGTCCCACTTGTTCCTACAAGGATGCAGAAAGGGGGGAAAGGTTGAACTTGATATTTATTGAGCAGAAGGAAGGCTGCAACTCTTCTTGCATAGGAAACAAGGACATTTCTTTCTTTTTTTCCCTTACCTTACCTTTTTAAAAAAAATTTTTTTGTTTGTTTGTTTCCCGGGGTACCTATGGAAACAATCTAAATGTTTTAAACTGTTGCAAATGCCGGAGTGTGTATGTGTATGTGTATCAGTTCAGGATCTGTGAACCACAAGAAAACAGCTGCAGAGCAAAGCACATCCGGAGTCCACAAGTGATACTGGAGTTGGGGAACAGCCCCAAATAGACTATATATAAAAAAGAAGCTGAATGAGGTAATGCTCTCTCTAGATAGGAATTGAAACTCCCCGTGCAAGCAGTGTTGCTGCTCTGGGTTATATTGCTTAAAAAAACTTTCTTTAGAAAACTTTTAAAAAAAAAAAAAAACCCTCAAGGATGAAGTTCTTGCCCTAGTTGTGCTTCTTTGGCTCCCTGCCCCCTCCCAAGCCAGCTTCTGCCCCTGTCCCTTTCCCCAGGTTTGTGTATTTGAGCTGTGCACCCCAGCAGCTGCAACATTCCAGTGTTTGAACAGCCACTGATTCTTGCACTCTAGACAACCTAACCAGATTCATGATCTCACACTCTCCACAGTGCCAGAATCCCGACCCATCGGTTCCCATTTCTGCATGAGAAATCTGGTGTTTGGAATGTTCTTTTTTGGGGGGGGGAATCTTTAAGGCAGAGCTCCCTTCCCCCGTCCACCCTTTTACACACACGCCCTGCTGTGGCTAGAACCCCAAGAGAAGGGGAACTCCCAGCAGAGAAAATTGGTTTGTGTCGTAAGCTTCTTTTGTGTTTTTGTCTGTCTGTGCGAGACCTGCAGCTGCTGAACTCAGCTTTGCCTTTAATTAAACCATGTTCTCTACAGCCAACCTCGTGTAGTAACATTTCTTTAACCAATTATTTCTTGTTGATGAAACTCAATTGATTTCTTTGTGGCAGAGGATATCTCTACTAACAAGTAGAAGGGATTTATAGAGTAATGCATACAGCAAGTGAAGTTGCATATGACAAAGCACAGTAAACAAGGTTGCATCTTCTACATCAAGAAAAAAGCTATATACAAGCTATGTTGTATTATTTCAATTACCGAGTGTGACAGAAGACTTGGCAATGTTTAAGAGACACACACACTTAGTACTAAATGGATTTCTAGAGTTGGATAGCTAAGGTTTGGCAGACTAATCTACTACAAGTAGTAGTCCTTTTATTAAGGAGTTACTTTTTGTGTTAATAGTAGTTGAAAAAATACACATTGTGTTTTATAAAGAAAATAACAAAACTACAATTTTTGAAAAAGTACTGGCAAAAATCAAACACTTGAACATTGTACTGCTTTTCAACAACCTTAAATGTAATTTTATTTCAGTAAAACACTACATAGCAGTTGAGCTAATGAATGAATGAATGAATGAATGAATGAATGAATGATTATCACTTGTTAGAGATGGAATACCTTCAGATTATGCTTTTCCATCATTCCAGCTCTCATCTAAGATTTGGCGGTTCAATCTTAGATTTGCACATGTACCTTTGAAGGGTATCTTTGAAGCAGAAATTGAGGCAGCTGTAGCTGCCCATTTTTCTTCCATGGCCCATTATTTGTTTCTGCTATGTAGTACTTAACATTATTTGCCATAACACAAGGTAGCCAAACATTTTGTGATCTGAAAGATACATTTTTCCTATGTTTGGACATGATGACTCTATTGACAGTAAAGAACATTGTCAGAGATGGAGACTAAAATACTGCTATTAAACATAGATCCAGTTGCAAATAGCTGCCACTTTAGGTAAGGTATAATATAGGAAAGTTATAAATGATAAGCATTTAAGCATAATACACAATCAAAATAATAGCAAGAAAAAAAATAAGAGCTTCAATCGGCAAGGAAAAACTTTGATATAATGAATGAGTTGCTTTGAAAAAAATAATGATTTTCTCAGTTCTTTGTGGGGCTTCAACTTATTCTTCAGAGATATTGTCTAGATTTTGACTGTGGTATTCTTCAATGAATGCTTTGGGGAAAATGCCCACTTTCCCATTGCACGTGCCTTCCAACCACTCTTCATTCACTGTAAGATAAAATAAGATTGAATCATAAGCAGAAGGATGAATGGGGAAATTCAGTTCAAAGATGGGTACTTCATGTGGAATTTGCAAAAAAATATGTGAGAAGCCTTTGGGGTTTGGTAATGTTATAAATGGCTTAGTTATGGAACTCTCGGTAATTGAACCATTATAATTGAAAAGACCCAGGAAACTACAGATCAGTCAGCCTAACATCAATACTTGGGACGATACTGGAAAAAATAATTTAAAAAAAACAGATATGTGAACATCTAGAAACAAAGTTATAACTAATAGCACAGGTTTGTTAAAAACGGATCATGCCAAACCAATCTTATTTCATTCTTTGATAGAATGATTAAATTACTAGACCAGTGAAATGCTGTGGGCATAGTATAGTTACACTTCAGCAAGGCATTTGACAAAGTAGACCTACTTGGTAAACTAGAAAAATATAGGATAGATAGCATCACCACCAGATGGATTTGTAACTGGCTGACAAACTCTACTCAACAAGTAATCCCCAATGACACCACATCCACATGGAGAGAAGTAAACAGTGGGGTACCACAAGGTTTTGTCTTAGGCCCAGCACTCTTCCATATCTTCATAAATGACTTAGATGAGGGAATAGAAGGGGAACTCATCAAATTTGCAGATGACACTAATCTGGCAGGAATAGCCAACACCCCAGAAGACAAGCTCAGGATCCAAAAAGCTCTTAACAGACTTGAACAATGGACCCTATCCAACAACATGAAATTTAATATGGAGAAAAGAGGTTTTACACCTAGGCAAGAAAAACCAAAGATACAAGTACAGATTAAGCTCAAAAACAATAACTGAGAGGGGCCTTGGAGTCCTAGTGGACAATCCCTTAAACATGAGCCAGCAGTGTGCAGAAGCAACCAAAAAAGTTAATACAATCCTTGATTGTGTAAACAGGCATAGAATCAAAATCATGTGAAGTATTAGTACCGATTTATAAAGCCTTAGTAAGACCACACCTGGAATACTGCATCCAGTTTTGGTCGCCACATTACAAAAAAGATGTTGAGACTTTGGAAAAAGTACAAAAAGGGCCTGAGGACAAAAATATATGAATAGAATAGAATAGAGCTGGAAGGGACTTTGGAGGTCTTCTAGTCCAGCCCCCCGCTCAAGCAGGAGAACCTATATCTTCTCAGACAAGTGACTGACCAGTCTCTTCTTAAAAACCTCTAGTGATCGAGCACCCATAATTTCTGAAGGCAAGCTGTTCCGTTGGTTAATTGTCCTCACTATTAGAAACTTTCTCCTTAATTCCAGGTTGCTTCTCTCCTTGATTAGTTTCCAACCATTATTTCTTGTCCTGCCTTCTGGTGCTTTGAACACCATGAGCAACAGTTGTAAGAATTGGTATGACCAGTCTAGAGCAAAGGCCCCCAACCTTTTAGGCACCAGGGACCAGTTCTGTGGGGGGAGGTTTTTTGGCAGACTGGAGGGGGCGTGGTTTTGTGTGCTGCCTGCATCCTGCGGATGGGGCTTCGCTTGTTTGCACAGCCCCGTTTCTGGTATGACACGGCCTGGTACCAGTCCACAGACCGAGGGTTGGGGACCTCTGATCTAGAGAAAAGAAGGACGAGAGGTGACATCATAGCAGTATTCCAATATTTGAGGGGCTGCCACAAAGAAAAGGGGGTTAACTTATTTTCTAAAGCACCAGAAGGCAGGACAAGAAACAATGGAAACTAATCAAGGAGAGAAGCAACCTGGAATTAAGGAGAAACTTCCTAATAGTGAGGACAATTAACCAGTGGAACAGCTTGCCTTTAGAAGTTGTAGGTGCTTGATCACTGGTGGTTTTTAAGAAAAGACTGGACAGCCACCTGTCTGAAATGGTATAAAGTGTCCTGCTTGAGCAGGGGGTTGGACTAGAAGACCTTCAAGGTTCCTTCCAGCTCTATTCTGATTGATTGAAATGCTGCTTGAACTTTTCTGTGAGGGAGAATATGGCTATTAAAGGATGGGAATATGTGTGCAATAGTGTTAAGGCATTAAAGCAAAAGTTGAAGTTTTTATTAAAATTACTGTCAGAAGTTAGAAGCCTAATTTGTTACTGTTTTTGGTAAAAAATATTAATGCATTTGTTGGTAGAGTGAGTGAATGCAAGCTTGACTGCAAAATGTATATGAATTGGGAAATCTGAAAAAAAAAAGTAAATTCTGCAATAGAAGCATAGGGTTGTGGGATTGTAAGACTTTTAATATCGGGGCTGTGCAGTGCTTTGTATTGAAAGAAAAAAAATGATTTGGAGCATGTGAAGCTGCTCGCATTGTACATATCTGTATTTTCTTAAGCAGCTGCATCTTTCTCTGGGGTTGCACACTTGCCTAATGCAACCCAATTCTGGGAAAAGTTGTGTTTAGTTTTAGTAGTTGTAGTTGTGTACCCCAGAGTGTTCCAGGGCATTTTTTTTTTTTTTTTTGCTTTCCAATACAACGTCTAAGCCCTACTCAGTATGATTTTGAGCTAAGAAGCTGTAGGCTTCACAGTTGCCATGCTACTATCTAGACATCTTGTCCATCCCTTTTAATAGCATGAACTTCACATTGCCACTGGTGTATGTAAGGGAGATGAAGAGTTGGTTGAAAAAGGCAACAGAAGTGAAGAAATGCAAGATGCCCAGAGCCAATATTTCAAGGCAATTAACACTGAGAAAGATAACTGGTTGGAAAATGGAGCTGTAAAGATGGTAAGTCATGAGAAAAGAGATCAATACTACAGCACTATATTTATTTTCCAAGAAAGAAGAACTGTGAATCTGAGCTCCAGAAAGAACTTCTGTGCAAGCTGCTAAAACATGGAAATTTTCGTCACACGAGTTTGATCTACCAACACTTAATTAATACATTCCAAATGAAATTCATTGAATTTGCAAAAAAAATGGGCTGAAGTAAAAGTAAATGTGTACACTGCAGATTCCTGTAGGTGGAGCTATTTAGTTCATGTGGCTAATTACAGTATTGCTAAGATGAAAAATTGGAGTTAAGGTTTCAGATGGAGGAACTGTAGAAGGAGAAAGATAATGTCCCAAATGACTTTTAAGTTTCCATAATTTAAAATAAAATTTACCTTTGGCCAGAACAACAATTGTGTCCCCTTTCTGAAACTCCAGATCTTCTGCCTGAGTGGCTTCGTATGTATAACGTGCTATAACTTGATTTGATTCAATCTCTGTTAGTATTTTCTGCTGTGCGTCCTCACCATTTTCCATTAAATTATCTTTGCTGATCTAATGTGAGAAAAAAATACCTTTTAAGTATATCTTGATGCTTTCATAATTAGCAGTTTGGTTTTTTTTTCAAAGTGCCTTCATTATAGCTGCTTGAATTGCTGTTACTTATGTACATGCGTATATTAAGCTTTTCAAAAAACAAAACACGAAACTTACCAGAAAAAAAAGGAAATTAATTAATTGAGGTCCTATTTAGCTATCTTAAATGATACAACATTCTTCCAGATGTACCTTTCATACTGGTAGGTGCTAAATATCTACTCCTATTCCTAAACATCTTACTGTCAATGCTGCTAACATCAGATGTTTTTGCATTGACAACAGAGGGAAATGTAGCCATCTTTTACCTTTTGCTTTTAAAGTTAGATGATGCTGGGAGGGGGGATGTGAACGAGAGTCCAGCTAAACATAACAACACTAAACCTAGTGGTGAGAAACAAGGTTATTGCAAACAGAGCTGATAAGGAATTGGCGAACTGGAGCTTCAAGCTAATTGGGGAATGTGATTTATGACTGTTAATTGGAGGAGGGAATTGTGCTTTGATACTATGTGCTCAGGGGAGGGGAATTCAGTTTTTGGCTTCGATTATGCAGTGCCGATATTATGCTACTCAAAATAAAGATTCTTTAAAGTAAACAATGCCTCGAAGTTCTTTTGAAGAGTTTCATCTGTCGGAACCATGACACTTACATTATTATTTCAGAATAATATCAGTGGCATTTTTCACTTTTATAGTCAAAAAGGTTTCTGCATGGTTTAGATGCAATTTTCAGAGATTACTGATCTAAATTTAAAAAAAAAATGTTCTCAAGGAAGTATATGTGGTGCTCCCCAACATGGTATGTTGCTTTCTAAACTAGACTATCTTACCTCATTGGTGGTACACCACAATGTCAAGCAGTTGTTCTTTGCATGGTTCCATAAGGTTGCCATTCCCTTTTCATTCAGAACCTGATCTTTGCCATCTGTTGTCTGGTAGCTAAGCAACAGAAAACTTGGTGAGGACCAAAAGGCTTCATCCCACTCATTAGGAGCGAAGTGCTGCTGAGTGGTCTTGCTTACCTCAGTGTTGTGTGTTCAGGAGAGAGTTCCAGTTTCTTACACACCTTCTCTAACAGGCTGCTGTAAGATAGGTTGGGACTCACATGCAGGGCTATTGTGAATTTGTAATGTACTTTGATGATATAAGGTGTTGGAGATGCATCAAACTGTAAGAAAAAATACAAGAGCCTGACAAGTTCATGATTTCAGTAGCCTATCTGCATTTTCAAGGGCCATATGGAGGGGAAGCATCTGCATAAAAAGTCATGCTAAAACTCTGCTATGTACTTCAAGCATTACAGTGGTTAAAACTGGTGAAAGTAGCAGAAACGGCTGTGGTGCCGTTTAAAATTAAAGGTATATAGAGGCAGCAATGCATTCTTTATTTTTGTATTTGCATGCTGCTCAATAAATATTTCTTGAATATTTACTAAAACATCAAAATATGTATTATAATGGTGCAAAACATTTCAAGTTCCAATTCAAATGACATGTTTCAAGTATGAAATAGATGGTTTCAGAAATATTTTCGAAGTGGCATTCAAAAAACAAAGTGGCTGTCTTGCACTTAAAATAGGTCCTTTGAACTTGAAATTTCAATTTTTTTGTACATCCTTAAATATATGTAAGTCAGGGGGATTATGCGGCAAAAAACAAAACCTGTAGACATATCTAATGTCAAAGAGAATTCTTAACAAATTTAAATATTTTAAAATGAGGCATAGATAAGAATCTGCTACTAAATTCTTGTGCAATTAAGCGATAAGAATTTCTTGCTCCTAGTGGTTTCAACAGAAGAAACACTTCCTCCCCCCCCCCCCGACTTAACACATTAGGCTGCTAATTTCAAAGAGAAAACAAGATGACTTGTATTCAAGAGAATATACTTGCAAGTTTCATTTCTGAAACTAAAATGAAGTCCCTGCACAAGCACATGTTCAAACCACTAGTTACAGTATAATAGTTTCCATTTTAGCACTAGCAATAGCACTTACAGAGTCAGCATATTGCCCCCAACACTCTGGGTCCTCATTTTACCAACCTCAGAAGAATGGAAGGCTGAGTCAACCTTGAGCCCTTTAGGACCAAACTCTAGACTGTGGGCAGAGTTAGCCTGCAATACTGCACTCTAACCAATGCACCACCAGGGCTGTAAAATTGTACTGAGTAAAGAGTTAATATTTTTATGAGAGGCATAATTTGAGATGATAGCCCTGTTTATATTCTTTTAAATATTTGTGTAAGATGCTGTGTCCTTGGTGGAACTAGGAAACCTATTAGCTCTTTAATTAACAGCAATTAGTATTGCTGTTTTGCCTGTCCAAAAGCTCACAATGAAAGGAAATTATATACCTTCAGTTCTCTTCTGTGACCTGCAGAAAACAAAACAATTGTTAAATTAAAAATATTTCTTAAAAAATAACACAGTCTTTAAACTATGCTTGATTTAAATCATGATTTGTTAAATGATTCCTATGGTCTCTTTGTAAATTGGTATTCATAAATATGGTATAACATAGAACTGGAAATTACAATACTGAAGAGAGTTTATTATCATTAATCAGAACTGCAGTTTATGCCTCTGTTAATACTTCCTTCTGTTGTTAAAAAACCCAATGTAAAAGACAAGAGACAGCAACACAAAACAATAATTCTTACTTTAAGATTCAGAGGTTTATTTTGCTAATGATTTGGAACATAGCAAATGTTCCAAACATAATAACACAATGTCACTTACATTAATAACCCATTGCAATGAGGACCATATGGCATAGCAGATTCCAAAAGGACAACTATAGGCCAGTGGCAAATCAATCAGGTCCAGTCCCAACCCTTTATACTCTTTCTCTGTTCTAAGACTGCAGTCAGATGATCTGCTGACTTTTGCTGACTTTCTACTGACTTCCTGCTGACTTTCTGCTGAACATATCTTTCCACATATACCCGTGTACATTGGAACCCGCATCCATCGGCTACTTTCAGTTCCCTATTTCTCACTGTTCCAGTCCTTATATTCTAAATATACACAGAACTATCTCTTTGCAATTTCATATTGCATAAAGCTCAGCAGATTACAAATAATACGTCCTTATTGGGAAACAGCATAAAGTTCAAGTTAAAGCTTCAAATCACTTCTGTGGGGACCTATTTCAGGTTTGTTTTAGCCCTATCTTATTATACGAGAAGGGGGCTATATTTTTATCTCCCACACTTCTCATAATTTGTAAAGATGGAGAATTTAGACAGAGCAGAGAGTAAGTACCTGCTTTAACAGCCATGTGGAGAGGGAGAATAGATTTGCAGGTGATAGCCTGAAACTATCACAAAATAGAATTATTTGCTGTATGTGGTTTTTACTCACTTGAAGGAAGATTGGGGAAACCTGGAGCAGCAATGCTTGGTGGAGCAGGGATATCCATATCTTTGTTGTTTTCTTCCTGGAGAGAATGGAAATAGCTTGTCAGAGTTCTGAGGGTAGTATATGCAGTGATTGAACTGTTTGAGTCACAAAATATACAACACAAAACAGGTGAGGTGATCTCAGCTTGTTGGGAGTAGTAGTCCAGGTTTGGATTTATCATATACAACTCCATAAAAAAAGATACACTCCTTGAAGAGAGCATTCTCTCTGTCTGATGTGAACCTTTGCCACTTTTTTCATCTGGCTAAGTTGTCCTGAACTCCTATCTATTGGGCTTTATAGAGAGGAATTCCATGGATAAGACCCAAATTGTATTCACACCATCTCTTTAAAATGAAGATCAACATATGACAGATTAATAGATCCTATCAGAGGGGAAGATGCTTGAGCATTATTTTTTCCCCCAATCTTAATCTTGTATCTAAGAAATCAGAATAGCTTTATATATCTCCAGGCTACTGTGAGTTAACTGGATGGATGTCAAATCAATGGGTAACTAGTTGAGTACAAAAACTTACTTGAGTACATTTTAACTCCTAATAAACCTAGAATGATTATTTTATTGATATAGTGTGTGTTCTCCTAAAGAAGCCCAACTGAATGAAGCAGGAAAATTAAAACATCTCTCCAAGTCATAACCTTGTGAGCCATCTAATTGTGTACTGACAGAGTAGTATTTCCCATTTCCAGGTACCATTTTACTGTTTACTATTGCTAGCTAGAAAGAGATAGTTTGGCTAAGAAGTCCTAAATAATATGCAAGGGAAGCATGAAGATACTATGCAGCTTCATTTTTTGGTAGGCAAATCCAATCCATTTTCTTACAGTTAATTCTTACCAACAAAATCACTGAGCTCTTACCTGGAATATAGGCTGGTTCTGCAGTCCCATTGGCTGTAAGTAGTTACAAGGCACAATCCCTTTCTACACAGAAGTCAAAGCAAGAATTTTTAACATTAGATGCATCCAATTTGTATGAGAATGAAAAAAACAGTTAACCATTCTTTATTTCTAATCTTTATGACAGCATTTTTATTTGGCTGGTACCTTCTATTTCAGAGCCATGTCGTTCCTCTACATGAAAAACTGAAAGTTCAAAATCACAAAGCAGCTTCCTTACATTCACTTATGGGTTCCAGTTATCTATCGCTTGTGTTTGATCACTAATGTCGGAAAGAATACTGCATTTTACTACCAGCATGGTTATGATGTACAACGCAGAAAAAACCAAATTCTAATGATTTTTGATATCAACTTAGGTATAAAGAACAAAAACCTGACTACCTTAACCTGTCAATCTTGTCTCTAGAGCAGGGGTGTCAAACTGCCAGCCCGTGGGCCAGACACATCAAATGGAAGCCGCGCCCACCCCATTGCTGGCAATGGCAAAACAGTCCCGATACGTTGCACATCGTCACATGACATTGCAAGTTTGACATGTCTGCTCTAGAGATATGTTTCCTTTGCAAAGGGACTTGGAGCATAATTAGAGAAGCAAAGTTATTGCCCTAAGGAGAGTGTATAGCTTTTAGGCAAAGATAGTAACTCCAGGCCACGGGACATCCTGAATCAAAAACCAGTTCTTGAACAGAAATCTTCAGCAGCAAGGGGGAGAGGGGATCATCATGTAATATTAGATGACCTTAGGAAAGTTTTGAAGCCAGGTTGCGAAGGAGTAAGTGAACTGACCTACAAGAAAAGGACTATAGGTACCGCTGCTATGAGGGCACCAGTGCAGCATTTGTGTGACTAGATGTTGAACTTCTCAGAATGGGCTTCTATAGAAATAATATATTGGTTTATTTATCTACTTATTTATGTATTAAATCTATATGACTGCCTGTGGTACACTCAATTTTAGGTCACTCACAACAAAACACATAAAACAGCAAAACAAACAATTGTATCTCCCTTACAACAGATCACACTTCCTGCCATGGTGCTATAGCATCTCATCAACTTTACATCCACTGATTCATCTCCATCCTGGCCCATGGCTTCAGCAAAGAGACAGATCTTCCAGAAAGCTAAAATATATCTAAGCTACAATATTAGGCCAGAGCAGCTGTAGGGAAGGCATGATTCAGAGGAACCACTGGATGACAATATTTATGAGAAGGGCCTTGGAGCATGCCCACCTTGGCTGACCTGGTGATGGGCAAATGCCATCAAGGAGAGGTGGTTCCCCAACTAACCTGGCCTTCTGTCATTTATATCTTGAACCAGATTGTACCCAAAAATAGACTAGGAGCCAATACAGCTCATAAGACAGCAGTGTGGCATTGGAAATTGCAGGGTATCCAGAACTGAATGCGCCACTGCATTCTGGACCATTTATAGTTTCCAAGTGATCTTCAATGGCAGCCCCATGTAGAGCACCTTGTAGTAATCCAGTCAGGAAACAATTTAAGGTGTGAGTGACTGTGATGAAAGCCTCCAGTTCAGGAATGGGTAAAGCTGGGACACACAATGAGTTTGTGCAAAGACCTCCTTTGCCGCAGCTGGCACTTGCTCTTTGAGCAAGAGCAACAAACCCAAAAAGACCCTCAAATTGTATGACAATTCTGTCCGGAGAGGTATTGTCCAATCAAAGTCAAACTTACCAGACTGGTGGTGGGAAAGGGGGGTGGCAAACCACTCCACCTTGCTAGGGTGAGTTACATTTGGTCCTCCCTATTCAGGCCCTCACAATCACCTGCTCAGCATGGAGCAGGATACTGATGATACCATGCCCCATGCTGCCAAATGACCTCACTCAGTGGTTTCACATAGGTTTTAAATAGTGGTAAGAAACCCGGGCCCTGAGGCCTCCTCCTTCCCTCAGCAAACACCGATTGCAAAGAAGAAGAAGAAGCACTACAAGACAGTGTCTCTAAAATTTTAAAGGGACACCATCCCTTTCCCAAGCCCTTCAAAGATCATTAAGTACAAGTAATGCTGTCTTGGTACTATAACCCAGCCTGAAGTACAACTGAAAAGGGTCTAGATAACTTGCTTTGACAAGGCCATCCAAAGATGGATTCCTACCACAGTCTCAACAGTCTTCCCAAAAAAGATAAAGTTGGAGACTGGACAAAAGTTATCCAATGCTCTGCAATATCATTGGATCCCAGGATGGCTTCTTGAGAATAGACTGAAACACTACCACCTCCTTCACAGACACGCATACAGAGATTTTGCTTTTCCACATCCCTGTCCCCTGGTAGAAATTACTAATAGTCTGATAGAAATTACTAATTTCCTGAGAATGAACTAAGGATTAATTAATTACTATTGTGGGAAGTCAGCCCCCCAGAGAAGGAAATATTAAAAGGGCAGAAAAAATATACCGTATATGCCGGCATATAAGGCGACTTCCGCAAGCGCTAAAATTGGCGCCAAAGACAGGGGTCGTCTTATACGCCGAGTCGTCTTATACGCCGGAAATACTGGTAGTTTCCGGCATATAAGACGACATTCTAGGAATGCGGCTCGGCGACAAAGACGGGGGCCGTCTTATACACCAGGTCACCTTGTACACCGGCATATACAGTAGTTCCTCAAAGGATCTTAAAGAGGCAGAAAAGCATGCCCAGTTTTTCTTAATAGTCCCAGGTCTCCCTCCCCCAAGCAGAAACCAGCTCTGTAGAAATGCAGATGGAGGCCCCAGCTAGAAGATCAAGAAGACAAAGACACCTAAAATCTACATACCCCACCCAAACTAAGACAGGACATAATAGGATTAACACAGAGATACCAAAGGGCACACTCAGACTCAGGTCAAAGTTCATGCCACAGGAAGCAACTCCAAACAAAAGGCTCCAGAGGGTATAAAAACCCACTCCCCACATGTGCTCAGCCCCCCTTTCCCCCTCTTTTTCTGCAAGAGCCATCTTTCTGTCTGGTTCTCCTTGTCAATAAACTACAACCTTCTTCCTAAAGCAGTCGCCATGTTTATTTCCAGCTTGGACTGAGCCACGATGAAGATTTTTCTTTCAATAATACCATTGGCTTTAATGGCAAAATTGTAAAGCAGCCTTCCCAAGCTAGTGCCTTCCATGTATTGGAATTTCTCTGATTCTAGTGACTACCAAATGTGGGCTGCAGAAATCCAAACAACTATAACATGTCAGTAAAGATTATTCTGTATGTTTTTAATGCATCAGGTAGATAGTTGGAGGCAGATTTCTGGTGCCTAATTATTGCCAAACAGGAAAGCCAGGGCATCCATACTAATGCTGCTAATAAAAATTGGAAATCGACATATTTATAAAATACATTTTATAAACAAATAAATAAAAATAAATTTGTGGGGCACCAGGATAGGAAAGCTATTTAGCATTTTAATTACTGTAGGCATCTTCGCCAAACTTCATTTTGTTTTTGTGGTGAGATGAAATAGGCTCATCCTTAGCAACATGACTCTGAGCTCTTTAAGTTGAGGTATGAATGTAATAATGCTATGTATGCAATTACAGGAAATAATACAGACTGGTTAACCTACAGCTGATAATCAATTCAGTGCACTTAGAATTCAGGTCCAAAATGACACCAACTGTTAATGTAAAAGAGGCAGCTATTGTCTCTTATGGAAGTAGTTCTCAGAATATTTTCTCTAACAGATCCCTTTACATTTTGTTTTACTATTCAAAGCACAAAGGGCCACTTTGAAAATATTTTTGATTGATAACATTGTCTAAACCAAGGGTAGGCAACCTTGGCTCTTTTATGACTCGTGGACTTCAACTCCTGGTCTAAACCATACCATGTTACGAAAATTGTTTGTCCATAGTATTACTTCCACAGTCGGATAATCTGGCCCAAGCCAAATGTTCTCATGAGTTTTGAAAAACCCATGTCAAACAGACTCAATTGTTTCACACACTTTCTGTAGCCCATCTGCAAATTACAGTTTTAAAGACTTTTATTACCTTTCCATTAAACACAACAGTAGCCCAGTTGTCTTGCTCCTTTCTCAAAACAAAAACAATGTTTCCAGGAACGACTTGAAGCTCTTCTGAAGTTTCAGGAATAAATTCATACAAAACTCTGTGAGGTTCTCCTTGCAGCGCCCTACATAAGTAAGCAATAGTATACAGTATTAGTTCATCCACTGATTCCTTTTCTGTACAGTATATTCCAATTTCCCAGGAGAAAAACAATCAACCAAAAGAATACAAATAGGAATCAGTCATCCACAGCATTTCATTCAGTACGTAATATTTCCACTAATGTCTAATGCTTAAGATGCAAAGATGGTAGCATTATGAGGAAAAGGCGTCAAGTAGATCATTCTGCATTTTTCAATGTCTGCACATTTATGTGTTTGGAATGTTTTTTGTTTGTTTGTTTCATTTAGAAAATGATGTTTCTGCCTATTATAACAAACGTTCATCTTACATTAATTAGTTATAGCTAATGATATATAAAATGTTGTGCATCTACATGAATTCTGAATTTATTGTAACTACTCTTTATGTAGTCTTGGGAGAGATTGGCTGAGGGAATAACTGATGGATGTTAGTATTCTCCGGACTTTATTGATCTTACCTGAGGACTTCTGGTGTTTTAGGTCTGGGAGGTGGATCTGATGTCTGTAAGCATAGCATACATATTAGCTTATTCCTATCCATCAATAGTAAGCCTTCAATCTTTTCTAATAGAAAGCCTGAGTTCACTTAGACTAAGAGGAAGTAGTATTTTTTCCCCTTCCCAAATCCCATCTAGGAAGCAAATTGGTAAGGGTTTTTGTTTTTCAAGTGTAGGAAAAAGTTAACCCACATTTAAAAAGGTAAGGTTCCCCTGGCAGTCATGTCTAATTCTAGGGGGCAATGCTCATCTCTGTTTCCTAGCCAAGGGAGCCAAAATTGTCCAAAAATGCTTTCATGGTCATGTGGCCAGCATCACTATACACCAAGGTGCAGGGAATATGTTACTTTCCCATTGAAATGGTACCTATTTATCTACTTGCATTTACCATGCTTTTGAACGGCTAGATGGGCAGGAGTTGGAGCAAGAACGGGAGCTCATCCTGTCATGTGGTGCTTGGGTCTTGAACTGCCAACTTTTCAGTCGACAAGCTCAGCATGCTAACCCTCAGGCCACTGCACCCCCTTAACTCATATTTAGCTCCTAAAATAGAAAACTATAGGAAAAAGTTTCTAGTCTCCCAGCTCCCTTAAAAAAAACCCAGTCCTCCATATAAAAATCAATTTCTTGGGCAATTAAATATGATAGTAAGGATGTCCTTGTTACCAAACAGTTTGTTTTAATCTTCCACCTTATGATAAGAAACACTTAAGAGTATTTCTCTTGTCTCCTACATAGGATGAAATACCCTGCGCCCTGCATGCTTACAAGGTTTGAAACTTCTTGTATTTTACTGAAAATGAAAATAATTATTCAGTTTAATTAAATGGAATTTTATATGGCTAAAATTAAAAGCTCATAGTGTTAATTATTCCAAATGATGCCGTCATAATCAGGATTCTAGAGGACCCACCCTAAACCTCACTTCTTTAAAATAGGAGGCATCTTGATAAGTGACTTATCACTTCAATTTACTTCATCTTGTGAAATAAGTTAAATTTTCAGCAGTTGGATGGAATAGCAGATAAGACTTTGAAAGCACAATGGCCAGAGCAGCAAATGGAAGCATCAGAATCATATTCTGAGAATATGCCTGCAAATGGAGCCCAAGGAGGAAACTAAATCATGATTCATGATCAAAGCAGGAGAACATGGGACTAAGCCAGATAGTGATTCTGTCTTACCTGGGGCTGAAGAGGAGCAAAACCTGAAAAGTCATCATTGTCTATCACAGATGCCACAACCTAGAATGAGAAGAAAGGCTTGTTTTTAATCTAATTTTATTCACCCCCCCCCCAAAAAATCAAAACTTTAAGCATTCTAATGCTGTTATTTCCCCATTCTGCCCAACTGACCATCCAAATAGTAAAACACTAATGTGAGATAAATGATAGTTATTTGCATTTGAACAGAGTCACCTGCTCTGTGCCTCTTCTTTTGATCTTTGAAAATAAGCTGAATTAAGTGGCGTATTCTCTGTTTCAGCAATGATGAAGAATAAACCTGTATTTCTTAAGTAATTCTATTCTTAACGCTGGGAAATCCTAAACTATCTTGCAAGAAAGTATTGAAGTATTGAAATGAAATGCATTTTTTTAAAGACCTGTTCAACGTATGTTTAAGATTATCAAGAGTATCAAGGACAGTTAGTCTCAAAATAAACAACAATTTGATGCAGACTAGGGGTCCTGCCATGGGAAAAATAGAATTTGCTCATGACGTTAAAGGTATTCATGGTGTAACTCACTGTGACTTCCTTCAGCTGAGACTTTCTTCTAGAGCCCCCCACAATCACCAAAAGTTTTCTCAGTGTTGTGGGCTCTGGGGACTGGCTTAAAATACGATGGGTACAATTATAAGGGAAGCTCCTATGTATGAATGGAGGGACAATGAAGGATTGATTTCATAGTATACTAGTGGGAAATTAAATGCAATACTCCAGATGGATTTAATATATATTGTATCAGAATGAATTGCAAGAATAGTTTCAGATTCTTGAAAACTGATGATGATCTTATGTTGAGTGCAAAATTAGAAATTTTCATTTATCTTTTTCATTTTTATTATTATTATTGCTTATCCACTAATAAATGGATGGTGGAACTTTTGCTTGTCTGCAAAAGTTAAGGCCTCCCTGATAAAATGGTATGTTTCAATGAACTCCTCAATAAACAAATGAATACATCTTTCAAATGGCATAGAATTAAACATAGCATCCTTTTCTAAATTTCTCTAAATTTGAATGCATGGTTACTATTGATATTCAATGAGTTACAGAGTCAAAATAAAAATAATTGCATATGAAAATGGTATATGCATTTTTTCATTTAGGGAATTGTAGAAAAATATAATTTGGTCAAGGTACCATATAAATGTAATAACAACTCTTGTCTGCAAGTGTTTGTCATTCCTTTTAATTAGCTTTTGTGTACACTCTAAATTATGTACTTTATCTGCAGTCCTAATCTTTACCCTAACCGTGAAAGGAAATTATCATTAACTCCAGGCACATCCTCTTTCCATTGAATTCTTCAAGTCGAGCTTTAATCTGTTCACTTTATGTATTTATTTATAAATATTAATATCAGTTGTTGATCAGCAGATGAGAATGATAATCTCTGTGCTACACAAAGTATCACTTTCTGCTTACTAGAGTTAAAAATGTTAATGGTGCAATAGCAATTGAGAATAGTGATTTCCAATCAGCTGGCAGAACTATTATAACATGACCTGAATAGCCTTTCCAGAAATATACCAGGGACAAAATTATCTGAATAATTCCATATTTGTGACAGGTTAAATTCATACCGTGGCTTTCCCTAAATAATCTTTCTTCTCCAGCTGTGCCACATGCTTTTCGTTTGGCCGAAATAACTTTCCTTCAGGGATCACTATGGGTTCAAACAATCTTTGCTTCTGCACATATCAAAAACAGAAATAAAGAACAAAATCAGCCTGTTTCCCTGACTCAGTAAGTGAAAACATAGCTTCTTCCAACATCATTTATTCCATGCTTTTATAATAAATCAGATGAAGAGAATCTGTAGTGCACCATCTAAGTTTCATGATGAGATAGCAGAGACAGAAGTGGAGAGAAGGCCAGAGAATCCCGCAAGGCAGCAGATTCTAACCATCTTTTTGTTCAGATCTGCCAACCGGTACTTCTGATCCCTCCACCATCACTAATGGTAGGGAGCAGGAAAGGTAAAATGTTAAAATAATGATTGCAGCAGCATGATCAAATCCCTGCTTTTGTATTGCATCAATGTTGCTTACATGTACAAAAGATCAGAGTTTTAATTATGTTCCCATGGCCACCATCTTGATTTTTTAAAATTCCCCCTGCAGAGACTACTGTCATCAGTACACACCCTTGGCAGGTTCCTCCTGATAGAATGTGATTTCCCACAAAAAACAATTCTGCCATCTTGCTCTAAATTCTTAATTTAAAACCTCATAACAGGCTGCTCCTCAACCTCCTCCTCCTCCTTCCCCCCCCTCTCACACACACACACAAACACACACACACACACAGAGAGAGAGAGAGAGAGAGAGAGCAGGAATAGCTTACATCCATGTTTAATGTAATTACAGAATCCCAGAATAGAGAGAGATTGTAAATAGATACAGTGATGTGTTCAGAACATGAGAAAGAACCACCACCTGGACATTAAGCATCCAAATATTTTTAATGTTTTATATTAAACATCTGGCCATCTAGACATTTTTGTCTTTTAAGTTAAAAGAGCACCTTCTTTACCCTTAGTAACAAAGACTCCTAATTAAAATGTGGAGTAAATAGGGTTCTAAATCCCGCTTTCTCTTGCAGTAAGCTTGACAGCATTGAATTCTATCAACCAAAGGAAGTGGAACTGAAGTCTCCTAGTGCACACTCAAGATTACATGGCAAAGAGAATACCTAAATCCACCCTTGGCTGCTTGACTCTTGATAGGACTCTTTATTGGGCTCTCCAGAGCAAAACGTTGGAGTCAAAGCAAGAGAATATTTCATTTTCTACATGGTCTATCCTAGCTGCTTCTCCTCAGTGCCAAGTTTTGAAGAGACAATTCTCATCCTTCGTTAGAGTTTTAATCCTCCATGCAGGTAAGTCACATACATCTGTAATAAAAACCCCCTTCAGGCTGATACCAAATTTGCAACTATGAGGGCAGCAGCCAGCATGCATAAAAATATTCAAGGGGTGGAATTCATGCACTATTTCTACATTTTCTTACCAAGATGGATTCCATAGCCTTATCTATCTTGTTGTGCCTGGAGCCCATCCTCTGTTTTATTGCTCTTGTCAAATGCTCCTCAGCTTTTTTCCAGTCTTCCAGCTTAGCGTAGGCAAGAGCGGTATTGTATAACAGCTGCAAGTAAAGAGTATGGATGTCAGAAATATGCCTAAACTTAATTCTAATTATTTAGAAATCTTGTGGATTTTGAGTACCAGGATAAGGTAAGCCTTTCCCAACCTGATGCCTTCCACAGGCACTGGGTTACTGGGCAGGCCTTGAATTCTGGGAAATTTAGTCCAATACCAAATAGAGGAAAACTGAACTGCATTCTTCTTCCAATCTTGTTTAAATAGATGTTCTTCTGCTCATCTTTGCCCCGATGTGCAGTCCTTCTTGTGAGGTTCTTTCAGATCTTTCCCATGGCTCTTCTCTTTCTAGTCATTTTTCTCCCTCCATCTTTCTGAAAGGCACTTGATATCATTTATCCGGATGATAGATTTTGTAAGCTGATCAGAGTCACCAATGTGTGAGTTGGGAGGCTATATAAATTTGTTTAATAAATAATAAATAGATAGTGCAGATCTGCAGCAAACAGGCCTGCTTTCAAACCCCCTCAAACTCAATGCTGAGTGTGGTTCAGCTTTAGCTTACCTACTTCAGAGAACTGTTGTAAGAGCAAAATTTATTTATCTAGCATACAGCATCCTCAGAGATCATGCAATCACTGATACACAAATATAAATTTAAATGAAGCATCAAGTAGCAGCATTTATCAGTTGCAACAGTAAGAGCAAATGGGGCAATTCTATATGTCACTTTGAGTTCACTGAAAGTATCAATTAGAATAGAGCTGGAAGGGACCTTGGAGCTATGATGAACTTCAAATACGAAAAGGAACCATAAATACAGTAAGGATTGAAATGTGCAATTAAAGCATATGGGCTGTTTGCAAAATGTCCAGTTATAGATTTTTTAGGCTTTTTTAAAAATGACCTTGGCATGCTGAAAAGCAAATTGTGAACTAGTGGTTCCCTCTATAACAGACTGCTTCTGCCCTTCTTCCACCTCCTTCTGATACTAAAAACATGCTTAGACAGAAAGAGATAGTGGGTGGTTTCCAGTTTTTCTTGGAAGTTTGGCTCCAGCTCAGAAAAAAAGAAACCTGAGGTAAAATTCTGGAGGGTTTGAAATGGCAGTCCTGAGATAAGACCCCACTCATTCCGTACTATTTTGCTATATATCAAATGGAGATTTTTGGCAACTATTTTATGAATAAGCAAGTCCTCACTTAATGAGAATACATAAGTATGTCCTCAAAAATCCAAATCAGTCTAATAGTTCCCCAAAACATGTTTTCTCCCTGGTATAACAGAGTATTATGCATTGAACTGAACCCCTGTCCAATATTCCATTTCTGAAAGAGTAACCTTGAATTTAAACATCAATTGCTAGTGGGCTGCGATTTCCAATAAAGACTTACCTCACAAGCAAGCAACTTAAACTGCAGGCCTAGAATCTTGTAATCTATAAGGTCATTCCCCCGTAGTTGAGCCAAGGCCTCTTGTAAATCAGTAATAGCTAATTCATAACTGAAAGCCAAAAAAAGGAATCATTAATATGTGATCATGGAACAAGGGAAATGTGAAAATGCCAGCTTTCCTCAAGCTGATGCCCTCTGGGTAGACATGTTGGCTGGGCATTACAGGCATAATAAACTAACTTATCTAAGAAGTAGCAGGGTAGGGAAAGACCAAGAGCTGTATTGGCAGTCCTATCAGCCCCCAAAGTCCAACCGGGAAATAAATTTCACAGGAAGACTAAAAACTATTTTTTTTTTTTTTTGAGATTGGCTATAATAACATCACCTTACATATCTGATTGTGCTGTACTTCTACTTACAGTTCAGTGAATTAGGGAGTTATCTCCCGGAGTTACTTTCAAATGCTATCTCATTCTGGATTTTAAAAATGATTCAGACCCTTTCGCAAGGCAATGGATCCTGCATATTTCCATCCAGATTATCTTCCTTACTCCTAACAAGTCCCCAGATGAGCCTCCATTTATTCACAAGAGTCTATAGAACATTGATTTCTCCTAACAGCATCCCAACCTTGATTCCTTTTTATTAGCAAGCTTCTCAGATTAAAAGGAGAAATGCTATGCATTTTCAACAAGATAACTTTACAGGATGGGGGCTTGTGGTTTATCAATGTAATTTTAAAAATCAGCAACTAAATCTGCATGCTGCTGGATACTAAATGCTATTACATTTGATCAAAGAAGCTTTATTATTTGGGTTCAATATTACCCTATTTACAGCGCATGGATTTATATTGTTTTACACTGGTGTAATTGTGTGTGTGTATACACATATGCACACACTTACACCACTGTAAAACAATACAAATTCATGTCTTGTAAATATGGCCATATATTTACACAGACGTGAAAAGAACTGATTAGAGAACAGATTCTATTTGGGTATCTCTGTTTGGGGGATTGTAGCAGACATCTTTAAGGACAGACCAAGGCCCTACCCAATTTTTTTCCCCTGCCAGAGGAAAAGTAGCATCTTTCAGGGATCTGTCCTGTAGTCCTTGAGCTTGCCTGCTGCTTTCACTCACAAAAGGTGGAAGCTGGTCATCAAGGGTGACCAGAGATTCAACTGTCTGTGTGGCTAGTGTGGGAGGAAATTGCTGACTTGGCATTTTCTCTCAGGAAACAAAATATGTTCAGATGATCCTGCTCAAGCCACCTACAGAAAGCAGCAACATTACTAGAACTATTGGCAGGAAGGGGTTACAGCTAAACCTCATGGAAATAAGGATCTTTATCCTCCTTCTGGGCATCTGAGAAACCAAATATTGGATGAAGATGGGCCTTGGTTAGAACCAGCAGGATTTTTAAATGATCTTATTTTAAAAAAACACAACACATTTTTACTTCCCACAAATAGGAAGGTAAGTTGGATGTGTCTAAGCCAGATTTTCAACTCCCAGAATTCCCCAACCAGCATGCAGTTGAAGTCCACACATCTCAAGCTGCACAGGTTGAGAAACTCAGGTCTAATTAATATCTATCAATGTATATGCTGATTGGATTTATTGTAACTAAATTAATAAACAAATGCATTTCATCTTTTTGTACCTTTGTTTCTATCTCTTGCATCCTTCCCTTGTGAATTTCTAGGTCAGGGGTGTCAAACTGCCTGCCCGCAGGCCGGATGCGTCATGAAGAAACCATGCCAGCAATGGTGAAAAAGCTCTGATACGCTGCGCAACGTCACATGATGTCGCGAGTTTGACATGTCTGTTCTAGGTCCTCCAATTGTTAGGTCTTAAACTTTTCATGTGTAATTTTTTCACTAATGGCATATGACTAAGAGCTATGTGATTATCATCGCTGTTATTATAATTAGGAACAGAAGGGGAAATTCCATTGTCTAGTTTTCTTTTTACTGGTATATAATTCTAAGACCTTTTCATTTTTAAGCTAAAAATGAATTTGTATGCCCAAATCACACAAAGGTTGACCAAGCAGAAAATGGCAGAACTGGTTACTGTAACAAATCAGTGTAATAACCCATTCTTTCTGGAAAATATTATAATATTTTAGCTCACTTTTCCATTTGGTAAGCCACAGCTCCTCGCTGAAAATAGGCTACCGCTAAGTGCTTGTCATGGTCTGTGCTTCTGATAAAAGCCTGGAGGAAACAGACATAATACACAGACATAATTGCTGTCATGTAAGTGCATCCATAATATTACTACAGGGGTCCCCAAACCCCAGGCTATGGCCCACTAGTGGGCCATAAGCTGTTCAAAACTGGGCCACCTGAAATGGCTGGCATATGCGCATCCCCCCTGTGCGAGCAGTGGGCAAGTGTGTGTGTGCATGCGCTCCATTTGAGTGAGCAGCAAGAGTACAAGTCCACCACTTCTTGCAAATGGAGCTACGCACATGTGTGCTTGCTCACCACTTGCGCTAAACTATCCCCTCTCCCCTCGACCCCACACTGGTCCACAAAGCCAGAAAGGTTGGGGAACTCTGATCTACTTAGCTTATGATTCCTGGGTTGCAAGTTTTTCATCAACATACAATATCTATGAGTCTTGCCATATATTTAGTTCAGGACTGTGCCACACAATGTATAAATTCATCATTTTGAATCCTCTTAGACTTGGTTGCCTATCAAATAATGGAAAAAAGGATTGATAGACACCTGGCAGTTCTTAATATTTGGCTGCCAAATTATTATTTTACGAGTCTGGTTATGTTTTTTTAAGCGACCAGTTATGCAACCAGTATTAGGAGTGGCAAAGTTAATATTTTCCAGCTTCTGGAAGACAATATTCACAAATTTCTGAGTTTCCTTTTTGTTCCCCTCTCTCTTAGATTACCAGATTTCATCCAGCATCCACTAGAAGAGGGACAGTACTTTTTGGAAACAGAAGTTGGTATTTTTATCTAATAGGTGATCAGGAATGCTTTGTTCAGCCACTGCCAATGACAATTTTAAAATCCGGCCACTCACCTTTTGTGCCTCTTCCAAATTCTTCATGATCAGGTGGATGCAGCCAATGTTAAAGCAGATTTTGGAAGAAGGATTCTCAACAGACATGAAGGCTTTAAGGGCTGCCGCCCAGTCCTTGCGATCAGCAGCCAATACGCCTTCGCTCCAAAGCCGGATGGTCTCTACAAGTGACATGGTAAAACCAAAATCCTTAGGTGATTCAGGAGCAGCCTTGGGTTTATCACGCTTCTCCCTTTCACTCCTCACTTGTTCAGTCTTTTTCTGATTTAGCCGGAACAGCCTCTTTGCTTCCAGTTTTGATATTTTTTCAGAAAGCTTTGCATGTCGCAAACATATCAGGAAGTGTCTTCAGTCCTCACTGAAGCAGCAACTGCAGCAGACCAGCTCTCAGGGGGAAGTAAAATCACCGAAACTGACTCAAATGAAACTGCTTTCTAAACAGAGGATTCTTTATCTAATTGTTTCATGCAAGCTACTATATCTGTAGGTAACACCTATTTATCCAGATATAGGTATTTCTTCCTTTAAAAAAAATTGGCTTAGTAGAAAATTGTTCATCTTCTGGGTAATATTAAATCTGTGGTTGTTGATTTTCAAAATGTATGGACAAGACATTTTAAAAATTGCCTATTGGAAAATAACTGTCAAGATTAGAAAGCTGCATTGACTGACAACTATTTCTTAATTCTGCCCAAGTTGTTTATCTGTTTTAATAATTAAAGTAAAAAGATTTCCCCTATCCATTCATGTGTGATTCTAGGGGACAGTGCTCATCTCCATTTCTAGCATTGTCCAAAGACACTTCCGCGGTCATGTGGCTAGCATGACTAAATGCCGAGGAGCATGGAACTCTGTTACCTTCCCACCAAAGTGGTATCTATTTATCTACTTGCATTTGTATGCTTTTGAATTGCTAGTTGGGCAGGACCTGGAGCAAGTAATGGGAGCTTACCCCATCATGAGGTGCTTGGGTCTTGAACTGCAGACCTTCTGGTCGACAAGCTATCTTAACTGCTAGGCCACCACATACCCCTATTTTAATAATTATCTCCTAGTTAATAGAATTCCTTAATTGTTATTGGTTTTCATCTGTAAGTTTAAGGACCATAAGTGGCTTCCTCTGATCCTTAGAACTGATGCCATCCTAACTCTCTTTTGTAATGGGTGGATGGGTGTATTTCTTTTTTTAAAGAAGAAAAAATGAGTCAAGGGTGGAGAATGGAAAATGATAAAATTATGTGGGGAAAATGTGATTCCTCCATGACAGACTAGGTTTAAAAGTAGACTATGGGTCTGATAAGATGGAAAAAAGTATTGCTCTGTCATGGATAGGCTACAGAAATATTGCCATTTCAGCAATCTGGTTAGACATAGTGCATATTTTTAAAAGCATTTATTCCATTCTTTATCTGGAAAGGCTCCAAGTGTTGTAGAGGCCTACTCATCTGTATGAATGACTTACAGATTAATTAAAGATGAAACAATCCTTCCTTTTAGATTTATACAAACAGACAAATGGGGACAATTACATTTACACACACACACACACACACACACAAATACACTGTTCTTACATTCAGAAAACTCTTACACCATAATGAGTATTTGGGTAGAAAGAGTTTAGGGAGACTTTTCTAGAGGGTGGAAGGACTACATCAAATAAGAAGCAACTGGAAACAGCTTTGTTAACATCTATTGCCAATGCTATACTGGAATATTAATGGCTGATGTGGAACAAGCATTGTTCCAGTCCCATGATGTGCTGGATTTATTATTTCCATCATGCCAAAAAGTATCTTGTCTGAGCACTTCCTAGTTCTTCTTCTAACTAGAACCATTTGCTGTTCAACTCCAGCAAGAAAAAGCATTAAGAGTAGGGCTGTACCATTGAAGGCCCCACTTATTCAATACTTGGCTACTGTTTTTTCTAGGAATACTATTATGTGGTGTCAATTCGGAGCAAATTGTTCTGTAAACCTTCTATTTAGTGGACAGGTGGCAATGCTTTCTGAACAGGTGTCGGCCCCACTAAGTACACTAGTCCAGTAAATCAATTCTGCTGGAAGGCTAATACTAATTTTATTGATGTTGGCTATAATAATAAAAATTTGCAAATTCTGTTCCTCCTCCTCCTCCTTATACAGATAGAGTTCAACTTACAACCATTCATTTAGTGACCTTTCAAAATTACAACAGCACTGAATAATGTTATTTATGACTGGTCCTCACACTTGCAATTTTTGCAGCATCCCTATGGTCCATCATCAAAATTTGGGCTCTTGGCAACAAGTGTGTATTTATGATGGTTGCAGCATCTCAGGGTCATGTGATCACCGCTTGCAACTTTCCCAACCCACTCCTGACAAGAAAAGTCAGTGAGGGAAACCAGATTCACTTAATGAACATATAATTCACAATAACTGCAGTAATTCATGTAACAACTATGGGGGGGAAAAAGAGGCTATAAAATTGGGCACGAATTGAAATATGCACTAAGTGCAGAACTAAACTCGCTCAACTTCAAGCAATCCTTTCTCATAAAGCAGGGGTCTTCAAACTTGGCCCTTTTATGACTTGTGTCTGGCTGAGGAATTCTGGGAGTTGAAGTCCACAAGTCATAAAAGGGCCAAGTTTGAAGACCCCTGTCATAAAGCAATAACTTTTTTCTCTCTCTTTTCTTCCTTCATTGATTGCTTCTACAAACAGCACAAACCCTGCCTGCCTGACGCCAGCTAAGTGACACATTTCTTTTCCCAAAACACTGTGCCACTGAAAAGAGGGAAATCTGTCATGGAATTGTCAAAGGAAGTTTCCATGTCAGAGCTATTTAGGGATGATCCAATTGTTCATTTTCAATTCAGAAAGATGAAGCTAACTGAAATCTGTACATAATTAGGACTTTGTCTTTCCTGTGCAGCAAACTTTCTGACATTTTAATTGTGTAAACCTCCGACACATTTAAGAAATAGTGGGTTGCCTCCCTATATAGAAATCAGAGAAAGAGATTTTGTGAGGTAGATAATATTGCCACACTATTAGAAAACATTAAGGCCATGCTAGTATTCAGATAGATAACAAGAGACTAAGGGCAAATACTGTCATTACCTTCATGGAATAGAAATGCCAAACATCTAGTAAAGTAAGGTTAGTCCTTACTATCCCTACTTTAGAAACAGCAATTTTTGGAAGATACCATAAACTGAACATATTATTTCATGGATAGTTCAAGGGTGGGCAAATCCTTAATCATCGTTCTTTCATCCTACTTTTCAAGAAAAAAAAGATGGTAACCTCTTGCCCACAAGACCGATACACCCTTATGATCCCCCTGCCCCAAATAGATGTTTTCTATTTAGAAAAAAAACCTGATTCTATATACAGTAGTGTGTCTTTCTCTGCAATGAAGAAGATGGAGAATTATGATTCATCACATTCTCCCAAACAGAGACAAACACTCCTTTGTCTGTGCAGAGAAACCTTTAAAAATTAAGCAATGCTTCCTTCCTTCCTCTTTTTGAGTTTAGCACGGTCACAGGATAAGGCTTTGGGCTAAAGTAAGGAACTTTGGCTTACAGTATGGACAATTCCTTTGTACAGAAACACTTTTTTTCCTGTGATGTAAAGCCCTTTTTTTTTTTACTAAGATGCGTAATGCATCATTACCACCCATAAGATGCAATTTCTCATTTATTCTGTCAGCCTCTCATTCTAACTAGTTCTGAATCTATCAAGCAAATGAGTCACAGGCTTTCTTCTCCAAGATTGCTACAGCAACTTTGAGCAACTCAAAGGAACTGCAGGTTTCCAAACTCATGTGGCTGTTGAAAGCGCAACACCAAGTATGAATGGAGCAACTGAAGGAAGAGGGGAACTAAATGAAATTGGTCTTAATACATCTACATGGAGGAAAGTAAGCAGTGGGGTACCACAAGGTTCCATCTTAGGCCAGTACTCTTCAATATCTTCATAAATGACTTAGATGAGGGAATAGAAGGGAAACTTATCAAATTTGCAGATGATACTAAGCTGGCAGGAATAGCCAAAACCCTAGATGATAGGCTCAAGATCCAGAAGGATCTTGACAGACTTGAACACTGGGCCATATCTAACAAAATGAAATTCAACGTAGAGAAAAGTAAGGTCTTAGACTTAGACAAGAAAAACCAAAGGGACACATGAAACCTGGCTTAATCGCAGTAAGTGTGAGAAGGATCTGGAGTCCCAGTGGACAATCAATTAAATATGAGCCAGCAGTGTGCGACAGCAGCCAAAAAAAAAAAAAAACCAATCCAATGCTAATGTGCATTAACAGAAAGATTGAATCAAGATTACATGAGGTACTAGTTCTGCTCTATAAAGCCTTAGTAAGGCCACACCTAGAATACTGCATTCAGTTCTGGTCACCACACTATAAAAAAGATGTTGAGATTCTAGAAAGAGTGCATAGAAGAGCAAAAAAGATTATTAGGGGCCTGGAGGCTAAAACATATGAAGAATGGTTGCAAGAACTTGGCATGGCTAGTCTAGAGAAGAGAAGGACCAAGGATGACATGATAGCAGTATTCCAATATTTGAAGGGCTGTCACAGACAGGAGGGGGACAATCTATTTTCCAAAGCACCTGAAGGCTTGACAAGGAACAATGGATGGAAACTGATCAAGGAAAGATTCAACCTAGAAATAAGGATAATTTTTCTGACAGCAATTAACCAATGGAACAGCTTGCCTTCAGAAGTTGTGGGTGCTTCATCACTAGAGACTTTCAAGAAGAGACTGGACAGCCACTTGTCAGAAATGGTATAGGGTTTCCTGCTTGAGCAGGGGGATGGACTAGATGACCTACAAGGTCTCTTCTGTTATTCTGTTAAAAATCATATGAGTATGACCATTGCTTCACAGAACTTTGTTGATATCTGTATGGTTCAAGAAAACCAATGTTCAAATTAGTCAAATTAGCCCTCAACTTAGTGACCATTCAAAGTTACAAAGCGCGCCGAAAAAATGGCCCCTGTGCCATAGTCATGTGAACACATTTCAGATGCTGAGCAACTGGTCTGCATTTACATTTGTTTGGAGCATCCTGTAGTCACATGACTGCTATTTATGATGTTTTTGTTGAAAACTGGAGTTTACTTTCAATTTTGGGCCAAAATGTGCCATAGCAAGCAATGCGTTCTCTTGATAACTGTGCCATTCTCTTAACAACCATAGATTCACTTAATCACTAGGGGATTCACTTAACAACCACTGCAAAAAGAATGTTAAAATCATGTCAGTCATGTGATGATGCACTTTAGGACTGTCACAGGTTATGACCATAATGGGCAGGCTCCATTACAGTTGTTAAGTTGAGGACTACCTGTATACTTTCTTGCTACTTCATTATAGAATTTTAAAGTTAATATTTTCCGATTTCACAGTCTAGGATGCTTCAAGAAATTTATTTTGTTGCTATGTTCTCTCTTTCTGACCAGCAAATTGTCAATAATAATAATCCAGAACAAACCAAGCACCACTTGAACACCTTCAGCATTGACAAATTCACCATCAGTCAATTGCAAAAAGTAGCTTTACTCGGAACAGCTTACATCCTGCAGTGATACCTATTACACCATCGAACATCCACATCTACCTATCCCAGGTCATTGGGAAGGACTTGATAGTTGGACAAAAAAGCCAGATCCAGTGTTAACATCTGGCTGATTATGTAATGAACCATAAAATGTTATAATTTCCCACTGATTATGCAATTTCTCTCCCCTTGTCTTCTGCAGGTATGAAGTGAGCACTAAAGACCCTAGCATCCTACTGTAATGAGGAACACTTAATTATTAGCTATGATATATCCAAAGTTTTACCACATCATATCATCAGTTTTCCAACAAATGACAAAGACACAAGTGGAAAACTGATTCCCGTGAAATAGAGCAAATCAAATGGTTTTAATCTTGGATATCGTATTTCAGGCTTTTGGGAAATTAACAGTCCAGGTAAATTATGTCACTTCTTCTGCCCAAAAAAGTACACTAGCAATAACTAAATTTTATAGGCAACAGGGGGTTAATTACATTCCAGTGGCAATCAAATAGTTTATGGCTAAAACAGTTGTCCAACTATTATATGGATGCAACTTGGGCTATACAAAAACCTAAGGACTTAGGACAATGCAGTCTTGAGGTTTGAAGTGAGTGTGCCAAGCATCAAGGCTTTGGCCTGGACCAGGATGCTAATCTCAGGACTCCAAATCATTTTGGACACTCCTGGCCTGATGCCTCTGCTGTTGTCAGACAGCTACCAATCTTACTGGCACTGTACCTATGTAACAGTTTTACAGTCTTGGCCTCTCTCCTGAATATTTAAACCAGTCAACTCTTAAGGAGAGTCAAATCAATAATATAGAAAGAATTAGGGGCATTGACTGCCAAAATGTTTTCACTAGTGTTCCTGAACTCTATTGCCAGATGATAGAAAGCTGTAATCTCTCTTCTGTAGGATATCTATACAATCTAACTCTTAAGCAAATATAGATGGGCCTTTTCCAGAGTCCACTTTGATGGACTGCTCTGCTGGCAAGAAGCTTTCATTGAATTCCTTATATACAAGGACTTTGCCCTTGTGGATCCAGGGAGATAGATATGGTGTCCTTTTTATGATGCCCCAAGAAGTGCTCTGATCTCCACAGTCATCTTTAAATTTTATATATAATCATTTATGTTCCTTATTTCTTAACCGTCAGTCTTCCTCAAAAAGTAGTTCCAATCATATTGATATAGTCACACTGATCAATTGGATGTGTATTATCTTTTTAAGAGATGCTAATTCTATACTCGCATACCAGGTAGCCCAATATCGATGTAAGGTCATGCAACTGCTTGCACATAATGTGCTTTGTCTTACTATTTTCTCTCCCCCCCTCCAATAATGAATTCCTATGCCACACTATTTCTCCTTTCCTACTGTAAAGGCTGATCAAGGTCCATAATAAAAATATTTGACTTGATTTGAAAGTTGCCATACCAGAAAAGGGCTGTTTTGCCATTTTATTATGAAACTTTAGACCAAACATCAGCAATATAGCTAATCCTCGACTTATGGCCACAATTGAGCCTAAAATCTATGCTGCTAAGTAAGACATTTGTTGAATTTTGCCCATTTTACAGACTTTTTTCCCATCGTTGTTAAGTGAATCCCTGCAGATGTTAAGCTAATAATACGGTTGTTAAGTAAATGTGGCTTCCCCATTGGCTTTGCTCATCAGGTCACAAAAGGTGATCACATGACCCCAGGACACTGCAATCGTCATAAATATGAGCCAGTTGCCAAGTGTCTGAAATTTGATCACATGACCGTGTGGATGCTGCAACAGTCAGGTGAAAAATGGTCATAAGTCACTTTTTTCAGCGCTGTTGTAACTTTTAATGGTTACTAAATGAATGCTTGTTAAGTCAAGGATTACCAGTATTGTCTGAAAGCTACATGTAGAAACACAAGAAGCATGCATTTATTTTCAGGTTTCTTCACTGGATCCCAATATACATCTACAGTATGCCCAATTCAAGCTGTAGCTTTCAATCTTTAAAGCTCTACCTAGTTTGGCACTCATGTACCTCTGTGATCATATCTCCCAACTCGAATCAACCTATGCAGACTCATCCCAGGAAGGGTTCTTGAGGGTCTCCCCTGCACAGGGAGACTCAAGGAAGTCCTGTCTTACTGTTGGTCCCATGTTATGGAATATCCTTGCCTCCAAATCACAGGGCATCCCCAACTTATTTGCCTTTGACATAGCTGTGAAAACCATCCTATTCTAGCAGAGTTTCAACGTGAGTGGTGGATTGGGCTCTTTTGTAATTTCTTGTGGCATCTATGGTGGAGTGATTTATGGGTTATTGTTAACAGTCTGTGATTGTAATGGTCTGTGAAAATAACCTTGGGAGATAGGAGGAAGAACAGTCTAGAGCAGGGGTAGGCAACCTTGGCTCTTTTATGACTCGTGGACTTCAACTCCCAGAATTCCTGAGCCAACATGGCTCAGCTTGGAAGCCTCTTCCTTTCCCCTCAGCATGGCTGGCTCAGGAATTCTGGGAGTTGAAGTCCACGAGTCATAAAAGAGCCAAGGTTGCCTACCCCTGGTCTAGAGTTTAGACAACGGTCTGAAAAGAGGCATCCGAGTCTACATAAGGGATGGAGGTGGAGAAAGCATCTCAGAAAGGAACCATTCTAATTCTTCAGACTTGCAAGATTCTGTTACTGTAACTTTATAAGAAAGGTAGTGTTAGTGTTCACGGTTCTGGTTTCCTGTCTGTACATAAAGGGATAATTTCAAATTTCATCCTAGTTGAAATACAGTGGTGTCAAAATGTTGTAATGAATACATATATACATAAATGTGTTGTCAGTTCAGTTTAAGAACAGTTTCAACATCTGCTAGCCGTATCTGGAGCACATAAAAATATTGCTTTGGCATCAGAGGTTCTAATTAGCTATTATGGTAAATAGTACCACTCAACATTAGAACCATAATTAAAAAGGTACAATAAAGAATATTCTTCCTGCGTCAACTCAGAAAGTTCAGACTGCCCAGGAGCTGTTAATACAGTTTTACGAAGGAATTACTGAGTCTGTTATTTGTACTTCTATAAATGTCTGGTTTGGTACAGGTACAGACTCCAACAGATAGTTAAGACTGCAAAAAGAACAATTGCAAGCAGCCTGCCTTCCATAGTACATTGTGCGGGTCAGAAGGAGAGCCGAGTAGATATCCATAGACCCCTCACATCCTGGACATAAACTGTTTCACTCCTTCCCTTGGGACGGCGCTATAGGGCATTGCACACCAAAATAACTAGACACGGGGAGTTTTTTCCTTTTGTGCCATCATTTTGTTGAATACTTAAAATTCTCTCAGTGTTGCCTAATGTTTATTAACACGTGTACTGTGGCTGTATTATCTTTCTTAATCTCTTTATTCCCCCTTTTATTGGCATTAGTATTCTGTTGCTTTGCATGTACACTGTTTTTGTACTAGAGACAAATTCCTTGTGAGTAATCACACTTGTCCAAATAAAGTATTCAACTCAACTCAATTAAATGTGTCAATTTCTCAGAAAAAGGAGAAAGGTAAACTAGACATGAGATACTCGGTAGGTGTAGAAGGACCAGTACAAGTGTACTTTGTGACTAGCCAGGAGAAAAGCACTTTCTATGGCAGCTATTGAAGTGCTCATAATATGCTAATACAATTCTATGTCCACTGAAGTCCTTGTTTGGTTACATAGGGTGTAAGGTTAACTGTAGACAGTTGGAGTAACATCCATTGTCTGCAAGGGCAGATTCTTCATTCATATCTGCACAATGAAAACCTTCTCCTTCTGTGGTTTATACTTTGTAAAACCTTTATGATCTTTTCTTGGAAGCTCACCGAATAGAGCTTTGCAGCAATCTGTATTCAAGCAGCAATATTTGATCCATAGGTATGTGAGCAGGCACCAAGCACATGTTGGGAACATTTTAAAACACTGGCATTTTTTGACTCTGCAGCTCCTGTGCAATCTTTGGAAGAATGCATGTTAAGGTGTCCCTTATAAAGTGCCAGCTATTGACATCCCACTATCAAAGCAAAAACATCCGATGTTATTTTCATCTGTCGGAACCCATGCTGAATCACACTTTGCTCTCTGAACCTGGATTACTGCACATTCCTATCACTTATTAGCCTTTCAGGACTCTTATTATTCTCCTTTCTCTTCCTCGAAGTATACATTAGCAACAGACAACAAAACCACACTTTGAAAATTAATATTTAACAGTGACCATTTTATTATTTTTCATTTTACAAAAAAAGCAGATATAAAAATGAGCAAAATCTTCATAATTCCATTAAATGTAAATGGAATATACTAGTGAGCTCTGCTCCAAAGTCACATTCAAGCTGCTTTCATTCTGGAATGCTCTACATCTTTTAGGAAATTCATGCTTTACTGTTATAGACATCATCTTACTTAATACAACTTGGAACATGACCATAATAAGAGCAAAATTCAAGATCTCTAAGTCACAGTACCTGAATATTGATCAAGGAATGTCTGTATTTTCAAATAAAACTATACATTAAATTGCTAGGGGGAATAATACCAATTTAGCATCCCTGTGTGACGTTTCTCTCACTGCTCCAGTATAACATATAGAATCTGTGGTCCCACATTCTGGTGTCATATTAATTGCAAATTTTGTTATGTACACACAAAAACAGTATCAGAGAATGGTGCAAGAGGTAACTGAAAGTTAGAAAGTAAGGGAAAATGTCATCCCAAAGAAAAATTCTTTGGCAGCAGCCCCAGTCAAACGCAGTATGTAGTTTTGCCCTAATCCTCTTTTACACATATTACATTATCAAGCGGCAACTGTTAAACTGAATTCCCTCACATGATCTGTTCCTTTCCTTAAATAACTCATCGCAAAAACAGTGATTGTAATGAAGTCTTTAGGAATGGTTGCATTCAACTGTTATAAAAACATTTACACAATGCACAAACCTTTCCACAGACCTTTTGCCAGGTAGTGGCAAAGTTTTAGCATTTGACTAAAAAATGCAAAGCCTGCTTCCCCCCCCCCTTCTCAATTTTAAGTGATTCCCACCTGCGACAGAATACATGGAATGCTGCCTGACTAGCTAAGGAATTTAAAATGTTGATGTCAATCCCTGCCATCTGCTCAGAAGATTCACCTGAAGAGGAAAAGGCAGTGACTTGTCATGATTTTCTGAAAATTTAACTCCAATGCAAAAATTTGCATTTGTTATTAAAACACTTTGTAGGTTTCTTCTTAAAAACAAATTTTCATTTTTACATTTATCCAACATTTCACAAAAAGTTTGATATATCTATTAAGCCACAGATATGAAAAAGCAAAAAGGCAAGCCGAGAGAGACAGATGCTACCCACAGGGCAGTGATGGCAATTGTTTTTTTGGTCTTGTACCAGCATTTCCAATACCCATGGCAGAAGGGGATTTTTTGCTGGACTTAAACTGTTTTCCTGGCAGTTAAGACACGGACAATGGAACCTACACCTCCAGCAGCAAGAGCCTGCAAAACAGAAAAACCATATATATGGAGTAAGAACTCAAGACAAATTTAATTATGGATATTTATTAAATTTTTAATGGGGATACTACAAACAGGTTTAGAAAATAAGAAATATCAGCAATCCACACAAAAAAAATCTAGTATCATATGAAGCGGGGGGGGGGGGGACGGGACACAGCTATACAAATAGCTTACATTACAATAGAAATCACTGGCAGAATCATGTTCCCTTTGTTATTTGCAGCTAAATCTCTTGCTATAATGTACATTGTCTTTGTTCATTGTATAAATTGCTAATTGAGGAAATGCCAGCAACATTTAGAGCGGGGGTCCCCAACCCACTACTGGGTCGCAGCCTATTGGCCACCGGACCGCGTGAGTGGCTGGCTGGTGCATGCATGTGCATGTATGTGCATGTCGCATACGCATACAGCTCCATTTGTGCGAGCATTGCTATTTGCGGCCCCACTCGTGCGAGTGTCGTGGGCATTTGCGGCACTACCCACATGAGAACGGGTGTTTGCGTGCATGCGCTTATGTATTCACCTTCCCAGAAAACCATCTGTTTTTTTCCTCCCTCCCAGGGCCACCAACCCTGAAAGGTTGGTGAACTGATTTAGAGAACACAGAACATGCTTAATAGCTTAACTGAAAAGTTTGTTTTACTTTCTTTAGATTGTAGTTCCTGTCACTTTTATTCAAATCGTTCTGAATGACCCATGAATGACTATGATAGTTTTTACAAACGGGGAAAGCATTTCCATTCTCGCTGAATTCCCTTGCTCCTTCATTTTCTAAAAGTTGCAAATTATGGCCGAAAAGATCATTGGCAGTTCCCTCCCTCCCATCCAGGACATAGCACAGAAGTGTTGCTTGAGCAGGGTCCTTAAGATTATCTGGGACACTAGACATCCTCTTCACGACCTGTTTTCCTTGTTACCTTCTGGGAGGAGGGGGCTCCGTGTTATCTGTAGCAGAACATCCAGATTCAGCCATAGTTTTATTCCATACAGCATTAACCTTGTGAACTCTCAAGCTTCCTCCTTCCGTTATACATTCAAGATGGACAGTATTTAATATTTATTTGCTACGTATATGTAGGGGTGTGGCTCTATACATATGTTGTTCATTATATGTTTAGGTGTGTGTCATGTATGTTTCACTTTGAGAGCAGGCAACTAAATTCATTTTTGATGTGTGCCATTGTGCCCACAGTAAAAAATGACAATAAAGGTTATCTTATCTTATCTTATTTCTTTTCATTGGTAATCTAGGACTGTTCTTGATTAGACATTATTTTCCAGCCTATGTATAATTTTATTTTTGTAACAGCTCTTCACGCCTTACATATATTTTCTTTTTGAAGTTCTGGGCACCTTTCTTTTTAGTTCTTCTATGTGACTTTTCCGGCTGTATTCTTTGGGTATTTGTGGCTCTTCCTTTTTTATATGCTTTAGAGAAATCCAAAATAACAGAACCCCTGCATTAAGACATGACAACCTGTTAACATGAGGACTTAGAAACAAAACCGCAAACCGTGAAATGAAAACCTCATTTCCAATCTTGTGTACTGAAAGTCTCTTTTTCCAATGTTGAGCAGAAGTCTTTCTAAATATGAACAAGCTGAAAATGTATATAAACTTACCAACTCAAGAAAATAGTTTAGGGGCCTCATTAATAAGAATAAAAAAAATCTGCTATCTGGAGTAACATACCTTTTCATGCCACTGCAGCAATACAGCACTGCTGTTGTCAGAGGGACTCTCAAAACCTTTGTAGATATATTTCATTAATAGATCAACTCCATTTTTATCCAAAGATTGCACTGCCTTTTCAATGTCATTGGTTTTGAAAGAGATGAGCACCTTCAGGACAATGCTCTCTGCACGATCCTGGAGACAGAAAGAAAGAGTCATACAGAAGGCCCCATGACTTAAATGTAGATTACAAACCAGTACACATCTATTTGAAATTAAGTCCCACTGAGCTCAAACAATTTATTTCTACACAGAAATCCATTAAGCTATAATACTGTTTATCCTAAAATGTCTAATATATTCAACAAGCAGCAAGTAAAAATATGGCTTATTAATGCAGAAATAACTAATATTTAGGAATCATTCAAGAACATATATTGTTAAAACTTCTGATTATGATGTATGGATGGCAGAAAAAGAAATAAAGGCATTCCATGGTATACTGAACCATAACTCACCAAATTAGGCCACTGCAATAATCTTATTTAAAAAAAAATATTTTTTTTCTCTTTTTGTCCTTCCAACACCACTTTTTCGTATTAGGTATTATTTTTGTGTTAGATATCATTATTTAAGTTTAATATAACTTGCTCTGATTTAGATGTATGGCCTATAAGTCCCATTGAAATCAATAATACAATACAGACTTTTACTAAGTACATATAGGATTGCAGTATGAAATCTCATGTTCATAGATTGCATACAGGCCTTCCTTCCTTCCTTCCTTCCTTCCTTCCTTCCTTCCTTCCTTCCTTCTTTAAGATGGACCTTACAGCAAGAATTAGAAAACAATTCTTTTCTACTTCCTGAGAAGATCTTCTCGCCAAGAAAAAGCAACGAACAGTGCAGGAACATTTATATTTCCAAAGTGGAAGCATATATTTATCATGCAATACCTTCACTGCACTTAGCTATCCATAGATAGCACTTATATATTCAAGGTGCTATTATAAATTATTTATAATGCCAAAAACATTCCTATCCCTACTGCAGGTATTGTCAGCAACATCAACCTTTCTTATGTACTCCTAGGAATTCAAAGTTCATATTAGTGTCATTTATATTAGCAAGACTACGATCCTTCCACATATCAGTATCCATTTCCAAAGCTGAAAAATAGTATTTTTAAATGAAGCAAAACAAACTTAAACTTAAAGAATACAGAATTTAAAGCTATTTAAATTTACTTTATTTAAATATATTTAAATGTAATATATCAAAGATAAAAATACAGAACGTCAACACACAATGAAGAAACAGACAAATGAGAAATTATGTCTCAAATAAGAAATTATGTCTTAATGGTCATGTTACATTAAGTCACCGATTTAAGGAGACTGATTTCGTACAAGTGGTCCAGTTATGACCATTCTTTTAGCAACCATTTAAAACTACAACAGTGCTGAAAAATAGTGGCTTACAACTGGTCCTCACACTTATAACTGCCACAGCATCCCTGCAATCACGTAATTGTGATCTGAGTGTTCAACAACCATTGTGCATTTATAAAAACAGTTGCAAGCACCCCATGATCACGATTGCCCTTTCCAACCTTCCCAGCCAGCATCTAGCAAGCAAAGTTAATGGGGAAGCTGGAAAGGAAGATTTCAAGTTCAAGGTGCAGTCGCATGTCTCATTAATGTAAAAGGTCATATAATCAGTTGTGGTCATGTGATGCTTCACTTAATGTTCATACTGTTTAACAACTAATTTTTCTAGTTCCTGTAGTGCTTTTAAGTCAAGAATTACCTCATTAACTCTGCTTGTTATTCTGTTTCTTCTTAAAAGTAAGGCTGCAAAACCACAAGTCAACCCTGTTTTCTTTAGATGTTTTATTGAAAATAGTCTGTTCTGCAGAATAGGTTACCAATGACCATTTTTGTAGTTTAAAAATTGTTACCATACGTACCTTTACAGCTTGACTCTTTGTATTAATTGGAGGATTCTTCAGAGCTGCCTGTAAGGCTGCCATCATATTTCCTGTGAAAAGCAGTTAAGGCTAACTTGCCAGTCTTTAGAATCAATGTTATTACTAATAATATATCTACATTTCAAGTATTCAAAGTGCTTCAGATGTATTAGTTGGGATTCTTATATGAGCCATGTGAGTGATTACAAGTTTTCCTGATCTAGAAAATGGAAATCCTGTTCCAATTCCTGCACAAGTTATATTTCCTAGAAAATATCATTTCACACTAAAGCCAAGCCAATAATACTTGTTAGCAATCACAAATTGCATTTTTCTTTGTTGAAAAGACAGAAAATAATAAATAAGATAATTTGATACATTTAACAACTTCATGCTGCAGAAGAGGCAGGAATTGATAAATAAGTAGCTCGCCAAATGCTCTTTTGTGAATTTGTGGCTTTTAATTCAAATCTTGTTGATATATTTTGAAAAATGCCCTCCTATTGCCCACCTAATGAGAAGGAAGGACTCACTGGAGATGGGCCTAATGCTGGGAAAGATTGAGGGCAACAGAAGAAGGGGATGACAGAGAATGAGGTGGCTGGATGGAGTCACTGAAGCAGTAGGCATGAGCTTAAATGGACTCCAGAAAATGGTAGAGGACAGGAAGGCCTGGAGGAACGTTGTCCATGGGGTCGCGATGGGTCGGACACGACTTTGCAATTAACAACAATTGCCCACTCTAAAAGTAGCATTAATTTAGCATATTTGGGTAAGTGTCTCTGAACAATGCAACAATCAATAGTTTGTTACTGAGATGTCAAAACAAATTTTGGCAGCTTAACTAGTTTTTAGCTGAAAGTCCACAATGCAACAAGATTCATACAGTAGATATGAACTAGCAAAATACCACTGAACTTCAACTCAGCTATTAAACAATGAAACTTGCTGATACTGGAATACATTTTTTCCAATACCTTTTTGTTATCTAGACTTATGAAACCATGCAACATAGTATGATTAAAAACTAGCCTTAATAAGCAAACAGCTGTGAACAATAGGCATGAATAACATATCTTTTCCAAAAAAGTTTTTATTTTTCAATTATCAATTACATAAACAAAAAAGAAGAAATTTCACATTTGACAAGATAGAATGAATACACCTAGATGTCGCTTGCCCCCCCCCGAAACTGCATCCGCCCTCTCTTATACTCCCCTTACTTCCCTCCTCCCTCCCCTCACCTCTCTCTCCCTTCCTCCTCTCCTCTCACCATCCTACTTCCTCCCAAACCTTTCTCCTCCTCTCTCTCTCCCCTCCCCCTCTCCTCTCACCATCCTACTTCCTCCCTAACCTTTCTCCGGCATGAATAACATATCAATGGGTTCTATTCCTACATATACTTGTAACATCTCTTATATTAAGAAGCATTGTAGACATAACTGTTTCTATAAAACGAAAACCACTGCAGAAGCCATATACTTCCTTTTCTGAGAAGAGGAAATGGGAAAACTATAATCAAGACTCCTCTAAATTTCATCACTTTAAATCTATTAAATGTGTGCAAAAGTAAACTCCAAGAAAAATCCAAATTTAATAATTTGAGATCAGACTTCAAAATTCAGGTCATATTAAGCAATTAATTTTTTTCTCAAGGAGTATGGAAACTTATTAGAAAATGTATGAAAGAGCTTGTTATTGGACTATGGATTACCCAACCACCATGATGCTTCCTTAATACCTGGAGCTTTGTAAAATTGGAAAATCAAAAAAACTTGTTTAAAAAAAAAGAAAAGAAAATGGAAAGCAAAATTCCACCACAAATAGGTTTATACAAACATTAACATTATTTAAAAATGGAGATACTTCCAAATAACAGCATGATTTTTCATTTAAAAAGCCAAGAATCAAGAATTAGTTTATTTCAGTATTTCTTGGGAGGATTCTAAAAATAACCCACATCTAATTTGAATTACTGCAGCCTTATTTACACTAAACCTGTAGTTAAAATAGGATACTGTGGTTTAAAACACAGTAACAGTAACAGTTTTTTTCAACTGTTTTTCTTTTCTTCTCTGAAAAACCTATTATGATGAACCAAAACATTTGCAGGCTATTGAGCTGGGTTAAATAATGAACTGCTCTAATCCAGATGCAGCATCTCAAGAGCAACAGGCAGAATATCCAAACGATTTTCCAGTTCCCAGGCTACTAATCACAAGTAAAACAGTGTGCCCTATAAGTACTGATGAAAGTTAGCCCAGAGAAGAAATATTAAAAAGGGCAGAAAAATATGTTTTTCCTCAAAAGGACTTTTTAAAACCAAACCTGGCCCCAAATCTATCTCTCTGCCCCAAGCAAGACTTTAACCCTATACAAATGCAGATGTAAAACCATCAGAAAGTTGAAGCCAGAGCAATCAAGAAGACAAAAGAGAAGATCTGCATACCCCACCCAAACTCTAGGAGTCAGCCCCATCACCTGGGAAGCAGGATATGATAATAGAATTAAACCACAGATATCAAGGCCTAGACAAACACTCAGAAACAGCCTCAAGGTTCATGCCACAGGAACAGGAAACTATTCCAAACAAGGCTAGAGGGGGTATAAAAGCCTACTGCCCCATGTGCTCAGCTCTCTTCTTCTCTCCTCTTTCTCTCCTCTCCTCCTCCCCTGAAGAACCATCTTTCTGCAATAAACTGTAACCTTCTTCCCAAAGCAGTCGCCATGTTTGCTCATTTATTCCCGGCTTGGATGAACCAGAATGAAAACTTTACTTCTAACAATTTGGCACCCCGAGATGGGACTCCAAGCTAACCTCTCCAATGGACTGAGACTGGTAAGCCCCATCTTGCCGGCAGCAGACCCCCTTGTGTCTGTGGATGGGTTTCCCAGGCCTTGCCCATGTGGAGCTAGGGTAGTAAAAGGAGTTTTGAGAGTTTGAGCTCAACGGCTGCTTTGGGAAGAAGATGAAGGTGAGTACCTCTAAATTTAAAGTTTAAAGCCCAGGGGAACAAAGAAAATGTGTGTATTTCTGTTTGTGTGAGTGAGAAGACTTTTTTTTTCCCAATCACAGTTGGATTTTGCTGCTTCTGGTCTTTCCTAGCCGCAGAAAGGATCTGTTTAATTGGCAAAACCTGGACAGCATGGGGGTTGGCCAGAGCACAGAACCTTTTGTTAGGGAAAAGGGAGAGATTGTGTGAAAATGAAATGGAATGAGTGAATGAAAGAATTGGATTTGGGCAACTAGCTGGTAAGGCCCTGTAAGCAAAGCAGAGTTAGGAAAGAAGTCTCGCAAAGAGACTTCGACTGTGTTAGTGCCCTTTAGGTTAGGAAAGAAGTCTCATAAGAAGACTTCGACTGTATTAGGAAAGAAGTCTCACAAGGAGACTTTGACTGTGTTTGGAAAGAAATCTCACAAGGAGACTTCGACTGTATTAGGAAAGAAGTCTCACAAGGAGACCGACTGTATTAGGAAAGAAGTCTCATAAGAGACTTCGACTGTGTTAGGAAAGAAGTCTCACAAGGAGACTTCGACTGTGTAGTGTATGAAAGAAAAATAGACTTTGCTTAGGGCTTTGCTGGGAAACCAATTTGGCTAAATAAAGATACTTAAAAGGGAAAATAAGAAATAGTGATTCTCTCTCTCTCTCTCTCTTCTTTATGCAACCACGTGGTATGTTTAAAATGTGTGCCTTCCCTAACTTCAGTTATCTGAAATTTATGGTGGGAATGACTAGGATGTGTAAAACTAAGACTTCTGTTGCTTGTCTTTGTGTATATATGTTTGTCAAAGTCTCTGTGTGAGAGGTAAATGTGACTGTTAACTGTTTCAAATCTAAAGGAAAAAGAATTTTAAAGTCTGCTAGAAATTCTGCTTAAAATAAGCCACAAAAAGGAAAAAACCTCACTCTGTCTGGCCAACAGAGTGAAGAAAAAAAAATGTGTTTGTTTGTTTTCCTCTTTCTCTCTGTGTACGTTCAAGAACAGCCTTAAGTTACCAGGAGGGATTGTTTTAAGTTTATCTGTTGGAAAAGTTTCACTTGCATTTACTGTAAGTGTTTTATCTATCCTTTTCCTGAAAAATGTGTGTTTATCTACAAGAGCCTTTTGAAGCTCAAGTCTGCTTGTGTGGGGAAATAATTTTCCTAAGTTACTTTTCATATCCTAAAACTTACTGATGAAACTACTATGAAACTTTTCTGAAACAAATAAGCATTTTCTAATCTCTAAAATAATGTGGTCTATTTTAGAATAAATGTTCTCCTACCCTTGGCAAGTTGCACATCTTAAAATATTAGGCTTTTAAAATTATTTGGAGTTTTCAGCATTTTCAAACTGCCTGCAAGCTACCCCCCTTCCAATTCTTTTCCTGCCCTTTGTTCTCCATACCTTTTGTCTGCCTCTCCTGGTAGAGTCCACCCAGAAAGTGGGGGGGGAGACCTTGTTCTTGTATCTTTCAGCCCTGAAACCCTCTCCCAAGCCTTTGGAAGCAGAACACACAGACCCAGATGCTGCCTCCATCCATTTGAGCCATGGAATTGAGTTTTGAATCCAAAACTAAAAAGCCACCATGCAACCTAAGTTGAAAATCTTCCCAAGTCCTACCATTTCCTCAGATGCCTGTGAGAGCTGCAGAAGGAAGGATTCCTGGTGCCATGTGAAGCCTCAGAAGAGAAAATTAAGACTGTGGGGGGAGGGTGGAAACTCATTGTAAACTTTTCTTTCTTGCCCCATTTGTATTGTAACAAGCCAGTTGAATGTATTAATGGAGAGATGGCATTTAGGAATAGGTGGCAGAACAAGTACTGAACACCTTGGACTTCTATCTGGTGGGAGGGAAAACTTCCAGAATGTTTGTATTGCCTGTTTTGTAGAAATAGCTGCATATGCATACACCATTCACACCATTCACCCCTCCACCTACCTTCAGTAAAGTTCCCCAGGCTGATTTTTGCTCTATTGCACCAAAGCTTTGTGGGACCAACTTCCAACAGATTCCAAGGGGGAGGGAACTAGGCCCCCTCAGGTGATTTGCAATTCATATGCCCTGACTAAGGAAGCAACAGGAAAAATCCCAAACTTCAGACCTGAATATCTTGCACTGGTGAGCCCAGATTGGGATTCCCAGAGCTCAGTATGTGCAATTTAAAGAAAAATTTAATAGCCTGGCATTACAAATCTGGATGCACTGAATTAAGAGCTAAGGCAGGGGGCAACCATGTACTAAGGAAAACCATGGCTGTGAAGAATTTTGGGAGGTATGCAAACCTGACTGGAAGCTAAAGGTGATATCCAACATTTGAAAATGATTGGCACAGAATATTGGATACTATAAATTTCTTTTCCACCTAACAAAATTTTGCCCTGACTTTTAGAACCTTATGGGTGCAAGCTCCCCTTTTGGGAGCCACTAAAGGGATCTTTTTCTGCTGCCTCCATTAATGTCTTATTATTATTATTATTTTGCTTAACAGTTTAAAAGCTTGCCTACCAAGTCTCCCTAACCAGATCAATTTTAATGTTGTGCCAATAAGTATGTCATAAATTCACACTTAAGGCACAAAGCGGGGATTGATGAAAGTTAGCCCAGAGAAGAAATATTAAAAAGGGCAGAAAAATATATTTTTCCTCAAAAGGACTTTTTAAAACCAAACCTGGCCCCAAATCTCTGCCCCAAGCAAATGCCCCTATGCAAATGTAAAACCATCAGAAAGTTGAAGCCAGAGCAATCAAGAAGACAAAAGAGAAGATCTGCATACCCCACCACCTGGGAAGCAGGATATGATAATAGAATTAAACCACAGATATCAAGGCCTAGACCAGTGATTCTAATGCCTTTCTAATGCCGTGACCCCATAATTGTGGGTGTGGCCACCAATAAGAGGGAGTAGAACAGCTAGGGAAAAGGGAAAAAATGGCGGACAGCATGGTTTGGTGACCCCCGTGAAATGGTCATTCCAAATGGGGCACTTTCCTGAATTCCTTTCTGCAATAAACTGTAACCTTCTTCCCAAAGCAGTCGCCATGTTTGCTTATTTATTCCCGGCTTGGATGAACCAGGATCTAATGAACCATCTAAATTAAAACGTTCCAAGCTGCGATCCTCGCTCTATTAATTCATTAGCCCCATTCCTATTGCAATTTAGACGGGGGTGAGGCCAAGACCGAACGAACTTTTCCAAGTCCATTTTGAGAGTTCGAACTTCAGGAACAACACTGAAATAGAACCAACAATCATAGTAATTGGGACGACCTCAGTCGGATTGCAAAAGTCCCTGGACCCACCAATTTCCGTGCTTCTTTGCTGCTCTCCAGAGGTCGTATACATGGAGTCGCCGTAACCCAGGGGGCTACTGCCGGTGCTGGGGGGAGCTGCACTCCCACCGAGAATGGCGTGCCCCGCCCGCCCTGCCTCCCTCCGCCGAGGAAGCAGAAGGATATTGCCTCAAGCACGAGTCCACCTCGCCCTCGTCCGGCCCCACCTGCCCATCCCCGCCGTCTTCCTCATCCACGAACTTGTTCTCATCGTATTCGTCCACATCGACGCGGCGGAAGCGCGCGGAGGAGACCGTGTGCTTCGCCATCGCCGCGTCCACCGCAGTCCGGCAAAAAGGCGGCACCCAGCGCCCTTTCCCCAAAAGCGGCGACGGCCGGAAGAAGGAAGTAGAAGAACCGCGGACGCCGGCACCACGCATGCGCGACGCCCGCCTGGGCCGTTCTTCGCCTTGTAAGGCAAGCGGAGAACACAAGTTAGGAGGAGTTGGGGGGGGGGGTTTGCCGCCTTATCCGATTTTTCGCTTCGTTTACTACTATTTTTTCCCCCTTTGTCAGGGAGTTACGCACGCGCAGTACCGCTTCGGGTTGTGGGTGGATTGGGCACGCCTGAGTACAGCCATTTCAACCCCACCCTGATAGGGTCCTCATGCGCAGAACTCTTGGGCGAGGTCATCTGTCTTTGTACAGTGGCGCGATGGAAGTGGGGGGAGGGAGATTGACCGGTTTCCATAGAAACGGGGCGAGGGGAGGCGATGTACCTCTTGGCTCTTGAAGAAATGTCAACGCAGAGGAAAAAAACTTCTTTCCCCCACTTCTGACGAAAATTGAAAGCGAGTGTGTAGAGCGACAGGGCCTGCTATAAAGGTGGATTTTTAGATAGCCAGATACGATTTCCCTTCAATACAAACCTCAGGTTGTCGTTCCTGGAATATCCCCCCCCCCCCAATATTGATAAAGAACTACAGCTCTTCGTATTGCTAGGGTTCACTTGCTGCCTGTTATAGTTATTATAGTTCAGTAAAAGATGGTGAAAAAGCTGTTAAGCTACTGTTGTAATAGGAAAACGGTCTCTTTGATTGACTGAAGTTCACAGCATGTCTTGTTTTCTCTGCTAACAGCATCCTTTAGTGTTTGTACATCCTACGGGGAGGGGGGAGAAATTACATTATCACCCCACCCCAATGTATATAGGTGCCTATCTCACAGATGTGTAAACCTCAATATGGGTTACAAAAATTAAAATATTAAATATTTTTTAAAAGCAGCTGCTATACTGTTGTACAAATAAAAACAATACTACAGTCTTCACATTTACATTATTTGTTTAGCGGCCTTTTGAAGTTCTAATGGCATTGAAAAAAAGTGACTTAAACACTTCTGATTGTCACAGCATCCCCAATGTCACATGATCAGAATTCAGGCAATATATATTTACAATGGTTGCAGCATCCCAGGATCATATGTTTGCTATTTGCGACCTTCCTAGTTGGCTTCTGAGAAGCAAAGTCAATGGGATAAGCCAGATTCACTTAACAACAGCATGATTCATTTAACACAGTGGTTCTCAACCTTTTTAATGCCGCGACCCCCAACCGGTCGTAAGTCAAGGACTACCCAACCAGTCGTAAGTCGAGGACTACCCAACCAGTCGTAAGTCGAGGACTACCCAACCGGTCGTAAGTCGAGGACTTTCCCTGCCTGGAAGCGCTGCGCATGCGTGGTGCCGCCCCCTGCACCGGCCGAGGCATAGCTGGCAAGGGGCAGAGACAGAGCAGGGCGACCACCGGCTGGGCCACCAGTAAGGCACCCGCCGGGCCCCACGTGCGCCAGCAATCCTCTCTGCGCCTGCCGGCCTCCCACCTCCCATCCCTGGCCCTCTTTTACTTACATTTTTAGTAGTTGCTCAGCAGGGAGGGGTGGAAACTTCCAGACAGCTCGCCTTTGCTGTAGACAACTTGCAGCACCGTTTGCAGAATGGGACTTTTGGCGGGCTCAGTAGGGCAGAGACAGCCTGAACAATTCCTATTGGCTTTTGAAAGCCAATAGAATTAGACTCTATTCAAGAGAGTCTATTCTATTGGCTTTCAAAAACCAATAGAATAAAAGGGAGTAGCACAGCTAAGGAAAAGGGGGAAAAAATGGCAGACTGTGTTGTTTGGCGGCCCCCGTGAAATGGTTGTTCGACCTCAAATGGAGTCGTGACCCACAGGTTGAGAACCACTGATTTAACAACTGCAGTGATTAGCTTAACAGCCTTGGCAAAAACAGTAATAAAATTGGGTGCAACTCACTTAATTGCCCTGCTTAGCAATGGAAATTCTGGTACCAATTGTGGTGGTACTGTTGTAATCTAATCTGTTTGAATGCCCAGAGGGGGACGTAGAGGCTAGAGCATAAATGAGCCTGGGTTGCTCCATGATTTGAGATGGAAAAAGATTGCAGTGAAGAGCCACAGCAATAGAAGCCATGCCCTTTCAACATTTCAAACAGATCAAAGACATTTCAATAGAGGTGGTGCATGTGATATTTGAAACTGTGAACTTGGTGGCAATGCAGGTTGGAGAACTGGGGACTCTTGCCTCAGTAGAACCTGGGCTAGGTCCGAGGAAAGCAGCAGATCTTTGCCCGCCACAAAAGTTTTCCTTGGCACAGATGAATTTCTTGGCCACATCTTTCCTAAGCATTCAATGACCTGTATCTTAGGAAGCTGGGGAACAAGCCAGTTTTCCCACAGTGGTCTTGAACAAAAACATTGAAATCATCCAAACTCTGCAGGAGGTAATTCACCAATGTTCAGTATGGGAAAATTCTCAAGAAATACTGTATTGTTGAATCTCTTAAGCAATAATAATAGGCCTTAGTTCAGTGGCAGAGTGTCCTGGTGAAATGTACCCCCCCACTGCTTTTTGTTATTGCTATTAAAAATGTACGTATGCCTTTTTCACCAAATCTTTCTGCTTGTAATCTGCCATTTAAAAAAGAATAGCAAAAATATATCATGATTTAAGGGGATAACAAAAGGATTAAATTTAATTGAACAAATAAATAAATTGGGGTGTATGGTTTTGTATGATTTATGTATGATTTAGATATTTAGACATTCCCTCTTTAAATTACTGGTTCATCCCTTCCTAAATTAAGATAAGTTGAATGATTTAGCAAATTAAAAATATTGTAACATCTTAAAAAGATAATCCTCCCCCCCCAACTATTTGTTAGAGTAGAGGTTTTTATGTACTGGATTGAACTTAACCAAACATGAATTGGCCTATTTTCTAAAGTTCAGTGCATTTATAGAAAGAGTCAGAAGAATTAACAAACACTAATTTAAGATGAGCATGATTGCTGGCTTTAATGAGTTTTTATTTATTTAATCCAGAGGTCCCCAACCTTTTAGGCACCAGGAACTAGATCTGTGGGGAGAGGTTTTTCCATGGACCGGAGGGGATGTGGTTTCATGTGCTGCCTGCATCCCATGGATGGGGCTTCGTTTGTTTGCACAGCCCAGTTTTGTGACCTGATGCCGGTCCATGAATTGGGGGTTGGGGACCTCTGATTTAATCCATTTCTCAGTTGTCTTTTGTTATGATCAAGATTAGTTCACAGCACAACAATGGAACAGTCTATCAAAGCAAAAAATAACTTATCAAAATATGATAAAAGAAAAGAGGTTAAGTTATCATTATGCTTTAAATCAGAGTTGGTAATACATGGCTTATGGATCAGTTTCATACAACTTGATGGTCTTTTCTGCTGCTCATAGAGCAGCCATCTCTTCTGCCAAAATTTGTTTCAAGCAGAACATTCCTTATTTTATTTATTTCTGACCTAGAGAGATTGTATGGATTTTAGTTTTACAGGAATTTTTGCAAGCCATTTTATTAGTTAACAATGATTAACAGAAGGAAAAAAGCTATTTACTGTAGCATTCTTGATCATCCAAAAATGCATTTTGAAAAATAATTATGTGAGGTGCTATATGAACGTGCCATGCAGAGTGTTTTTCCTATAAAGATGTTCAGTTTAGAATAGTTGATTTATTACCCACTTCATAATTATAGCAGCATCATAAAGATGGCAACTTTACAATACACAATAAAAAAGCATTTGAGCCATACTATTTTTTCCCCTTTTTTGAGAGTGGCCTTCACCACTTAGACATGTTTTTGTCCTAGTTCTGCCCAATTTTTTTTATGTATTCATCAACATATAAGCAACATCAAATGATATCTTTGACCTGAAAGAAATTGCCTACTGAAGTTGAAAACAGAAGATTACTGTCCAACTGGTGACAGCTGCCAACCAAAAGTAAAACTTTTTTCCAAGCAGAATCCCACAGAATTCTCATAGGCAAACTTTACTGAGAAGAAAACAAGACTGTTATAAAGTAACAGTCTCTTTAGAATCACAACAAATCTTTTTACATTCGGGACATCTGATTAATTTTTTTCATAACTTCGTCGTTGTGGTATGGCAAGGTTGATTTTTCAGATTTCGGGGGATGGAGGAGAGAGGATCTGCACTCTGATTTTAGGTAGCAGTCACTGAAATTCTTATCAGTTTGAGAAACAATCTTTATAGCTGCCCATTGCTTTGCTGCTGTTACTAATGGTGGCTCCTGTGGAAAAAAACAAAAGATTGCCTCTCAATCTTCTCTTTAGTTGCTGGCAGTTGATACTCCATGTCTCTTCCCAATGTATAAATTACATTTTGGGGGGGGAGAATGTTCATGTTCTTCTCCATACTCTTAACTCACCGCTGTAGCTATTCCTTCCTATGGATTGCCCAGTCCTGCATTCCAATTTTATATGACATGAATGTAATCCTTTTTCTTTCTGTAGCCTTCGAGTTCTGCAGATTTGTTTAATAGTTGTTCGATAATGTTTTCTCCCCTGTGAAGAGATCTTTCCTTTGGCATTAATTTGCTTAATGACTCATTTGGCATGTTTAAGTGTCTGACAATGTTTCTAGGTTTCTTGTATAAAGGGGGCAAAGTATTAAGGGGAGGCATGAAATGAAATGGTGGCATCTCCATTGGAGGCATTCTTTTACTTGTCACTTCTGCTGGATAGTTTGAGTTCGATAAGTAGTAGTTTTGCAAACTTGGTGCAGCAGCTGAAGTTCCATAAACTGGCAGAGACAAGGTGTTAACAAAAGGCAATTTCATTCCTGTTACGCTGCGAATTTGTGTTGCATTTTTTTTATCAGCTAGAGTTCTAATAGGCAAAATTGGGTGGTAGAATTTTGCTTGGGGCCTAGGACTCACAAAATTATAGAGGAGGGAATGCCAAAGTCCACCACAGAGAGGATTCAGTGTCACCTGAGGCCACATGCTGGCCAGGCTCTGCAAGGCTTCACAATTCCAGGTGGACACGGGGAAATCCTCCTCTGTGTGATACAGCTGTGAGAAATAAATGCAGAGTGTGATGTCTGGATGCTTCATTAAAAAACTGTACATTTTGCTTATGCACTCATGCTCTGCCTCATTACAAGGAGAATAATTTGAATAAAGAATGATATAGGCAACGTTACCCCAATTGTGCACAACTGAGTATAAATAACCATCCATTTCAAATAGCATTGACTCTGGATGGATGTTGTATTCTACACAGTTTGTCACTTGGCCCTTTTGAATTAATTTACCTGATACATGTCTCAACTCATAAAAGAGAAGGTGTTTATTTTGGTAATCCATTGGCCCATATGGAAATCCAAAAGCGTTTTGAAATTCTGTGTAAGGAACTCGTGCTTCTTCCCCTGTTTGTATGTGATAAGGACACTTAGTACAGTTTTGGCTCATTGTTAGCCAGTAATATGGCTTCACTATTGTACCTCTTTGTGCTAGGTATTCTTGGCAAAATGGTTTTGTTTCTAGGTCCATCATGTGTGAGAACCTTGAATGCTGACAGTCCTGAAACACAGAGAAGACATATCTGAGTAGTTATTCCCTTGCTTGTTTAGAAATTTTGAAATTAAAATCACATCTACATTACAAATTCAAACCAAACAGACCATTAATGGACTCTACATGAGAAGGAGCTAAGAACAGTTTTGTTTTGTTTTTATTAATGGAAGGGTTGTTAGAGAATCCTGGACTCTTTATATAATTGACCATTTCCATGGAAGCTGAGAAATATAAAATACTACATTTTGTATTTTAATGTGTCCTGGAGCTGCAAGGCACTTCACATTTGTTTACAAAACAGTGCTTTGGACCATGTGCCAAAAGCAGAGCAGCTGCTTGCAGTTCTTTAAACCAGCTGTGTATTTGTGCAGGATAGTACACCTGTCCAAATATATCTATCTATCCCAATAAAACTCTAAAAACTTCATCTGGAATTTTATTGGCCACCCTGTCTATAATTTTTCTTCTTGGTGGTTCCTTGATTATGGTATTGGTTCCTGCCTGATTGTTTGTCTGGTATTAATCCCTGCTTATCTGGGCATTGGCTGCTGGAAAGGATGTGTTCTAGTCTTCTTTTTTTAGTTTTTTAGCTTAGTCTTTTTGAATGGTATGTAAACATGGTTTGTTTCTACGTGACTATTGATGGCTGACAAACCATTTTGGAATGTCAAGCTTCCAGTAATTCCCTTGTATTTTTGTATTTAGCTTGATCTAGAATGCTCACAGTTTCCCAGCTGAAACTATAGTTGAATTTGGCCTTGTGTTGTGAGATTAAGAAATGATTTTATCACATCGTATGACTGCTAGTTGTTGGTCATGGATGCACTCTCTAGTCTTCTGCCTGTTTATCCTGCATAGTAGCTGTTATGGTCTTTACATTATACGTTGTAGGTATCATATTTCTTTTTTCATTTTGAGCAACTGGGTCTTTTGGCTTATTTAAGATGTATTTGATTTCCTATTGTGATGCCATGTAATAGTATATAGGAAAGATCCTGGGAGATAGGGCAAAGAGCTTCTGCCTAGGCAACAATCAGAAAGAGAGAGAGCATAGCCCACAGCTGGATAGTGGATGGGGCAAGAGGCTCAAAAGGGATCCTCCCTAGTTTCTTGAACTGTAAAGGAGGATGGCGAGAGAATTGTATATTTGGATTTGCAAGATTTTGCTAATATAGCTTTAAAATAACATAGAATTAGCTTATCTAGTCAGATTTCCTGTCTGGTCAATTTAGTAAGGTTGATATACCATATGGTTGTAATACTTTGTTGTTAGCATAGCACTAACATGTCTCTCCAGATAATAGGTTAAGATTTCCGTCTCCACTTCAACCCACAGAGGATATGTAAAACTGTGGATCATCGTCAAACTAAATGTATCAGGACCCATTATCTTTTCTAGCATGTTTGTGCAGATGTTGAGTAGCAGGTGTCAAGCCATAATGGTGATTCTCAGACAAGAAAACTAGATTCCTATTCTTGTTGTCAGGTTTACTGCCAGGAAAAAGAATTTTGAAACAGAATATACGTATATGTTTTATCTCCCATTTATTGATGAGTATATTGGGGTGGGAGCTTTTTAATGCATTTGTTCCTGTTCCTAATGGTTCTTGATATAGAAGAGATGTTGCTAACTATTTGCCCTAGAACCTGGAAGAATTCTAAAACCAGCAACAATGTCCAGGAGCTCAAGAATGGATCCTGCTAGGCAGCAGTGTGACCAGTACAAGAGCAAGACCCAAAGCTTGTCCCTAGTGCCCAACTTTACACACACAGGCATTCACATTCTGTCACTCCAGAAACAGTTATAGGCAATTTTTCCCTTATAATTATTTCTTTCTTCTGTCTCCCCAGAATCAAGGTTATTGAAGAATCCAAGTCCCCTGGATCCAGAATTGAGACATCTAGGCTGGAAGAGGAATCCAACAACAAATTTTTGGTTGCCTTTCTCCTATCTTTGCTAGGCCTACATTTTCTGCAAGATGCATTCTGCCAGATGCATTCATTGAAACTGTATAAATTTGGGGGGGAGGGGGTTTCTCATTTGGATCGTCTCCCATCTCCTTTTTACTACAGTAATTAGAGTAGTTAGCACTTTCAGCCTAAATATGTTTGCTGAAAACAAACACAAATTTTTTTGGATCCAATTAAGAAATATAATCTTCATCAAAAAATTTATAATTTTTGAGACATTTTGCCATTTAGGTATTCTTTGAAGAATAAGAAAGAAAGGAACTCTACTTTCAATGCCCCAATTTTTACTTTTTGTTTTCAACCAATTAAGGGTTTGGGATAGCATGCTACTCTTTTAGATACACTGCTGCTTCTGGAATTCCTTATGCCATAATGGCGAACCTTTTAGAGTCCGAGTGCCCAAAAACTGGCCCTGCCCCCGCTCTGCCCCCTCTGCCCTGCCCCTGTTCTGCCCCCCCATCCCCCGCCCCACCTGCCCACAGGATCACTCACCACCTCCAGGGCCCGCCGCAGATCACCCAGGTAGCCCAGCAGCGCTATGGCAGCCACACCTTTTGCCCGTGCCCTGCAGCATCAACTGCATGATGGGGTATGAGGGCAGAGTCTTGTTTACACTGCCTGGATGCCATGTCCTTGGCTGCCCTGCTCCGTGTGAGCCACGCTCAAGGGCGACTCTCCTTCAGGAGAACTGCTGGAGAGGAGGGGGTCACGGGGGAGGCAAGGCTGGGGCAACGGCACGTGTGCCCACAGAGAGGGCTCCGAGTGCCGCCTCTGGCACCTGTGCCATAGGTTTGCCACCACTGCCTTATGCTATCTTCCCAGCAACAGTTCTGGCTCCATTAAGAGATATTGGGGCTTCCTTACTCTCTCAAACATGTTTCTCATAATGTATTTATAGGACTATGATAGTGGAAAAGGAACTTTGACCTCTCTTCCCCATCTGGACTTCTGCAGTAACTCACTATCCTGCCACTTCATTGTAACATTAACATCTTGAGAAGTTGCATTTGTATTTTTTTCATTTGGTGGAAAAATATTAGAATCTTACAACTTTTCCTCCATGGACAGTTAAATTGAGCAGATAAAAGCTGGCAAAAAAAATTAAGTAGCCCCTTCTTCCACCTCTGAATCCAATTAAATGGGAAGTTACCTATGAATCTTTTCTCCCCATGCATTATTATAACTGTTCGAAATATGTTTAACCCTGAATTCACTTGTATTCTTAAAGAGCACAGAATGATAAAATATGTGTAATAAAATCAAAACTTGCTTCTGAAAAATAAGATATGCTTTGTCATGCAGAAACTAATGATAGCCAATTATATTTATATTTATTATTATATTATATTTATAATATTAAGCTTTACTTACCGTCAAAATTTCTTGAGGCCAGAATAGCAGCAACAGTTATCTCAGCCACAGCCTTACTTGAATTACTTGAATCCTATTGTCAGTGTCCTGAGAAAGAGAGATAATACCCCTCCAACTACTTATTTCAGAAGACCTTAACTTGTTTCTAATAAATTTTCTTGTAGCTTGAAAAGTTACATGTGCAGTGAATAAATGTGTTGTATTGACAATTTTAAGTGCTAGGTTACCAATATAGAAACAGGAGACTTGTTCTTCTTTTTTGCTTGAAAGACTTGTTAGATCAGTTCCTGTGCCTGTTAGAAACCTGATCACTATTGCCAAATGTATTTAGTAACATCAGAGCACATGAAGAATCGCAACTTGGTGGAGCAGGTGATGAGGACATGGATCGAATCATGCTGTGTATGTGGATCTTATGGAACCTCATATTTTACTGAGTGGCTCAAAGAGATGAAAAGACATAAGAGACACCTAGAGCGCTGATGGAGCAAAACTGACACCCAGCGCTACCTTATGGCAATACTTGTATTAGGCTTAGCTTGCGGCGATAAAGTGGTGAAGTAAAATTACTTTGCCTTATTATATTGCAGGTAGTTAACCAGCAGCTCTGTTTTGGGTAACCAGGTCCCTCATAGCTAAGAAGGAGCCAGGGTGTCCTTGTAGGATTGCTGTGAGAAATATTCTTGGCATCTGTCAGATGAAGTCGCTCAACTTTGTTTGGGCTTAGATTCTGGCTGGGCAGAGATGAAATACCCAAACCTACTGGATATAAATAAGATAATTAGATACAAGGAATTAGTAAATGAACAGGGAAATCTGAAAACAAAACAAGAATTGGAACAAGATATTGGCAGAGAGATTGATTGGTGGACGTTTACACAAATTCAATCTAAATATACAGAGGACAAAAAATTATATGAAATACAAAAAGAGCCGCAAGAATTGGATAAAATTATACATGGAACAGAAATAAAATTAATTAGCAATTATTCAAATACCTATTGAGATATAAAATGGAAGACGAGGTTGTCAAAGACACAATGATTAGATGAGCAAAAATTTTTGGATATAATATAGAATTGGAGAAATGGGAAAAATATGGGAAATAAATATAAAATTGACTATGTCGGTGGCATTCAAGGAAAACCAGTTGAAGATGTTTTACAGATTGCATCTTCCACAAGCAAAGCTTGCCAAGATGTTCCAGAACAATTCGCCAACATGCTGGAAATGTAAAAAAGTACATGGAACATATTATTTATGGTGGACATGCCCAGTTGCGAAAAAATACTGGACTACAATAAGAAAATGGATCAAAGAAATAATAGACCAACCCGTAGACTGGAAACCAGAGATCTTTTTGGTGGGTATTTTAAAGAATATATAGAATATATTCTTTACTTTATATAGTAAAGAAATATGGTACTTAATTTTACATAAAATAACGGCAGCAAGAACAGCATATGCACAGTGCTGGAAAAATGAGAATATACCATCAGAGGAAGAAGTGATAAGAAAAATCCTGGACTGTGCTGAGATGGACAAATTAACAAAAGAGATAAAAGAAAAGGAAGACACAGAGTACTATATAACATGGAACAAGTGGTATGACAGGTTGGAGACTAGAAATAATACAGGAGAATAAATATGGAAAGGTCAAAAGTGAAAATATGTGTATAATAATGTATAATAATATGAATTATTATTAGTAAGAAGTAGAATATGAAGGAAGAAAAATGTAAATAAGAAACAATGGGGCAATAAGGACAAATATTCTAAAGAATAAGGGGGGAAATGTAAATAATAGAAGATTACCATTACGTAATCGCTGTTAAAAAAAGGGGGAGGAGTATATACTGTATGTCTATGTGAGTTATGTTTTGCTTTGTTTTGTTTTGTTGGTTAAAAATAATAATAATAAAAAAGATTATCAAAAGCTTTTTGTGCATCCAAAAATATCAATGCCATTTGTTTCACCGGATGTTTTTCATAGTATTCTAACACATTTAAAATAATTCTTAAGTTATTCTTTATCTGTCTTTTAGGCAGAAAGCCATTTTGATCTGAATGAATAAATTCATTCAAAAATTTCTTCATTCTTTCCGCTATTATTGCTGTAAATATTTTGTAGTCCACATTTAATAGTGATATTGGCCTATAGTTTTTAATTTGTGTGAGATCAATATCATCTTTGGGAATCAGAGAAATGTTAGCTTCTGTCCAGGATTTTGGTATTTTCATCCCCAAAAAAGTTTCATTACAAAGATCTTTCAGTATCGGACTTATTATATCTTGTAAAGCTACATAAAATTCCGCTGGTAAACCATTAGGTCCCGGAGTTTTATCTTTTTTTTTTTTTTTGTCTTTTTATAGCCTCAGTAATTTCCATCATTGTTATTTTCTTGTTCAACATATGTTGCATATTCTCTGGTATCTTTGGAAGGTTAGCTTTTCTTAGGTATTCCTGTATTGCCTCCTTGGAAACCACCTCCGCCTTATAAAGTGTCTCATAGTAAATTTTAGCAATTTTTTTCAATGTGTCATTATGACAATGTATTTTGCCTTTTGAGTCTTGCAAATTACTTATCCGTTTTTTTTCTCTTCCTTTTTTCAGTTTATATGCAAGCCATCTTTCTGGTTTGTTGGCATTTTCAAAGAAATTCTGTTTTCAATATTTTATCTGTTGTGCCCTTGTCTCCATCTCCAATAAATTTAGTTTGTGTTTTATTAATTCCATTTGTGTCTTCAGCTTCTTCTTTTGTGGATCATTTTGTAACTCAAGTTCTAAATTCCTAAATTGTCCTTTCAAGTTAAGTTGCGTCTGTCTCTTTTCTTTATTCTTTTTAGCAAGGTAAGTTATAGCCAAGCCTCTAAAATACGCTTTCGCAGTGTCCCAAAGATTTTGAATCGAAGTTTCTTTTTTATTTATTTGAAAAAAGATTTCCATTTCTTTAGTTGCAAATTGTAAAAATTCTTTTTCTTTTAATATTGATTTATTCAATGACCATCTTAATTTTTTTCCTAGTTCCTTTCAAAGTCATTTTAATTGGATTGTGATCAGCCCAAATATTGGGTTCAATTTCCACCTCTCGTATCATGGTCTTTAAATCATATGAAGTCCATATCATGTCAATTCTTGACCAGGATTTATGCCTATTTGAATAAAATGTATATTGTCTTTTCTCTGGATTCATTTCTCTCCATATGTCTTATATACACAATTCATCTTTCATCTTTAAAAAAGACTTAGGTAGGGTATTTCCCCCTTTTTCCCCTTGTTTATAGCTTTTATAATCCCGTATTGCGTCAACTATTACATTAAAGTCACCAAGTATGCAAAGATTTTGATAATTTAACTCCACTAATTTATCATATAATTGCTGGAAGAACTGATCTTGTTTCTTATTGGGAGCATATATTGCAACCATCAAAATTTGTTTTTGATCCCATGTAATTTCCACCATTAGTATTCTCCCTTCTTCGACAAGATAAATTTGTTTTGGATTCATCTTTTCTTTTATATAAAATGCTATTCCTCTTTTCTTTTGCTGTGCTAAAGAAAAATAAAGTTTATCTATCTTTGGTTGTTCTAAAATTTTTGAATGCTGTCTTTTGATATGTATCTCCTGAAGACAGATTATGTCCATTTTCAATTTTTGTAGTCTATTAAATATTTTACTCCTTTTTGATGGGGAGTTAAGACCATTTATGTTTATTGAAAAAATTCCAATCTCTTCCATAGTTTCAGTTATATCTAGATCTCAATCTTCTAGGAGAAGTGATCTGTCTCTAATCTTTCAGTCTTACATCTTCCTCTGTTTGTGTCTTTTTTGATTCTCCCTCCTCCAATTGTTTTGGTGCTCCTGCACCCATCGTCTCTTCTGTTTTCTTGGATTCAGCATCCCTTTTTCTAAAAAGGCTCTGTGGTTGTTAAAAAATTCCTCAGCTTGAAATGGAGTATCTATTCTATATCTTTTCGAGTCCCAGAAGATTAATAATCTCTCTGGGACCAGCCATCTAAAGTTCACTCCCTATTAAAAAGTTTCCTCGTTAAAAATTGGTATTCTCTTTGGGCTTCTCTTATCCTTCTTGGAATCTGTTTAAGAACTACAAGTTCTTTATCTTTATATTTCAGTGGTTGATCTCTTGTTTCTCTCAAGATCTCATCCCGTATAAATCTTTTAAGAAATCTTACATGAACCTCCCTGGGAACTCTATTTCTTCTCGCATAGCTTGAATTTATTCTAAAAACCTGATCTATGAACTTTGTTTTTGTCCTAAATTATTTCCATGTCAATCTTTAACACAATCCCAAACTTTAACAAATAACAATTTCAGGGTGTTGGGAACCTGCATGCGAGACACTTGCATGTGTTCTGTTGCATGATCTAACACTGGAGTGTTGAATATTTTGAAACCAGATGCATTCAGTTTTCATACAGCAAACCAGAGTCAAACATATCACATCATGGCTCATCACCATACATAAATCCAGCATGTATATTGTTTTTCCACTTTCTCTTGGCTTATGACAATTATATGCTTTCATCTTAATGTATTTTACAGGATTATTGCAAAGGAGCCATATAGATTATCTTAGAGTTCTTTAGGATATGGATTGGATTAAAATGTCTATAAAATATTACACATTGCTGAAATAAGATAGTACTGAAATAGGACAGCATTCCTATTTTCAGAACAAGTTCTAAACTATATAAATGCCAGGAAATTTCACTATTTTAACTCAGTCCATCATTAAAGCCTTCAGAGCAACATAATCGAGAACTGTGCTTGTAAAACAATCTTCTGACCATCCAATAAACTGATATAATTGGATATAAATTTCCCAAGCCGAACATGTACCTAATTTGTTATTAAAAAGCCTCCCCATTTAACATAGAAATCAATTCCTCTGCAGCTTCTTAGAAAGATCTGTTTACACTTAAATAACATACAGGTAGTCTTCGCTTAACAACCGTTTAAAATTATGATGGCACTGAATGAAGGGACCTACGGCCCATGGCCAAACATATGACCAACATTGGGTAGAGTCTCTCTGGCAGCTATCAAGAAGGCTGGATGAAAACAGTCCCTCAGGAATGGACTTCTTTACCAGTCTCTTTTGAGAGCAAAAGCTCTGTTTGGATGATTGATTTCACGAAGATCTGAGTTTCTTTTCTCAGCACTGCAGTTCCCTTCTGAGTGGAGAGAGGGAGCTGCCTGCCCCCCTTCAGCAGGCAGATTTTTTTAAAAAAATGTAAAAGATTAAAATACAAAAGAAAAAAGATAAAAAAAAAACAGACAAAACAAAACTAGACCAAAAAAATACTTTAAAAATGTGAATTTAAAAAAGACAAAAACATGTATTATCCCTTCTAGTTGAACGCTGACAAATCTATTGCAACAATAATAGCCCCCCCCCCTTGTAAAGCAGGTCCAAAATTTATTTCTACAATTATTTGCAACCCAATTGATTTGTCATACTTTATGTATATGAAAAAAATAGTGAAATGGGTTAAACAGCAGCAAAGTTAGTTCAAAGCACACTGTCAACAATCTGTTTTTGTAATTTACTCATAGAAAGTACTCAGTTTCTTATTTATCACAAATCATTCTGATCATTATCTGTGATCAGTCCAGGATCAAATACCCTTGTTTGGTTCTTAATAATGAAACCTTTCAGCAGGCAGTTTTCTCTTTGTCTAGTTAATGACCTGCATGGTTGCTTAATAATCATGCCTGGGAAAGCCAGGATGTTGTCATAAAGTCCAGTCAGGTCATGCAGTGATCTGCTTACCGATTGCTACAATTTAAGACCTAAATTCTGGGCTGAA